TTCTATTTTTGAAAAATTAAGATGAGCGAGCCACGGATCAGTCGCTTTCTTCTGTTGATCGGTTTTCTAACTTTTACGAATGTAATGGCTGCGGATGTCACATTAAGGTTTATGTACGCCAGGTGGGTTTTATTCTAAGCTCACGAACTTGACAAAAGTATCCACTATTTTCTGTTATCATTTCAGCGCTATGCTAATTTAGAGTATGGTGAATAACCATTTTCGAAATCCAGAATGATGGTAACTCCGCAGAATAATAAAATTATTCCTCAGGCGGTCTACAAAATAGATACCTCTTATTTTATCTCTCAGTTAGCACATGCGCTATGATTGGTCTATTTCATTGTCCGGCCCGCTCAATTCAAAATGTCTCTGGAAGAAAATTTTGGAAAGGTACGCAAACGAACAAAAAAAACAAACCTCACAAGCAGATATCCTAGACTTTCAAGTTGGTTTCTTCGATATTTTGGAGGAAGACAAGCGACGAATGGAGGAAGATGAGCACGACGAAGATAACTCGACTCGAGAACTAGATGATTTCATCGCCGCCGAAAGGTCGTCAAGCACACAAAAAAAGATATCAAAACGAAATGCTAGTGGAAAATGTTTGAAGGGTTTTGCGAACAGAAGGTAGATGGAAATTTTAACATACTGAGCTTAACTGCTGCTGTTCTCGACAACCTTCAAGCTTTTAAAAAAGCATACTCGAGTCATCTTCGTCTCGCTCGTCTTTCGCTATCTGCCGCTCGTCTTACTTCAAAAACCTTGCAAGGTACGTTCGGCTCCAAAACGATGCCACATCCTTCCTTCTTCGCGTTTAAATGTTTATTACATCTCTTGGTTCAAATAGAAGGGGAAAAGATTTCAATTCAAGCTGAACGGCCATTTATGATTGACGTACGTCAAATCCTAAGTACAAGAGCATTTTAGTGGCTTCCATTTAAGACAGGACTAGAGCCATCAAAAGTTCAAAATATTCGTTTAATATCCATAGTTCTATATAATGTAAACTTCCTTTTGTCAGAAAAACACAAGATTATTTCGTCCACTAAAGTCTTACTGATCCAGGGTCGTGTTAAAAGTACACACGAGTAACCACGAGTGACCACGAGTGACAAGCCATCGGTATATTTGCTAACATTGTAATTGCACCTTTATTACGTCACATTATATGATCATGATTTAACCGAAAAAAAAAAAGATTTTAGAGGCTGAAATAAGTAAATGATGTACAATTTCCTTCTTTTCCAAAAGAGAGAAGGGAGAGGTTGTGTAATCTTCCTGAATTCCAATCTCCGTTTCCACCACTAGACCTTTTTTTGCTCACTTTTCCTCTTTGTATTTTTTTTTAAATTTATTTCAGTTTAATTTCTTTTTTCGTTTAATTTTACTCTTTTTCTTTCCATACTTTACATCCTTCCTTCCTTTCTTTCTGTTAAAAATCCATCTACGAATAAAGAGGCTAAAGTCTACTGAAACTCCGTAGAAAATATGTATTAAATTTGTTAAATGAACCACAACATTTGACTAAAATAAAAACTTTGAAATTGCTTAAATTTCCAAGCAAAGGGGTAACCGATTTACGCGAACAAAAACTGAGAAAAAGAACAACTAAAAATCCGCGAAAAATGTCCAAGTCAGTTTTCCAATATCAAGGTTAGAGTTCTTTGACGTGATTAGCTAATTTGTGAAATCACGCGCGCGCGTGAATTCAAAAAGAATACAAAGGAAAGGGGGGAGGGGAAGAGGAGAAAAATTGTTACTTAAAATTTAAAAAAGAAAGAGATTTTCTATACTTCCTTTCACTCCGGAGAGGATACGAGAGGCAGAAAAGTAGGAAACGAGATTCTCGAGCTGACACTGGCGAAATATAATAACATTGTGAAATATTTTTTGGCAGCGAAGTCCCTATCCGGGACCTACCCTTTGGAAAAGAAGAAAACGATACATTGTTTGCATATTTCAACCTCTGAAAATGGTTTATTACATAAGATTATAGACAATCATTAGATGAGGATTTTGTGATATCCAGAATAATCAAGTTCGAGGCTTACCGAGACCTTAATTATTCTGAATATCACAAAAACCGAAGCTAATAATTGTTTTGTTATACGCTGAACTATATAATGTAATTGTTATTACTATTGTCATTATTTAAACCTTTAGATCACTGGACAATGTAATCCGGGATCACTTTTTAATTGGCTGAGCCTCACTGGTAGATGAGTCATTAAATCATGACTAAAACTGGAATTTGTTAAATGAGGAGGTTAACCAATCAGCTTGGCTGAAAAGCACTATTTACATGTGTGTTAAAACAACTGCACTTGGTAGCATCAATTTTCCTTGGTATTCGTTCTGTGTCCGGGTATTATAAGCATCTAATTGACAAACTTTCCGTCATTCCTATCCAACAAGCCATTGCCGAATAATTGCGAAGTTCGGTTGGGATGAATTGCATGTCGTTCAATCGCATTTATTGTCACTTTCTCTTGCAGTAAGCTCGAAGACCCAAAAACGACTTTATTACCTGGGATGAAACCCACCATTACATTCAAATGCGAAAAGCCTTTGCCAAAAATCTATACCGGAGAAGTAGATCTCTTCTCTGTCGGCTTCTGGGAATTGAAGCATTGCGATGCTAGGCAGGGATATTGGCTTGGGACTCTAACATGCGGTCACCCAAAGAGTTTTAAAACTTCGGAACTTTCGATAAAAGATGTGGAAACTTATAAAATTATCGGTAAGTGTAACGTATAACAAATTAACCAGCAATGTGTACAAGTTATCCTTCAAAAAAATGGTATTTCTGACGATTGAGTCTGCGAATAAGGCAGAAATAAATATTTTGTCGGCACGAGATACGACAAGGCCCGGGCCTTAGGCCCGAGCATCATGGGTAATGATGCAGTGGTATATAACGGGGAGTACAGCACGTGGCGTCCATCTAGGCCTCAGAACCAACCGTCCACCTCTGGCTGATGACAAATTTATTTTAGTTTGAAAACTTATTTTATTTAACTGTGAAGCCTCGTAGGACGGGCTGCCAACTGCTCTGTGTGTGGGCCATAGTTCCTACCCAGATTTCCTGTCATATTTTTTCCCCAAAGGGGTTTTTCCTGGCAGGTTTTTTCTGGCCTCCGTATAACCGTAGTAATGTCCTTGTAAGCGGTTGCCCACCTCTGTTAATCCCGACTTGGTGAAGTGTGCATGTCAGTAATGTATACCTATTTTGAATGTGTAAGGAATTGACTTTATATCAGGATGATTGTATATGGTATATTAGTTGCGAATGTATGTATGCACGCCTCGGGCTATATGTGCCTCGGGTTGGTTCTCGGCAGGCTTCCCTAAATAAACTTATTTGGTGTATACTACTGTGTTTTTTGTTGTGTAGTGGAGACCAAATCATGTATTTTTCTAACACATAGTTTGAGTGCTTTGCGGTGTTCGGTGTCACGCTATGACTTTGTGATCATCTCATCAGCCAATCTTATTTTTTTAATTCCTCGATGTCACGTCAGAATTTTTAAGTCCAGCTTCCGTAGGAACACCAGAGTCTTAAAATGTAAGCCGCTCCTTTTTCTCTTTTGGTCGCCAAATCTACATTGTCCACCCAGGCGTTAATAGTTCTCCCGCCTCCTCTACTAATTCTGCTTCTGTCCCCAAAGTCATGCTATTGTTTTCTGTTCAAATGTCTGGTGAATGGTAAAAAGGCCGACATTTTTGCCCGGGTACATGGAGTTATTAACATAATTCAAAATGGCATCTGTCGTCGGGCCGTTGGCTAAAATGATCCAGCTGGTGTTTCCTTCTTTCACTCCATCCTTGATCAAAATACATCCTTTTAGACCTCACAAAGAAACAAGAAATGTAAAGAAGATTACTCAACTAGAAGGAGAAGGGCTACAAAGTCTAAAAATCGACGATGATAACAGTCAGTTGCGTCGTGTAAGCGATTTTTGTCTCCAAGTTGATTTTCGCGTATCCGTTTGGCTGTCATTTGGTCGTATTTTTCACAAATCTGGCAGCTGATATGCAGATAATAACCTGCATCAATCAAAGAAAATCACGCACAAAGCTTTCATGTACGCATAAACGCAACTCGCCCAGACACTCTCCAACAAAACTGCGCATGCTAGCTACGAAAACTGGTCATTATTACTTCGCATGAGAAATCGCCCTTTCATTCCTCAAAAATCCGAGTTATAAAAGCTCGTGTTGACACTTCAACGGCGTCTATTTTGGGGTAAATTCTTTTTAACTTGAATCTTTTGCCTTTACTCAATAAGAGTTCTGTTGATGAGTCTGGGAGTTTATTCATTTGCTTTTTAAAGGTTGATTCTGCTGTGAAATTTCCCGTTCAAAATGTGTTTTTCACGCTCTTTTTGCGGCAGCAAATGGCGATTAATTCAAACCGTGACGCACGAGCCTCGTTGCAATGCAACTAAGAAGAAAAGTCGAGAAAGGATAATGTCGATATTGCAATTTAAGATGAAATAGCAGACACAGAGAGCAAAGACGTTAGCCTGTGTAGCTTTTCATCTTTCGTAGTAGTACACTTCACTCAAAAAATTGGTCTTCTTAATTCTTACCAGGCGCCTAACCACGTATATCGTCATGGAGAACAAAACACGAGTCGTTTTCCACTGCGCACTCAGTTGCCATTGAAACATTTTCAGATTTTTTTGCATTTCCTTTTTTATTTAACTTTCAGGCATAGCACGTAAAAAGAATAAATCACACAGACTAGTTAGAGGTTGCCCTCAGATAAGGACCTACGCAGCGCGGCTTTATCTTCATCTCTGCGATCCAGCTATCTTGTCAAATGGAACTGAATGTATTAAAGAAGGTATGTCTAACCGTTTTTTACGCATATATCTACCTGATGACAGTTAGGTAAAAGAACAATGCCTGATGCATTTACCTACGCGATTTTAGGTGTCTGAAGCACAATTATGACCTGCGGTTTCAAATTATCTTAACTTTTTCACATGACCAGTATGGCACAAGGGGCGCTTTTATTGCGATATATATAGAAGAAAAGTCCACAGCATGAAATTATAAATTTAAGAGCCCGTAAAGATGCCGTAAAGTAAGCGTTAAGATCCTCTTTACGCGTCTTTACGAACTTCTTTACACTTTCGTAAAGAATGTCTTTACGCATTGAAAACGATAATAAGTGAAGATCACGGAGAGAGACTCAAAACGCCATCTTTACGTGTCTTGTAAAAAGTCGTATAGAGAATATTTACGATATTTTACGGCGACTGTACAACGATCAGAAAGGCGATCTTTGCGCGTTATGAAACTACCGTAAATGGACAATATTAGCATGCCCATTTGCCATTTTGCAGTTGCCTGAATTTTTTGGCAACATTCCCTTTTGGTTAATCAGACTCAGCTATGAAAAATCTGAGCTCGTGACAACATCAAAGTAATGCGCTATCTTAGCGCGTATTTCCAAAAGTCGTATCGAGAAAGTTTGCGATATTTTACGCTTTCGTGAAACGATGCCTTACATGCCTTTCAAGCACTGACCCATAACAACACGTGTTTTATACATTGCAATTTATTTTATTGTCATAACTCTTCAACTTGATTTTGTAATTTTCACAATAACGTAGCTAGAGGTTTAAATGCGCGGGAAAAGAACTAAAAAATACGGTGAGAGAATGTAAACGTGAAAGGGATTAAAAAGAGAACATACATGTTTTATGCCATACAAAAATTGTTTTTTTGACTTCTTTTGGAAGTCATTATTTTCAGGTGAAAAAACTTGGTATTGAATTAACTCCTCTAACATTTACTTTTTGATTCTACATGTGGCATGGTAAGCTAGTTAACATCTCTGATCATTGATTGTAAATGAGATTGAATTTATACTTATACTTAGAAAAAATAACAACAGGGTTTTTCCATTTCATTTCAAAAATGATTATCTTAATTTTTTTTTTGTTACTTCAATTAAAGAGAACCAGTTGTGATAACCTGTGCCACCTTTCTGATATCGTAACTGACATCAGTTGACTGTGTTAATGAACATTAATGAAGACAATCCAGTATAAAAGGGCCTGGCCATTTCTCATTTCTCATTTCTCACGTTTCACTAAAAATAAAACTATCATTGAAATTTTTTATCTCTAAAAGAAGGTTAAAAAATAAGAAATTGACAAGCAGTTTACCAATGTGGTTCATAAAATTTTAATGCACAGTAAGTCAGAGAAATATGCCTGAAATTGAAGGTGTATAATGAGAGTGCCAGCCCCTTCATACCTGCAGGGACACTTCCAGATTACTATCTTCCCCGTGCAGGTGTGCTTGTAGCCACTGAAGGGGGGCCTCGTGAAGAGAATCTCTTGCCAACAACTCTTTCTGTCTGGAAATTTCTGACATGGGGCTTTAATAATCTTTTGTGGGCAAGGTCAAGAACGTCCTTGAGTGCTCTCAGCTTTAGTCCCTACCAGGCCAGCCTCTTTGTAACGAATCTTTTCACATCTGGTCCAGTTTCATCTTCGGAGAGCTCACTGTCATCTGATCTTGTGTACTCAATGCTCAGGAATAATCAGTCCTTGTGCTGGAATACGACCAGGAAAAGTAGATTGCTTTCTTCAACACACATTGAAAATTGGAAGCCAAAGTCATTAGTATGTATTTGCTCTCGCAGACTGGTATGGCAAGCCCGTTGAAATTTGGAGAAAAACATTTCTTCCTGGAGACCCATCACGGTATCTTCCAGTGGCCAGAATTTTTTCCAAATTTGTTGTTGCATCTACATTTGAAGACGAAGTTGTCGTAGTTCTTTTAAATCGCACCTTTTCTCAGAGCTTTTTTTATTTATCAATCCTTTGATTTTTGATTAATGAACCGGTGTCGATAAACATAGAATTATACATGTACATACATAACATAATGTAGATTTATATCTACATGCAATGCATTATATAAATATAGGAAATTTTCGCCAAACGCCCTTATCCTTTATACCATCACTTGATCCATTCTACCATTTATGTTGGTGGAAGAGGTGTGGGGGGGGGGGCAAAATGAAGATAGCCTTTTATTGCTTCAACAAGTTGACAGTGGGCCTCTAACTCTAAAAGAAGTTTGACTCTTTAATGTAAGCCCGATATTTTTCACCCATAAGAGATGAAGAGGCATCCCGGGGCACTCATCTATTCACAACTGTAAACAGCAGTGGTTTCAGCTGAATGTTATTTTTTTCATTGATTGTTCCACATATTAAATTAATACACGCATATTGCACGACAGCCAACTTCAAGGTTATTTTTGCCTTTTTAGAGGCATGTAAGGCGCTTTAAAAAAGGTCATTTAAACATATTTATGCGAATGGAAAGTTAAGGGTCGTTGAGGAATGCTAAAAATTCGTAAGGCGAATTAACGGCACGTAAAGATTGATTGTACGTAAAGAATGCTAAAGAATGTTGAAGGTTCGTAAAGAACAGTGAGTAAAAATGCGTAAATAATATTAAAGACGCGTAAAGTGTTAAAAGCGAAACTGGTCAAAATACCATGATAATTTATGGGAGATGGATGAGTCGTAATTATTTCACTTTTTTGAGTATTCTCGAGATAGAAAGTGGTTAATTATATCCATCTTCATCCTTATCCTTTACGAACATTTAATATCCTTTACGCAGTCTTTACGCTTTCTCTGCATTTACGCATCTTTACGTAACGCGCTGAACTTGTCCGTAAAGAAGAGGCTTTATATTTACGTTTCTTTACGCAAGAGTTGAAGGTGCGTAAATTTGCGATTTCGTGCTGTGCGACGTCCCAATTTGAGGGCCACGAATGCGCAAGCAGGGGCAGGAATAAATCGTAAGACTCAGCGAGCAGCCTTGCGGGAAAGATTACTGGAACATTTTGCCGCCGGCCAAATATTTTCACGTACATCTCTCCTACTCAGTAATTCTTAATTATGGCGATGTGTGTCGCTCAACATCGTATAACACTGAACTGAGTTCGAATTCATTTATTTGCTTTCAGCTTGTCCAATGTCGTTACATGTATTATATGTTCATAGCATGTCGCCACCTATTTTGACTTCACTATCTTATGTGGACATAAAACACACTCCTTCACATGGTTGGCTCGTGAAGACCGCTGAGCCCGGATCATATAAAAAACCTGGAAGGTATTTACTGATAGCTCGTTTTGTAAGAGCTGATTTGACTTTTAATCAACCTGCTCTCCTGTTAACTCCCAAATCGATTCCTACAAAATGTTTTGAAATCCGAATGTAGATTTAAGGATGAGAAAGTAGGTCTTCATCACCTTTTAGGCGTTTTTACTTACCTTCGTAATTACAAACACCACAAAGGTTTTTCGCCGCGGTCGGTCGTTGGCCAGCTTTTTGGTGGTGTTTCGGCTATGATCCAGACTCCCCATTTGCTAAAATAATTAAACAATCATTATATGCAAACCCAAATATGCCGTCAAGGGTAAGTTTTGACGGAGCTAGCAAACACAGCGGTCAATCGTTGAGCATACGCAAAAGGATCAACTTTGACCAGCCGCGCGCCAATTCCCCACGAAAAATTTCAACCATTTTGTTTTGAGCTTGAAAAGAAAATTTATACCGTAACTTGCCGGCTTGCCCGGCTGTTCATAACTCTGAGGAAACACCTAGTTCTGACAGCCTGAAAGCACGCCACACAGCCTTTACAAAGTTCGCACATGCGCAACGTTTGACGGCTTGGTGGGCTAGAAAGTCCCTTATGCAATTGACCTTTCAATCGTTATTGTTTGATTGATAGTTTTTGGTCTGCCTCGAGAGATGACCAGAGAGCAATATTTATGTTCGTGTTTCTTCACAAAACAAGTCATTCGATATCAGCGATTGCTACCCAAGGAGCAGTTAAAGAAAGGTGTTGGGTCAGCAGTTATCTCTTCTATGGCAAATTTAAAGAGAACCCCTATTATCCAGTCACCGATGACAAAGGACACATCAAGGTGGCTTTAATAAAAATGTTCTATGTAGTTACTTGAAGTTAGTATCCCAATTCAAGGAAAAGTGGGCGCTAAGACCCGTTGTTGACATTGTTTGTAGTGTACATTCGAAAAATGGAGGAATTACAGTCATACTATCGTCATTCCTTTTCTTATCTTTCTATTACATTCTTTTATTTACTTCTTTCATTTTTTTCTGTATAAATTGACAAAACTTTCTACAACTCGCTAATGATAAATTTTTTTAGATATCTTTTGGTGTAGAGAAATTCAAAGGTGGAAAATAAGCCATTGATTTACACGTTAAATCATTGGTTTTTAACAACACCTACATGCCGCTTTTTTTTCAGGAGTTTAAGGGAAACTCAGACCAGTCCTCTATCGTCCGTCACTGGCTGAAGCCTCACATGTACGTTACAGACCTTCTTTGGTACCCGACATCTTATGTTGGTCAATTGTGTTTGAATGTCGAGATATATGGATGCCGCGCTAGCGACATATCCATGTTGACCTCGTTTTCATCGAAGCAAAGGCAGCGAGAAGGTAAGACTTATTAAAACTGTGAAGTTAAAAGTATATCAAAGACTTTCAAGATTTTCTCTACCCCTTTTCATTCTCGTGTGTCTCGATGATGGTAAAATTTAATTGACCATTAAAATTGAACATGTCATTTTTTTGCAGAACCCATTCGCTGTAATCTGACCAAACAGCCTGGTAATTGTAGGGCTTCATTTCCCAGATGGTTTTTTAACAGGAAAACTAAACAATGTGAACCGTTTAGTTATAGTGGATGCAATGGAAACCTCAACAACTTTTTGTCTGAATATGACTGTTGGAAAGGATGTCAAGGTAAATGACATGCCAGGCTAGTAAATGCATTTGTGGTTATTGACCACAACTTGTTGGTATAGTAAACAAAAAATTTACGAAAGATCTTATGATTTCACACTCATAAGAACCTCAAGGCTTCTAAATACCCGATCTCGGGGGGCATATCCAGTAGATTTCGGATAACGACAAATTTAAACCTTCAGTTGCTTCGGTAACTGTTACTGTTAATGATTAACACCTTATTCAATTAAATTGCAAATACCGGATATTACATTTCTAGTGTTCTGATTGGTTCAGTCAACTGATTGTCAGCTATTAGCCGAGCAAACGGCAAACAAATGCATATCAGTTTTCGCGTTTGCTTAATGGTGGCGCTTGTTTATATGTGCTGAATCATCAGTTGTGGGAAATGATTCACGTAAGGGTTTTGGCTGTAAGCGAACGCTTCACCCGTGCATTGGAAATAAAGTAAAACAAATATTAGTCAATGTCATCTCGGGAACGAAAGTGCGAAGGTTGCAAAATAGGTTGTAACATTATTGAAAGCTACGTATCTCTGAACTTTCAACTACAAATTTTGCATTTAACATGACTGTTTTATGATCTAGAAAAAAGTATAACGCTGTCACAAAAGAAAACATTTTCAGGTTGACTTGAAACTTTTGCCTCGATATTTCCAGGCTCTATCAGAACCGTTAGTTACAAAAGTTCACCCTTGAAGTCTTCTCGAGTAGCCGTAATATTGGTTTCTTCCGTTCCCTACGGCACAGCTAAACATTTGTAAATGTGTGCAAAAGGATAAGCTAGAAATTTCACAAATTGAACCTAATACTTACCTCAGAAAGTTTATAAAGTTTGGAGCGAGAAATTGCGTTCAGGATATATTTCAGCTAAAGATGTCCTGATCCCATCCTTTGTTCGGTTCAAGTTAAATAAAATTCTCGAGTAAACTGTGCACAACTTCGTCAACTGATGTTTGTGCAACAATGGTATCACCTACAGAAAACATGATCTCGTTATAACCGGATTGTCCGTGATTAGGAGATTAAGTCTAGATGGGTTTTGTTCTCTGGGGCCGAGATTTAGTGCCTGTTGTCTATATTAGAAAAGTTCCCCTTTTCACAGTTTTTTTTTTTGGAAGAAAAGTGTTGAAGGACACGAGAAACTGGCCGAGATTGATAGGTGTCCGTATGACAAGAGTATCCTTACGGACAGGCTCGACACTGTATTTTTCACCCTCTCAATGTTTGCAGCATTTAAAGATTGCAAGAAAAGGTGTGATGCTCCTTTCTCTCGCTGCGTAAACAACAACAGAAGCGAAGAGGAATGCGAATGCATTCAGGAATGTCCTAAAGTGATGAAAGAAGTTTGTGGCTCAGATAATGTGACGTATGACAACGAATGTCTGTTGAAGAAAGCAGCCTGCAAAAAAAACACTGAAATAAAGATCAAGGAAAAAGGATCCTGTACAGGTATGTAACCAAGCTGTTTGGTGTGGCATATTCAGGGCGGCCTACAGCAGACACGAAAGGAACAACCTGAGTTATAATTTTCAAGACATTTTAAAAAAAAAAGTGACGCTAATTTACAGCGAATGAGATGATTTTAAAAAAAGCTGACATCCATACATTGAATTAAGGCTCAATGCTTACTGTAAAAGAGAAGAAAGGAAAAGAAACCCATGACCCAATAAGCCAAGCATTATTTAAAGATTACTAACCTCCCTGGTCCGGCCCCAGCCGCCATGACTAACGACAAATGTTGTGTAGCTTGTTCTATTGTGGATGCTTGATGTCACTAGCAGCGGCAGTACAGCTTTTTTTATTTATATACCTCTTCTCTAACTATCCCAGTATTCTTTTTCCCTTTCCACGCGCAGCCTCACAACTTTTCCTCGTAGATCCCATAAAATCGCTAGCAAAGTGGGTTACTGTAATTTGACCTCCCCCCTCAATTTCTGACATTTTGAAATTAAACAATTTTCATCAAAAACACCACGGGTGTATGAAAAGTCCTCAGCCTAACACGATAGTTCTAAGACGCTAGCCCAGGACCCTCCTTGTTTGAAAAATTCTGTCCTCCTTTCTTACATCACTTTACACTGCATTACAACTGAGTTCGATTTTATTCCTTAGCAACTTGTATGTCATCACTGGGATTGGAAAATAGACAAATAAGAGACAAGCAGATCTCGGCATCCTCAGAACTCGACAAGCATCACACCGCCAAACAGGGAAGGGTTTCCCTGATAAGTTCTCCTCAAGACAGGTAAACGATGGGGTTAGGGTTAGTCCTCTTTTAGGCGAGAAAGATTTGTCTTAATACACTGTAATTAAATGTTTTTTAAGAACTACCGAGAAATCTTGGAAAAAGTGATTTTTCGTTCGAGGGTTCGAGTTTTTCGGCTAGAGCGAGGGTTCAAGCTTGCGAAGATCGCAATAAATTTATTGACGAAATTCATGGAATATTAATATTAGTTTGGGTTAGCAACGGGCCTGGCTAATCAGGGATCAAAAGCATTTTGCAGCGAATCAAATATCATGGAAAGTAATATCTGTTGCTGTCTTGCCTCCAGCTCCTGGTGCAGTGCTTCAACCCTTGACATGGGCACACAATATCTACAAGTGGATTTGCTGTCAGTCCATGCTCTGTCAGGGTTTTCTACCCAAGGCGCCGTCACAGAAAAGTTTTGGGTTAGCAGATATCTGGTTCGTTACAGCTTGGATGGTACTGACTGGATATTAATCGAAGAAGCAGAAGAAACTTACAAAAACCCTATCGATGGAAGAAGCAAGGTGACTCTTAGATAATTTTATGTTCAATTACCTAATAGTTAACCTTTCACATCACACTCAAATATAGCCATTACCACTCACTACAGACATGATTTCGTGAGTCCTTTAGTAAGAAAGCCTAAATAACTCCTCTCACAAAAAACCTTATAACGTATCTGCTTAAAATTGAAATGAAAACTGTTTACTTGAGTCTTGAGGTCAATCTGTGGTTCTTCGGTGAATGTTAAGCCTTGTCAGGACTTCTCTGTGAAACGGGCTCCGATGTTGCTATTTTTTGCGTGAATTTGTTCATTCTTCCTAGAAAGTGTTCGCGTGTAAAAGACATTCAACTGACTACAAGTAATTTATTGATTCATCAAAACAGAAAACTTTAAAGATGGAGAAAAACCCATTCATTTAAACGTTAGATCATCATTGTGCGACATTGACCAACTGAAGTTCTTTTTCAAATCTAAAAGCAATTTCAGGGAAATACGAACCAGTCCTCTATCGTCTATTACTGGCTGAAGACTCGTCTCGATGCTCGTTTCGTTCGTTTCTCTCCTACCTCTTTTTTCGGTCAGCGGTGCATGCGTATAGAGCTTTACGGTTGCAAAAAGTCACACGTATACCCGGATGAAGGTAAGATTTCTTACAATTTGTGTGGATGAATTGTTAATAAATGTTTTTGACAGATCAGTTTACCATTTGGAATCTTAAACGCAGTCAGTGCCATTGTTCTGAAAATAGTATAGACAGTGATGGAAATTATATTTGTTCTAGAGCACCTGTCTCCTCAAAGTAGCGACACTGGCCAATTCTCTCCACCCGAAAATAAAACTTTATCTTTTCCCTAAACCTTTGTGGTTTTCAAAGATAGCGAGAATTTTAATTTGCTTGTGTTGACGATTTACATTTTTACAAGCTCCAGCAGTTCCCAGATGTTCTAAGTTTAAAAGTTTTTATTACATTGTCACCTCTCAGGCTGCAAGGGAATGTGTTCTGCTCCGTTTTCTCGCTGCGTGAAGCACAAAGGAAACGAAAGAAAATGCGAGTGCATTCAGGAATGCCCTAACGCTGTAAAACAAGTTTGTGCCTCGGATAATGTGACATATGACAACGAGTGTCTGTTGAAGAAAACAGCTTGCGAAAAGGGAGAAGAACTAACTTTGGTGAAAAACGGAAACTGTGCAGGTATTTCTTTTTCTAAGAAACTCTGTGCTATGTCTGAATCATCAGATGCACCTCTGGAGTAAGTGTGAGCCAAGAAAATATAAACTGTATATTCCTTTGAATGGCGTAATCTAATTCTTCACTGATTTTACCTACTTTTCTTGTAATCGTAAAAATACATTCAGTCGGTCTGATACGAAAATTCCTTTTTCTCACGTTAGATGCAAGAGTTTTCACATTGTAAGTCTTCTCTGATGATCCGTTAGGAACAAGTCGAAGACTCACAGCTTACCCATCACGAGAATTACTTAATTTACTCATTCCCTTCGACTCCATGTCCCTGGGTGATAGTTAATGCCAAGAAGACGCAACATTTGATTTATATTTTTGGTTCAGATAGGATATTTATTCCGTAAAGTTTTTCGATCGGATTAGCGAACTTACAAAAACTTTTTGCGAACTCAAGAAACGTGCTTGTTTGAAAAACAAGCGCATTTAATTTGTTTTACATAGTTAATGTGAAGGTTGGTAGATAAGTTCAACCGGTCACTTCATTTATTACTCTGTGAGAGTCGTTGTCACAACGGGCAATCAGAAGAAGGGGAAATAAGTTTAAGAGCCAATCAGAACTCGGAGTAAAACCAATCAAACGACCTAAAACGCGGGAAAACGTGAAGGACCAGATGGTGATTTGTTGTAGTTTTGCATCTGACTGGTTGAGAGAGTGGCGTTTTCTGGATCAATCGCAAAGCAAAGTAATGCAAAACCAAAGCAATTCCTGATTACTGTCGTCACTCAATAGCAAATTTCTCAATTATTTAAACAAGCGTATTTCTGACTTGCCCGGCAGGTATCTAAACAAACTATATTCCAAAATGTTTTGGCCAGCTCATGCTCCATTATGGCAACTGCTATTATTTTAGGAAAGGGATGAATTTCTTGATCTTACTGCCTTTTTTTTCTTTCTTTCTTCAGTATCATTCTATAACGTTAATTCTCAAGAGAAGTTGTCTGGTACAATGAAGACAGTTTACATCTTCACCCTTTTATCAGTTTATGCACTACTAAAAGAATACTTTTGTGACCTATTGTGCTGGTAATTGAAAACTTTTATCAGTAATTGCTATACTTAAACCTTTTGTCAGGAAATGTACAACTTACAGCCGATATATTTAAACTTGTTCTTTTACTTACGTGTCAGTGCAATCCGGTGTAAGCCAAAATAAACTGCTTGAATAAAACCAGCCGCAAGCGTGCTTCCGCTGTAGTGATTTCGACCTATCAATAATATTGTTCTTGACCAAACCCTTCCCCAGACACCTTTGGAAACTTCAAGCACATACTCTTCATTCATTCGTCGTTGCATGCAAGTCGTTTCAAACTTAAATTGGAAACTAAAATGGTTCTTTTTAAGGAAAACTAATGCAAGTTATAGGGTACAGGGGTAGGAGAAGGGCGAGGGGCGAGCAGAAAGCACTAAGTGTAAAGATGCCAGGCGCGAACTTTCGCTAATGTTTCTCAAGACTATATGTCAAGGTTGCAGAAATGGGTCTCGTTGAAACAATTCCACCCTCAAATCAATATTGGGGACCTTAAGCAGTCAGGACGACAACGGTGAAGAAAACGTCGATTAACAAGTGAATTTAAATTTATAGTAAGAATTTTGCGAGTGGCTGGATGTGTCACTGAACTGTCTTTCACAACTTCACACACATTGTTGGAATGCAACAAAATTTGATGCTAAGAAAAAATTGTTATGGGGCTAAAATTAAACAAAGTTTGCTTTTTTGTTTATAGAGGTGGTTTCAGACGGCCGTACAGATGAAGGTTAAAACGGCCGTAACTACTGCGTCTCAGTAAACACAGGGTGAATCAGACACAATTTAGCAGTATTAGAAAAAATATATCCGAACATTAATTTGGTGAAAATAACCTTCTCTGTCTCAGCCAATTTTGCCTTCTAGTTTATAAGAAACACAAACCATCAAATATTTTTGCTTGCACACTGTAGATCTAAACGCGTCACGTGATCCAATATGCCCTGACCAAAACTGGAAAATATCCGGGAGAATCGCATAGCTAAAGGTAAACTCCCAGTCTGACTGGCTATCGAAGAGAGGGTATTTGTATAGGTAATCACATGATTTCGAGAGCAATTTGGAATAAATAAGCACGAGTAAATTTTCTTAAAGACAATACAGTGTTTCTTTGTTTGAGATGTTTTTCAGCTGCGGTGGCGAAAGAAAACCTACTTAAATTCTAGACTTAAATTCTAGACTTAAATTCCATTGTTTCGCTCGCAAATTTTCAAATTTTGTTGCGACATCCAAGGCTCGCATTTGATTGGCTATCTGTGAGTTTCTTTGATTATTGACCAATCAGAATGTCTGATTTATTACTTTCTTTGTACTGAATTAACCGTCCTCTGCACTAAATTAACTCTCTTCTGCACTGTATTACCTGAAAACTGCATTTATCTTAACCAGTCAGAACTGAGTAAATTTTCCATGTATATTATTAAGCGTGGAATTGCACTTGTGCATAGAGGGATATTGCTGACTTGGGTCGCGAGCAAAAATTGTTGTTATCGTGAAACAAAATGCAACTCGTGCTGCGAAAAACATCACTTTGGAAATTAACAAATTTACGAAAATGAATATCTGAATTGAATTGAAATTTAAATTTTTAGAAAATTTGAGGAAACCCCTCACACTCAAAAGTACGAGAAAACGTATTGAAGAAAAAAACAAAATGGCAGAGACGAGGGAAGAAAGCCAAACGACAGTTATTGCCGAGAAAAACCAAAGAAGCATCGCGAAAGAAAACCAAACAGGTTTGTCACCTTTTGAAGAGCCAAAAACGAACAAAAGCGTTTTTCAAAGTAAGCCATAGGTTCTTCCCTGTTTTGAAATGAACTACAAATTCTTGGAGAGGCATAAAAAAACTTCTTTCGCACACGACAACGAGAAAGCGGGAAAATCCTGTGAACACAGCCCAGAAAATGTCAAGCAAAAGTTCAACTGAACAAGAAGAAGAAGTGACAACAGAAGGAGTGCCAGGGTCGATTGTCATATATACAGAAGAAGAAATGATACCTTTAATCGCGATGTTAAATTTTCAGTGCTTTCGCTTGGACACCTCATTTCTTTCAATTTTGCCACAAAGAGGTGAAAAGGTGTAAATTATTTTCCTTCTCGAGTAAATGATTTGGAAATTTGAAAAAAGGTGTTAAAGATAGACGGCTTGTAAATTCAACGAAGTACCACTATTGTCCTTAAGATAGTGTGAAGCATGTTTGAAAAGTTTGGAAACAAATGTAAAAACAAGCACAAAGTACAAATAAAGTTGTCGAAGATTCAAACGTGTACGACTGACCTTGGTTCCTATTCGCTAACGCAATGACAGTTCTGAAATTTGACTTTGAAATGGCTTTCTGAGGCGCGCTATGGCACGCCGTTTGTAGAAAAATTTAATCAAGCCGAAAATTTATTCAATCCAATCACTTCAGCCCAATTCCATTTCATTTAATCTTCCAATATGTTTAGAGAATCCAAAAGATCATTTAATTTAATTCTTTGTTTAACAGTTCAATTTAATCATAACTAAATATTAATTTCATCCAATTACAAAAATTTGTATTCAATTAAGTCACCATAACTTCTTATTCAATCAAATCACAAAAATATTTTTCGATCTATCCACTAAAATATATATTCAAACCAATTACTTGAATATTTTTTTTAATTCAATAACGAAAACATTTGTTTAATCCATTCATGAATATAGTTATTCAATCCATTCGAAAACGCGTTCAATCCTCAAGGCATTTCATTTAATCTTTCTGGGGAGAGCGCGGCCAAATCGGGCCAACCAGAGGAACTGGGAACTAGAACTCCGCACTTCGAGATGGCGGACGTTAATCCTTTTGATTTAGTAAGTGATCTTCTCGAGTTTTTGGTTTCCGTTCTTCCAAAAGCAGAAAATATTTTTTACAAAATTTTGAAGAGCAAAACCAGGTAGATGTAGAAGTGCATGCTGAAACAGTAGATCATAATATTTCTTTGATTTGAGCATTGCAAGAGACAAGTGACGTCCAACCATCGGACATAATGGTCCGTAACTCACTTGCAGACGCTTTTAAAAACATTCTTGCATTGCTACGGGATCATATTATTTCCATTGCAGTAACTCCAACAACCCTTGCTGTATCATCTCTAACAATAAGAACGAAAAACAATGAAGAACCAGGGCGATCCTCCTTTGAAATTTCCGCAGAAATGTTGGAGGAACCGAGGACATTGGGATTTAGCTGGACGAAAATCGCCGAATTACTGGGTGTGTCTTGATGGACTGTGGCAAGAAGAGTGGAGGAGTACGGCCTAGGAGATATCAAAGGCTTTGACTATTTACCGGAAGAGTTAGATAAAATAATAAGTTCCTACATAACGAATCACGGAACTGCTACTGAACAAAACTATGTTGGAGGTCATCTGAGGTCTCTTGGATTGAAGATTTAGAGTATTGCGAGAGTAGACCCCCAAAACACTGTGCTAAGGTGGGGGATACTAATCTCTCGTCGCACGTACCATGTTCCGTGGCCAAATTCACTGTGGCACTTGGATGGCCACCATTCACTGATAAGGTTGAAAATTGTCATAAACGGATCCATAGATGGATTCTCAAGGCGAATTATTTTTCTAAGAAGTAACTGAAACGGTTCTTGAACTTTTTGTGGCTGCTGTACAAAGGGATGGAAACCTTTGGTCCTCTAGAATTCGTGTTGATAAGGGTGTGGAAAATGTTCTGATTTGTGATGCAACGGTGCAAGCTAGAGGGGATGGCAGGGGCAGCTTTATTGCAGGCCCCTCTACTCACAACCAACGCATAGAAAGGTTTTGGTGAGATGTTTTTCAATGTGTGGCCCATCTTTACTATTACCTTTTTTATGCTATGGAGTATTTAGGTGTTCTTGACATAACAAATGCCATACATCTTTTTATCTTACACTTAATCTTTATTCCACGGATTAACAAAGCCATGGCAGAATTCACGGAGGTATTCAATAATTACAAGGTTCATACGGAAAGTAACTGGACACCAAATGAAATGTGAACAAATGGAATGATGCACCCTGGTAATCCCTTATCACGGAGTCAGCTAGATGAAGGTGTTGCTGACCTGGCAATGTACCGATATGATGCCCAGGGCCCATCCACCTTTGATGGTGAGGATGATGTTGTTATTGAGCATGTTGTATTAATAATGGTGATACACTCAAATCATTTGTGCTGGAGAACATGAACCCACTCAGCCAATCATGCAAAATGGGAATATATTTGTACATGAAGGCTCTAGAGCTAGTATTTCATAGACTCATATAGTATTTCGAAGAACTCGATGCATGGTGAATGGATACAAAGAGGATATGGCAGTGCACACATTAGTAGTTTGCATAACCCAGTTTCCATGCAAAAGCTCCATTTTCTGATTAATTAGCAGCCTGGATTCATGTTAATGACATGTACCTCATTGAAAAATGGTGGGAAATTTGGTAAGCTCAGGCCTTTGTTCTAAATGTAGTTATGAGATTAGTGCTTGCACAGAAAATGTTTCAATTGTGATTACATGTACATTGTCTTATGAAACATACCTCTTGGCCAATCTGAGCACACCGGCTATCTTTTGACATTTTATAAAGGGGTTTTAAGTAGAAAAGAAAAAAAATGCACCCCTTAGTAATCACTACACTCCTTTGTGAAAAAAAATTATACGACATCCTGAAGATCACATGAACAGTTCCACCGTACTGCCTGAAGAATTGTTTTTTAATGGTCTCATTTGAATACAGGACATTTCGCACAAAAGACATTTCGCACAAGTCTTTTAGCACAAGTTTTGGAACGTTCGCACAATTCTTAGTGGTCATTTCGCACAACAATTTTAAGTGAGAAACATCAATATAAAAGGTATACTAATTGATACTGATAAGATATCTCACCTTCACATGTCACTTTCAATAAGATCCAACGGCGAGAACGTAGACATTTATTTACGTAATAACTTCAACTAGATCGAAATGCTTGTGAACACGATCACTATTCTTACTTGTAGAAAGGAACAAATCTTTCTCTCTATGAAAATGTAAATAACTCCCTATTCGAACGATTACTTCTTTTACTTTTCCTTTGTTAAACGAAAAACCTTTTAGTTTTGACAGTACATCATCCACTGCAAACAAACGAACATGACGACCCAACGCTAAGGACGCCATGTTGATTTCGAAAGTAATTGTCACCAATCCTCCCTCCTCTGAAGTCAAAGTAAAAACCTGCAAACTGTTTCACTTTTTATTTAAAAGGAGAAAAGACCTATTTACAAAATTTCAGTGTAAATATATAAAATTCAAGTTCACGGCCATGTTACCCGACGAATCATGCAAATTTTAACCCGCTACTCGGTCAAGACTCATAGAAATTTAGCCCTTTCCTGCATTCATTTAAGCTATAGTACATCTAAATTTCTTTATTTGTTTTGATCTTAAGCTTGTATGATTACTTATCGAACGGCTAGCGTATAATCTTTGAATTATTTTGAATTCTTGAAACTTTCGTGAAATCATTTGTTTACATCAAGGTCGCTATGACGCTTATCGATCGATACTGAACTCTTCATCGCTTAGGTAATTGTTATTAGAATAATTTGAAAGGTTACTACTTGATAGATGTATTAAACTTCTCGATCTTTAAAATGATTATAGATCGAACTTGTCTTTCTACGAGATCACTAGTTACTACCTACACTGACACGTTCAAGTTGTCAAATCACAACACTTGCACGTGCCGACATTCGATGTGAATCACTCTCTGAATATCGAATTATTAACGTTGAACTGTTTTTGTTGTACGTATTACCAGTGAAACTGCAATAAGCGTGTAAGTCTCCTGGCCTTTAATAACAACACCACAAACCAAGTTCGAATGAAGATTTATTGTAACCGACGTGCTTGGTACTAAGAGTGTGCATACAAACAGCGTGGGTTGAAACTAAAACGGTAAAAAAAGCAAAAAAGTTACAAGTTGCGACTAAGGTAAATTAGAGTAAGGAAATAACAAAACTGCAAAACGAGGACTGTGAAGTACACTTACATTGTTTCGGCCAGAGAAAACTGCTGTAAAGCGGACTGCGAATAACGCGAAGAGACTTGCAAGAAACTAAACAGAACTGCGCTAAGCGCGGACCAAAATGAACTGCCCAAAACTGTACTGCAAAACTACGATATGAAAAATACGCTAGAACATGCGGAAAATAAAACTATAGAAACTAAGAAAGGCGCTAATGAAGATGAAACAGCACAGAAACGCTAACGAGGGCGCGAAAACTGACAGAAAGGAATAAACACTTAAATTAACGCCAAAAAAAAAAAAGACTAAACAAATGGACGAAAAGAAGTATAAACTAATTTGCGTACGCAAAGGAAAAACAAATTACGCAAGAACGAATAATAGAAAAAATGTTACACTTGGATCTTACAACCAGTATGCCTAATTTTCATTATATAACGAAGATATAAGAAGCAAGTTTTCAATAGCTTTATTTGAAACTCTTACAGATCGATAAAACATGCTATTTGAAGCAACTTTTTAAGACATGACAACTTTTGTTGAACACTTTACTTTGCAATACTTCAATGATCTCCAACCCTGAACTACTTCATGGTGTGTTTAGTTCCAACCTGAGTCGTAATGACATAATCACAGTTACAATTTCAAAATCTGTAAAAATATAAATAGAAGCCATCAACAAGCTGAAAACAGTCTCTTTAAAGGGTTTCAGTGACAGTACATTCTGTATTTGCATCACATGACCATCAATACTGAAAATATGGTAACTTTTGGCGTGTAAAATAACTTTACTATACCATCTGGAATTTTTCTCCATGGCTAAATGCGATAGGTGGTGCATGGTGAAGCCAAGAACAGGCTCTTCTGCTGCCCCTATCTCAGAAATTAGTCTTGAACGTAAGCTCAATGGATGTCTTCTTACACTGGCTCCTTGACGCACACACTTTACAAAACAGGCATAGACTTCCTTTTCCTTTGAATAGGCTGTAGATATATCTGGTGATATATCCAGATATATCCCTTAATTAGTTGTTGCTGTAGAAACCTAAGAATTTCTACAGGGTCAGAAAGAGATTGTTTGTCTATTTCAAGAAGTAAATCATCAGTTTCATTGTCAAGGAGATCATTTGCACGATGAGAGCCTGTGACTGATTGAGTGTCATGTTCTCCTAATCCTTCATGGTGGGGTTTTAAATCATTACCATCTTCAGGATTAATGGTATTGACTGGGGACAGTGCACAACTGATACTAACGGTATTATTTTCCTCGGCCTCTTCCAAAAGGGAAGTTTCCAAGCCATGATTGCTGTCACGATCCTCTCCATACACAAATTCAAATCCTGGTTTAATTCTAACATACAGAAGACCTTGACCTGCCATTTTTTTTACCACTGCAAAACTATACTTAGTACCTGGGCCCAGTTCCATAATGGAAATTTTGTTTTGCTTACTTTCACAAACTCGAAATCGTTTGATCCAATCAATGGAAACTTGGGTAAAGGTAAAGAATCCGATCCAACCGACGCGTCGACCGACGTGTTGGCCACCGTTTATTCTTCTAACGTTCAAGATGCGTCGGTGGTGTGTCGGTGGTGCGTCGGTGGTGCGTCGGTGGTGCGTCGGTGACTTTGTTTGGGTCTTCTTTATGTAAATCAATGCTAAACCTTCCTTTTCTACTGTGACGTCTTCTTCGGAAGACTTTTACTCACGATATGCAAATGAATAATTTTGTTTTGGCCGCCATCTTGTTTGTCGTGTTTTTGGAACCCAGTCCCCACACAGTTACTTATCCTTACTGAGCATAAGATGAACATTTCCTATATTTTTCCGTGAGGATACCTTAATATTCTAAACCGACACCTGTCCTCGAGTTTTTAAATTTTTATCACCAAAAACACTGAAATTTTATTACGTTGGACATTGACTTTTTCAAACTTAGTGGCTCCTAAAGGAGCCGTTTTTCTTGCTTATGAAGCCCTCTACGAATGGAAGGCATTATCCTGTGCCAGCGGCAACAGCTTCCTCGTGAGGCGAAGTCTTTTAACGACCGGAAGGAGTCCACCCAGCTGCTTCCGACATTCCTGTTCGATGGTTTTTACGGCTAATTTGGGGTTTCCTAGCCTCTCCAAGGTGCTTTCAAATGTCACCTCATTGACAATTTTCAGTTCCGCTACACCCAGGAAGTCACTAATGGTGCTACGTGCTGTTCCTGCCAGTCTATAGGCGTTTGTTAGGGTGCACTTCTTCTCCTGGAGGGTCGACAGCACAGCCGTGTAGTTTCGATGAATCATCGGCCAGGTCGTTTCGGTCAACCTTCGCAGAGGCCTCTTGGTTTGCAGTTGATGGTACTTCAGGATTCTGCATTGCTCGGAGCTGCTGTTCGAGAGCATTAATCCGCTCATCCTTTTCCGTAATTTCCTCTTTGAACACGCTCCTCACTCTGCCGAACCAGGTCTGCCATCTCGTCGGCGCCTTGCTGGGCCTGATTTAGCTGCTCGTCCTTGTCTTGACAGCTTTCTTTCAATTCATCGTACTGGGCCTCGATAGTTTTGTAGGCCTTGCCGAGTTGTTGGGTTTTTTGTGTGAGCTGCCTGCAAATGGCTCTATAGTTTGGCTCAGTTTCTGGTGACTGGCTGTTCTGAGGCTCTCCTTCCTTTCTTCTGCCTCTTTGCTGGTGCCTGTTGACAATCGCATTCACGACTGTCACCACTACATGAGCTGCACATAGCTAAACAAAATCGTCCTCAAAATGGCGACGATTTAGAGTTCCTTTCTTCTGCGATCGATCTTACCAACTCATAACATGCTAACTCCCTCGGTATCCGACCCTTAAAAAGAAAAAAGTAGGAGACGACCTAGGTATTATTGTTTCGTTCTCAAAATGGTGGTGATTTAGATTTCTTTTCCCTACGAGATTGGTCTTATGCGTTCGATCTTATCAACGCGTCGGTAGTGTGTCGGCCGACGCGTTCGCTGAAGCGTCGGTAGGATCGGATTCTTTACCTTTACCTCATTCTTTGAGAATGACCTAGTCTTCGTAGAACTCCAGCGCTTTGGCTGACGCTTATCATGCTTTTCGCTGACCGAAAGACTTCAGAAACGTTAACGTTGTTAGCATCAGTCACAGTTGGCGAGGCTGTCGGCAAACTCCTCGGGGATTCGCAAAGGAATTTTGATGCCTCTTCGAGCATTCGAGCAGCGCGCTCCACTTTGCTTTGAGTGAGGTCTTGACTTTCATCCATGCTGACGCGCTAAAGGTGCGTAAATGTAACATATTATGATTAGATTAACGTCTAAAACTACTCGTCAAATTAACAAAAGGGCTTAATACTCTTTTTCACTGAATAAAAACGCAGTTAAGTAGAATTTAATTTATTCCCAAAATAAGGTCAAACAACTTTCAACACTTGCCTGTAAGTTCTGTCTTCATATGACTTTTCTGCTTTGGCCGCGCTCGCCCCAGGAAGATTAAATGAAACGCCTTGAGGATTGAACGCGTTTTCGAATGAATTGAATAACTATATTCATGAATGGATTACACAAATGTTTTCGTCATTGAATTAAAAATGATATTCAAGCGATTGGATTGAATATATATTTAAGTGGATGGATTGAAAAATATTTTTGTGATTCGATTGAATATGAAGTTATGGTGATTGAATTGAATACAAGTTTTTGTAATTGGATTGAATGAATATTTAGTCATGGTTAAATTGAACCGTTAAACATAGAATTAAATTAAGCGCTCTTTCGGTTTCTCTAAACATATTTGGAAGATTAAATGAAATGGAATTAGGCTTAATCGATTGGATTGAATAAATTTTGACTTGATTAAGTTTTGCTACAAACGGCGTGCCACAGCGCGCGCTCAGGATAAAAACAAACAATATTAGTACTGTTTTCTTTTTTTCTTATTTTTATTCAATTATGCGATCCAAGAAAAATTCACTGCCCGACGAGTGATTCCACGTTAAATTTCGCAATTCGTGCAACATCGGTTTTTCGCGTGAAATTTAACGAGGAATTCACTCATCAGGCAGTGAATTTTACTGTAATATATCCAAGGTGATATTCCTTAATATCTAAACCTTACGCCCAATGCGATAAGATTCTTCATTTCAAATGTTATTCTATACGAGAGAGGGTTTTACTGTCTTTGTAGAAGAAAAACATTTGTTTGTTCAAAGAATTGTACCATAAGTAGTAAACGGTAAGCTGTTCATAAACATTTTGTACCTGCTCTGCAAAAAAATATTTGAAGGCTAATAAACACAATAGCCTTAATTTGGCACGGAAAATTGATCGTATATTTGTCCTCGGACATCATCTGTTCCTTGAGGCTCACAGTTTTCCTCGAGCTACGCTCATGGAGCACTGTTCGCATGCTAAAGGAGCGTCTCATATTCACAGTCGTTTAGAAAGCAATTAGTTCGTAGCACGCTTGATTAGTATTTAATTATATAATTAATTACTTTTGTCGCGTCATTAGCAATCATGGACCCTTCGAAAAACACATGAAATTTTTCATGCTGTTTTCCTAACTACTTTTGCAAAGTAAGATGAGCGAGCCACGGATCAGTCGTTTTCTCCTGTTGATTGGTGTTTTGACTTTCACGAATGTTATCGCTTCGGATGTCACACTGAGGTTTACGAGTGGAAGGTGGGTTTATTCTGAGTTTAAGAACTTAACAAAAGTATCCACTATTTTTTGTTATCATTTCAGTAATATGCTAATTTGAAGTATGGTAAAAAGGCATTTCTGCAAAACTTATTTCGGAGGGCTTGCAATTCTCTGACAGCTGTTGCAAAGAGTAGTAATTAAAAATTCACAGCTAAACACCCGAAGAGTTGAGTACTTCAAAGCACTTCTGCGCAAAAAAACTCAAATGGGCAGAAGAACCAACCGACACAAGAGACAGTGAACAACAACAACAACAAAAACCCCGGTAACACGTTGGGCAAATATTGCAAGCTTTTCACAACTTTATGCCCTCCTAACTTCATATTGTATAATTTTCAGTAACACGTTACCTTTTCACCAAACCCTCGTTCTAAGTGCTCCGTTTCTTTTTTTCCAAATTTCACAAAAAGAGACCCACCAGATGTAACGAAAAGTCAGTAAAAATTGCCTGGTTATGTTTCAGCTGCAGAAAAGTTTTAGACAATAATAATAGTAATAGTGATAATGATGAAAATTACAATTTAGAATATTTAACGAGCCGTGAAGTGGCGAGGTAATTATCCACCACTTTCACCAACTCTGAGGTGAATAATTATTACATTATTTAAACTTGTGGATCATTGGACGGTGCAATTCAGAATCAGTTTTGATTGGTTTAGCCATACTGGAGTACGAGCCATTACATCATGACTAAAACCGGAAGTCACTTGTATACAAAAGCACCGTTGTTAATCTTTGGCAATTTTAAAGTTTACCGAATAAGGAGGTGAATATTACTTCGATGATAACCTCAGAGTTAACCAATCAGCGGGGCTGAAAAGCACTATTCACTTGTGTGGTAAATGCAGCTGCAATTATCATAATTTTGTCTTGGTATTCGTTTTTTGTCAGGTTATTATGACCATCTGGTCGACCAGTTTGCCATCATTCATATGTGACAAGCCATCGCTAAATGATTGCGAAGTTTAGTTAGGACAATTCTTTCGTTACATTTATTTTCACTTTCACTTACAGAGCGCATGGGACCATTCAGACAGCTTTACTACCTGAAACTAAGCCCATCATTACATTCAAGTGTGAAAAGCCTTCGCAAAAACACTTTACCGGAAAAGTAGATCTGTACTCTGTTGGATGGAGGGCATTAAGAAATTGCAACACTACAAAGGGAAAATGGCTTGGACCAATAACATGTCGTGGGAATCATATAAACAGTTTCAAAACTTCGAAACTTCTGATAAAGGATATCGAAAATTATCAAATTCTTGGTGGGTATAAAATACGACAAATGAACTATAATTTTTTAACTAAAAATTTTTCTTTCAGCTATTGCTTTTTGCATAGATAATTTGAAGGGCTGGTGGTGTGATTACCACACAGTCACCTAGTCATCATCTGATTTTGAGAGCCAGTCATATCCTACTGTTGATTCCATGTTCTAACGTCAGCATTTTTCGGTTAACTTTCTTCAGCTCTAATCGTTGCCTTGCCCAATAAAATTGTTGTGTATTTACAGAGCCTACGAGATTTTTCAATAAAAAGTTAACAGGGCTTTTCATAGGTGTCAAATGTCGTTTTTTACGCTCTCTTTGCGAAAGAAATAGCGATTGATTCTATCCTACATGCGTAAGCCTAGTTGCAATGCAACTTAGAAGAAAAGTCGAGGTAGGATTTAAGTACAGATGAAATAACAGACACATATCCAGCAAAGACGCAAGCTTTTGCTGCATATCATTTCTCGTGATGGTACACTTCGCTCTGAAAATGGTCTCGTTAATTCTTGCCAGCCACACAACCCCAAATCGACATGGACAACAAAAAACATGTCGTATTCTTTTGTTTTTCGGTACTGAACAGCACTCTCGATTTTTTTCTTTTGAATTTACAGGTATAGCACGTAAAAGTAATGAGCCACACAAACGTTTCCCGAGTAATCAACATTGCTCTTCTCTTAAAACCCACGTGTCCCGGCTTAATCTTCATTTCTGCGATCCAGAGATCACGTCAAATGGCAATGAATGTGTTAAGGAAGGTACGAATAACAGTTTTATATTCCTTGATATAAAGTGCCTCCCTTACGGCATCGTGCTTCGCAGGGCACTTTTCTTTACCTGCTATATATTATGTGTGTAACAGAGTTATGACCGGCAATTTGCCAGTACTTTATTTTATCACATAAACAGTACGGAACCGCCCGCTTCTATTACCAAAGATTTATGAAAATAAATCCCCACATAAGGTCGTGCGTGATTACCCAAGGAGGGCAAAAACGTCGTAGGATCCAGCGTGCAGCCTTGCCAAATGCGTACTAGAAAGAAATTTTTGTTGTAACAATTCTAACGACTTATCCAAGGTGATATCAACACTCAATTTTATCACCAATATATTATCAGTAGCTCTCTGAAAACGGCTCGTAATCGATGCTGGATGGACAAATACATGGAGAAGGAGAGAAATAGAACGAGCAGTGATCCTATGGGGGAAAAAAACCTATCACTGAGTTGGGTGGAGCCGGCTGTAAAAAATCTAATTATGAAAAAAGAGGCTTGAGTCCAAAGTCCGTAGCAAATATTATTAAATTTGCTAAATGAACCATTTGGCTAAGATGAAAACTCCGAAACCTCTTAATATTTCTAACAAAAGGGTAAGAAATTTGCGCGAACGAAAGCTCAAAAGCAACGGACCAAACTCCGTAAAAAACAAACAAGAAAAGTACGCGAAAAATGTCCATGTCAGTTTTCCAATGTCAAGCGTAGAATTCTTTTACGTGATTGGTTAATTTGTGAAATCACGCACGCCACGCGTGAATGCGAAAATAATACAAAGGGGGAAGAAGGTGAGAAAATTGTGATTTGAAAATTAAAAACGAAAGACACTTTCTACACCGGCTGGGAAAATATGTAGCTCTAGGTCATGACTTAAAAATTAATAATAATAATAATAATAATAATAATAATTGATATTTAAACAGGGTGACCCCTTCAGTCACAAGACTGGTATCAACGGGGGCCCTGTGTAACATAAAATAAAGGAAAGTAGAATAAATTATATATATACACATATCAATAAGAACCAACTGATATAAAAAGTAACAATATTCGATTTCAGAATGTTCTAAAAATGGCTTAAGGGTAAAAAGCGGAGATAGCCGGGAAACGTTTGAACAGTGAGCTCCGTACAACGTCCTCCGTACTACATTATGACCATCACCCAAATTTTTTCACGAGCAGCTCTCCTACTCAGTCAATATGTGTTAATCGTTACGATGTATGTCGCGGAACATTGTATAACAACTGAGTTCGTGTTCATTCATTCATTCGCTATCAGCTTGTCCATTGTCGTTAAGAGATCATGGCAATAAGGTAAAAATAACTATGAGTGCCACCTCTGAACTGGACAAGAACCACACTGCCAGAGATGGATGGCTCACCAACATTGATGTCCTCAGATCACTCAAGACACTTAACGGGTAAAGAATGATTTGATAAATAGCGCGTTCCGTGAGAGCTTATTTGGCCTTCATTCAACCTAATCATAGCCCTTAGTATTAATTTCCAAATCGAATACCGTTACTCTGCTAAATGCTTTGAAATCTGAATGTAGATTTTCAAGGAAAGGAAGTAACTTGGCATTCCAGACTGCTTGTGAAGCTTTTTTTTTTTTATTACTTTTTTTATTACTTTCTATTCCCTTTTTTTCATATAAAGCTCTTTAAAAATGACAAATTTAATGTTTTACTATTATTTACGATGTGGCCTACTGACACAGTGATCTGAAGCTTAAGGGAGTTTTTTGAAAACGTTAACGTGACTTTTGGTGGACTATTCACTAAAGAACTTCCTTGTTGCCCACCATTTCTGCTTACATGAAAATGAGCAACAAAGGTTTTTCACCATAGGCTTTCAGCTGTGACCCAGGCTCCCCATTTAGCGGAATAATACGACATGCGCATGCCCAAATATGCAGTTAGGCAGTCAGTGAAGCTTAAGTGTGACTGGTAACTATTGTGCAACCATGGCGGTCAAACGAGCATGCGCAAGTGGATCAACTTTGGCTGACCGCGCGCCAGTACCCCGCGCAAACTTTCAATTGTTTTTTTCTTAGCTTTATCGGATTTATGTCAAAAATTTCAGGCATGGTAAGCTGTTCATAACGATGAGAAAACTTGGTTCTGACGGCCTGAAAGTACATCTTTTAACCATAACAAAGTTTGAACATACGCAAATATTGACCGTTGTGTTTGGCCGGCATGCCCTGTATCTAATTAACGTATCAATTGTTATAGCTTCATCGACAGTTCCTGGTGTGCCGCACCAAGTTTTGATCTGAGAGCACAACATCTGCAGGTGGATCTCCCTCGTGCTTACTCCATGTCGGCGATTTCTACCCAAGGAGCAGTTTCAGAAAAGAGTTGGGTCAGCAGTTATCTCGTCCATTACCACAACGGGGAAGCTTTTAACCCCCTCACTGATATCAAAGGGCAAATCAAGGTGCCTTGCGTGAAAAATAATTTATGTAATTAGTTAAAGTCAATCATTAACACCAGCCTTTTTCTTAATTCAAGAGAAACCATTGTTTTTTTTTGTGCAGTCGAAAATGGAGGAATTATCGTGATACAAATGTAATTTCACGCCGGGAAACATTTATAGATATGATGCTGGTGATTTTATTTCTTTTCCTTCTCTTTCTAACAAAGCTAACCACAGCTTACTAATGGTAAATTATCTAAGATATTTCTTGCTGGAGAGGGATTCAAAGCTGGTGGAAAAAAAGCCATTTATTTACAAGTTAGATCGTAGGTTTCCAATAGCAATAGCTGACGCTGTTTTTCAGGAGTTTAAAGGAAACACGGACCAGTCCTCTATCGTCCGTCACTGGTTGATGCCTCATATGTATGGAAAAATCGTTCGTTTCTACCCTACCTCTTTTGTTGGTCGGCTGTGCATGAGTGTCGAGATTCATGGATGTTCCTCTAAAGACCTATCCATGTGGCACATTCCAAGGGAGCAATATGAAAAAGAAAGTAAGATTTTATTAAAACTGTGAAGTTAAATAGCGCATCAGTGAAAGACTGTTAATGCATTTCCCCTTCATCATTTCGTGTCTCTGTGAAGCTAAATTCGATAAAGTTTAATTGACCATGAAAACCTAACTTGTCATTCTTTTTGCAGAACCCATTCGCTGTAATCTGCCCAAACAGCCTGGTAATTGTATGGCTTCATTGCGCAAGTGGTTTTTTAACAATAAAACAAGACAATGTGAACCGTTTAGTTATGGTGGATGCAATGGAAACCTCAACAACTTCCACACTGAAGATATTTGCCGGCAAGAATGTTCAGGTAAATAAGAAACCAGGCAGGAAAAAACATTTGGGATCATTGACTAGACCTTGTCGGTATAATAAAAAAAGATGTTCAACAGATTTTTCGATCTCACGTGGATTAGAACCTCAGAGCTTCTGAATTCTCAATCTCAGGGGGGGGGCATATTCAGGAGTTTTTTGAGAATGAGACAATTACACATTCAGTTATTTTGATGATCATTACTGCTAATGAATGACAAACTATTATATACAGTTAATAATCGAATACGCTATTGCTACAGTACTCTCTTTTGTAAGGGTTCAGCGGATCAATTTCAGTATCTGGGCAACTGCCCACCTACCCCTCCCCTAACCCAACAACAATCAATTGATAACAACTTGGGGTTAATGTTAGGTTAGGGGAGGGGTAAGTGGGGGTTCAGCTTCGAGAAATAAAGGGATGATTTTTCTGCAACAGTAGTATTACCTACAGAAAATATAATTACATTATCGCCGGATTGTTCGTAATAAGGAGATTGAGTCCAGATGGTTTTGCTCTCTAAAGCCGAGATTTAGTGTCCGTTATCCATATCAGAAAGGTTTCGCTTAATAGATACTTTTTTAAAGAAAATTTGTTTTTAGAAACTGTTTGGGTCGTAGGAAACTGGCTTAGATGGACAGGTATCCATGTAGCAAGAGTGTCTGTAGGAAGAAGATCGTTCGTATAACTTTTACCCTTTTCGATGATTTCTAGTATTTGAAAAATGCAAGAAAAGGTGTTCAGCTCCATTTTCTAGCTGTGGGAAGAACGAAAGAGGCGAAGAGAAATGCGAATGTATCCAGGAATGTTCTAAAATAATAGAACACGTTTGTGGCTCGGATGGAGTGACGTACGTCAACGAATGCCTGTTCAAGAAAGCATCTTGCGAAAAGAATACCACAATGAGTATTGTGGGAAAAGGATCCTGTACAGGTATTTCTCATTTAAAAAGCTGCGACCAAAATGTTTCGAGCGGCATTAAACGAGGTTTAGAAAGAGGTGGCTTACAGCAAACGCAAACGGCAACCTAGATTTCGTTTCTGTCAATTGTTAAACATCTAATGATGAATACAAAATGACGCTTATTTACAAGGAATGAAGATGTTATCAAAAAAAAAAAGCTGACACCCATAGACTGAATTAAGGTTCAATGTTAGCTCTAGGACAGAGGAGAGGAAGAGGAACCCCGGGAGCCAGGCATTATTTCATGGCCCTCCTACTTTAAAGATTACTAACCTTCCTGTTCCGTCTACCATGACAAACAACAAATATTGTTTAACATGTGCAGCTGGTGGTGTTTGGGGTGCTCCAAGTCAATATCAGCGGCAGCGCCGCTTTTATTCCTTCAATTTCTCTTTCATAATTGTTTCACTGTTCTTTTATTAATCCACTTGGGCCCCTCGAGTATCCCAGAACACATTCAGCTACGCAGGCTACTGTAAATGTGCCATTTTCCCCCTTCCCCTACCCCACACACACAAATACACGCATCCCTCAGCTAATATAGAAAAATCTAAATAAAAATACTTCAGACATATGTATACTCCTTAACTCAATCTGGGAGAGAATACCCTGATTGAAAACTTCTATCCTACTTCCTGAAGTCAACTTACACCGAACAACAACTGAGTCCAACCTTTTTCATTCCTTCTTAGCTTGTCTATCATCACTGAGATTGGGAGATGGACAAATAAGAGACCAGCAGATCTCTGCATCCTCAGAACTCGACACGAACCACGCCGCTAAACACGGAATGATATCCCTAACCGGACAGGTGCCTCAAGACAGGTAAACGATGAAATAATGACAAAGGGTTAGAGATGGTCCCCTTTTAGGTCAAAAGGAATTTTCCTGGTGCACTGTAGTTAAATCTTAGTTTAAAAAACCGTGAATGCACGAAATAATTGATACTTCGTTCGAGGGTTTGAGTCTTTCGGTTTGAGCGAGGGTTCAAGTAAGCGAAGGTGAAATCACAGTTTTGGTTCGAGTTAGCGCTGGGCACGGTTTGTTGAGGGTCAAAAGTATCTTGCAGCAAATCAAATATCATGAGAAGAAATAATTGTTGCTGGCTGACTTTCAGCTCCTGGTGCAGTGCTCCAACTCTTGGCATGGGAACACAATATCTACAAGTTGATTTGCTGTCAGTCCATATTCTGTCAGGGTTTTCTACCCGAGGCGCCGTCATAGACAAGTTTTGGGTCAGCAGATATCTGGTTCGTTACAGCTTGAATGGTATTGACTGGATATTAATCAAGAATTACGACGGAAAAGATGAGGTGACTCTCAGAGAATTTCATGTCCAACTACATGTTTTATGTCCCACACCAAATTTAGTATAATTGCTGCTGTGATTATAGAGATGCGCGCGCTCTGATTGGTCGAAGACTATGTCATATCTAGCTTAAATCGCCTCGCGCGTGGTGATTATAGCAGGGGCTCAAAATTTCAAAATGGCTGCCTCAGGCTCAGTGAATATCATTGAATAACTCCATCGACTTCCTCTTAACATTCACTTCGCCTTCGGCGAATAATTGTTAAATAGTCGTAGGCACATGGTATGTTATTGTTAAATAGAAGTGCAGATCTTACCAGGAGAGAAACAGGAGGCGTTGACGTATAAAAAGATACACAATTGTTTACTAACAGTTAATTGGTTCATTAATCATTAAATCCTCTATAAGACAGAAAAAAATTTCAGATGGAGAAAAACCAATTCATTTAAACGTTAGATCTGTGCAACTGTTACCAACTGAAGTTCTTTTTCAGATCTATAAAGAATTTAAAGGGAATACGGACCCATCCTCTACCGTCCATCACTGGCTGAAGCCTCGTCTCGATGCTCGCTTCGTTCGCTTCTCTCCTACCTCTTTTACCGGTCAGCGGTGCATGCGCATAGAGCTTTATGGTTGCAAAATGTCACACTTAAATACGGGAAGCAAGAGCTTAACGGAGGGTAAGATTTGTTACAATCCGTCGGGATGAATTGTAAACATATGTTTTTGACAGATCAGGTTATTATTTGGAATCTAAAACGGAAACGGTGCCATAAACTTCAAGATGCCTTTAAATGAAGGCGATGAAAATAATGTGATTACTGGAGCACTTTCCACCTCTAAGTTGCAGCCGTGGTCAATTTTCTCCACCTGAGAATAAAACTTCATCTACCCTTAAAAGAGGATCTATTAATTAAAGGGGGGTGGAGTCTGAGTGTCCTGTATCCTATTACTTTTTTGGCGAAATGTCCCGAATCGCGTCAATTCCTTTGGTTGTATCCCTATAAATTTAGTTTAATATCCCGAAACCTCAATTTTGAATATCCCTAAGAGAATATACACTCTTGATATCGCATATCCCATTGGTTGTTTTTTTTTTCATTAAATATCACGTATCCCTATAATTCTCAACCCAAATATCCTGTATCCCGATAACCCCTTGTAGGACCCCTATAAATCTTTACGGTTTTTGAAGATGGTGAGGATTTGATTTTTTTTTACGTAATGGACTATAATGGTCAGACGGATTTACATTGTTAAAAGCTCTAGGAGTTCTGAGCTTTTCTTAGTTGAAGATTTCCCAGTACACTGTTACCTTTCGCTGTTTTTTTAGGTTTGGGCTGCAAAACAAAGTGTGCTGCTCCGTTTTCTTTCTGTGTGAAACACAAGGGAAACGAAGAGAAATGCGAGTGTATTCAGGAATGTCCTTACTTTTTGAAACAAGTCTGTGGTTCGGATGATGTGACGTATGACAACGAGTGTTTGTTGAAGAAAACAGCTTGCGAAAAGAATAGAGAAATAACAATTAAGAAAAATGGAAATTGCACAGGTAATTTTTCGCATTCGATCAGTTTGCTAGTAAAGTATTTAGCGTGCTAAACGCACAGGGTACTAATCAAATATATTTTCGCTGGTCAAACCCTTACATATATATATATATATATATGTATATATATATATATATATATATAGGAAGTCTGCAGGTCGATTTTCGCGTGGAAGAGTGCTCAATACGTTGAAGTAGAGCAGAATAAATAAATATTATAAAAGTTTTTTCCTCTCATATATATATATATATATATATATATATATGTAGATTATAAATGATAGAGTATAAACCCTAGAGAGTATAGCCCTTTGATTTTTTACATCAAATATCCCGTATCCCGATAACCCCTTATAGGGCCTCTATAGATCTTTGCGGTTTTCGAAGATGGCGAGGATTTGATTTTTCTTCCGTAATGTTCTACAATAGTCAGACGGATTAACATTGTTAAAAGCTCTAGGAGTTCTGAGCTGTTCTCAAGTGAAGATTTTCTTAATACACTGTCACCTTTCGTTGTGTTTTAGATTCAGACTGCCAAAAAAAAAAGTGTGCTGCTCTCCCTTCTCCCATATCAACACTGTACCATCCCTGCTCCCCTCCCACATCGTCACTGCACCATCCTTGCTCCCTCCCGTATCGTCACAGCACCATCCCTGCTTCCCTCCCACATCGTCATTGCGCCATCCCTGCTCCCTCCTATATCGTCACAGCACCATCCCTGCTCCCCTCCCACATCGTCATTGCACCATCCCTGCTCCCTCCCATATCGTCACAGCACCATCCCTGCTCCCCTCCCTTATCGTCACTGCACCATCCCTGCTCCCCTCCCATATCACCACCGCGCCATCCCTGTTCCCTTCCCATATCATCAGTGCACCATCCTTGCTCCCCTCCCATATCACCTCTGTTCCATCCCTGCTCCCTCTCATATCATCGTTACACCGTCCCTGCTCCTTCTTATATCACCACTGCACCATCCCTACTCCTTCCCATATCGTCACTGCAATATCCCTACTTCCTCCATATCACCTTTGTTCTATCCCTACTCCTCTCCCATGTCACCACTGCAGCATCCCTGCTCCCCTCCCATATCACCACTGCACCATTCCTGCTCCACTCCCACCCCTTAACCGCCTTAGAACAGCCCACTGCTCGTAACATGCATGTACAACAAGTGTTTTTGAAAAAAATTAGTGACAATAATTTCTCATAGCTGTTGATGATTTGAATGTTTTATCCTTTCAAAATACCATACCCTATTCTGTCAAATGTCTGTATCAAAAAGAGGCTGCCGTAGACAGGTGCGCCGACATAAAGATCCTGTTGGCGGCAGATACTCGTGAAGATATTTTCAGAGAGTATTCTGTAGGATTTTCAGTTAAAACTTTCACAAAACATTGAGTTTGTTCTGTGCATTTTTACGATCAATAGGCTGCAACAAAAATTGTTCTGCCCCCTTTTCTCGTTGCGTGAAGGACGGAGGAAACCGGGAAAAATGCATATGCAATCAAGAGTGTCCTAAGATATTAAAACAAGTTTGCGGTTCAGATTTCGTGACGTATGGCAACGAGTGTCTGCTGAAGAAAACAGCCTGTGTAGAGGAAAAAGAACTAACTGTGTTGAAAAAGGGAGCGTGTGCAGGTATTTCTTTTTGAAGAAGTATACAATTAAATCATTTAGCGCGCTAGATCAAAATCATCAGAAACACTTCCGGAGCAAATTTGAACGGTGACCTGGCTTATAACTGATTCTACTTAATTTTCGTGTAATCCATAAAATACACATGTTGTCAGTTTCATATGAAAATGCCTTCTCACATCACACGAAAAAAACGTACATGTTGTCTTCTCTTGATTCGGTAGGCAACTTGAAGATTCAAAATCTCACCCATCACGAGAATCTTTTTAATTTATTCATTCCCTTCGAACCCATGCCTTTATGTGGTAGTCAAAACATCTGATGTCTCTAGTTTTTGCCTTTCGCACCTAGGCGCCTCAACAGTTTGTGAAAACGGACCCTGTCCACCGTTTGCAACCTGTGTTGAATCAGACAATGGAAACAGATGTGCATGTCCTTGGTGTTCTCATAACCGCACCCGAAAAATTTGTGGATCGGATTGGAGAACCTACAAAAATTTTTGTGAACTCAAGAGGTATGCCTGCGAAAATAACAAGCACATCTCAGTCGTCTCACGTGGTGAATGTGAAGGTAGGTAATTTTGACGTCGTCATCCCAAAGGTCAATCAGAAGAGAGAGAAATAACTTGAAGAACCATTGGGCTCAAAATAAAACCAACCAAACTGCCAAAAGCGCAGGAAAAAGCAAAAAGGAACACCAAAGCAATCCTGGATTATTCGCGACACTCAAATGAAAATTTTTCAATTATTCTAAGGCATAACTTTCTCACTCTCAGTTTCTGACAAATTGTATTCCCAATCGTTTTTGTCATTTTCCAGTCCATTTGAGCAATGTTTGAGTTATCTAACTGTACTATTTTGGGAAAGGAATTAATTTCTTGATGTCACTGTCATGTTTTTCCTTCCTTCAGTATCATTCCTTGAGGCTAATCCTGAGGAAAAACCCGCTAAACAAGAGAAGTCGTCTGGTTTTATGAAGAAAATTTACATCTCCGGAATAGCTGTTTTGATCCTGGGAGTGGTAATCGCCATTGCTATGTGCGCGAGTCAACCAAAGATTAGGTGAAGATATTTTTAAGAAATCGATGTTTCTGTTAGAAAGCCCGAAAATTTGGATTTCTGTAATGAATCAAAGGGGTCCCCAACCCTGTGGTTGTGCAATGTTTTCAAAGACAAGTATGCTTTAAAAACTGTACAACTGTTGTCTTCACCAACAAAGAGTATGTTTAAAGATGCCTTCTCAGCCCATGTTGAGATTCCTAAGAGTAGCCTACTGGTAAAGAATATCATCAAATATGTCTAAAATTCCATTTTAAAACGTCGCCATTTTGAAAACAAATCATGAAACTGCAAGAGTGGGGTGAGAAATGTTTTTTGGCGAAAAGTGGCTTTATGTGTAGCGGTTCCAGAACGTTCCTAATTATTCATTATTGGCCAAGGCCCATTACAATTAGCTCCCAGCAAGGCTCTGTAATTCAGAACTTCTCACCTGTAACAGCTAAGTTGACCCTCTGTGGTTTACTGACCTAATTGAATCCATTGTTGAAAACTTTTTCTAGAAGAATACAGAATAACAGCCACCGGAACAAGAGCTCATTCAAAAAACGTCATTCTAAATACCAGAACGAGAAGCCTACCACTAAAGAAAACTTGTAAGCGAAACACGACTATTACTGACGGATTACTTCTTCTAGTTATTGTTCTGCTCACGGAAAACTATTTTTTGCTTAATGTACTTATTACGGAAAAATTTTATCAATTTTTCGTACTGTTCACGGAATACTTTATCACTCATTGAAGTACTTGAAGAATACTTATGTCAGTTTTTTCATTACTTACGAAACACTTTTATCAGTTATTTTACTGTTCGCAGAGAATTATATCCCTTATATCATTTATATCACCCATTATATCACTCATTGACTACTTACGGAACACTTCGGAACACTTTCGTACGCTATTGTGCTACTAATGGGGTACTGTTATCTGTAATTTTCTTAATAGCGGAAAACTTTTGTCAGTCATTATACAACTTACAGCCAGGAAATTTGTACCAATTGTTTTACTTTCTTGTTATGTCATGCCAATGTAATCTGTTTAAAACCAAGATAAACTGATCAAATAAAACCAGCCTTTAATCTCCTGTCGTTGCCGTGATGTAGACCTACATATGACATCAACCATGACCATAACTCTTCCAGACTCCTTCGAAAACTTCATGCCCAAAAACTCTAACTCTCGCTTCGTTGTATGCGTCTAGTCTCGTTTTAAACTCCACCTTCCCCCTCCCCCTCCTCCAACCAAAGCTGAATGCGGTTGTTGTGTTTAGAGAAGTAGGAGTACATTTTGCAGGGGAGTTGGGGGAGGGGCCAAAATATCGTATTTCTTCACGTGTGTTGATATAGCCAATCAGCTGCTGACACGTCACGTTTAGCGCCACTCGGTCGAGTTGATGAATGAATGGCAAAGCGTTGACGATTCTCAATACAAGTTGTTTGTCGGAGCTTTCTCGAATTACGGCAGCTAAAACACTAAAAAATCCGTATCGCTGACAGACAGTGAGGTTCAACCTTTCCTAGAAGGCGAAGAAGCTATTCAGTGGCTTTGGTGTTAGCATTTCTCTCGGTTGAGAATGAAAATCGACAACTGGAAGATTTTCCACGAGCCGATTTTGGCCGTTTACTCGGAAGACTATTTAATCGGAAGACTTCTTCTGTCGGTAAGGACAAAGTCAATAAATGAGAATTTTGTAAATTGAAAATTACGACTATTGTTGTTTTTGTAGTCGTGATTCAACGCTTTTTTCATCTTGGGAGTTAGCGCCAACGCACTCTACGTTTGTTATTCGGGGATTGTCGATTCATTTATATTCATTCATAAATTAAGTCGGCTTTTCTTCTCAGTAAAGGGCTATTGTGTTTCTATGATAAACAAAATAACACATGGTTGCTTGTAGATATGGAATTTCTCATCTCGTGTTCAACTCGACATCTCACTCATTCGCTGCGCTCACTCGTGAGCTGTCGAGTTAAACGCTCGAAGAGAAATTCCATATCTACGTGCGTCCATGTATTATTCTCTATATCTTATTATAATAAAGTTCGGATATAACGCGCGCTGTCATTGGTTGAAAGAGCGTGCTCTATGAGAGTTTATATAATAAGCTCAGTTATGCACGCATTCTGATTGGTTCTCACTTATGATTTATTGGAGGACAGACGTTTAGATGACGTCATCATTAAAACTTTTTTAAATTCTTTATTATATAAAACAAATAGATTCCAAGTTGCCATGCTTCTGTTCAGTAATAGATCACAGCAGATGTCAAAATTTTCATCTGACTCCAAGTCTTCCCATGATTCCACCCGACTTATCATACCCGACTTATCATACCCGACTTATCATAGGAAGACAACAATGGCCCAGAGCAATCGCGAGACTCAAGTTCTCGACGAAGTATTTCGAAAGGAGTTGATCGAGAAGTTAGACGAGCTCAGGAAATCGAATCTTCTATGTGACACAACTCTCCGAGCTGATGGACAAGAATTTGCTGCCCATCGCAGTGTCTTGTCTGTCGGCAGTCAGTATTTCCGGACTTTGTTTGCAACGCAGTTAAACGTTCAAGAAACCGAAAAAAAATTCGTAGATCTCAAAGAAGTAACCTGTCAAGCCTTGACGGAGGTGCTTCAGTATATCTACACCGGAAAAGCAAAACTCAACTCATCTAACGCAGAAGAAATCGTCGTCGCTTCCGGTTACTTGATGATTGAAGGGTTGAAATCGAAGGCTTCTCTTTTCTTGGAAGAATCCTTAAGTAATGCGAATTGTTTGGCGTTAGAATCCTTCGCTTCTCAATACAACTGTGAGTAGTTAAAACAAGCTGCCGCTACTTTTATCCGTAAAAATTTCGTGGCCGTGGCAAAGTCGAGTGATTTTTTGTCCCTTAATGAAGAAAAACTGTTAGAATTGCTCAGCGACGATGAAATAATCGTACCGCGTGAAGAGGAAGTGTACCATGCAGCAGTCAGATGGGTCAAATACGATTTAGCCTCAAGAGAAAATTATTTTCCTGAACTGTTGAAATGTCTTCGGCTGTTCTCGATGTCGAAGTTTTCTCTGCGTCAAATTCTTTGCGAGGAAGAATTGGTGAAAAATAACGTTGCCTGTATGACATTATTACTGAATGGACTGGAGTACTTTCTGTTCCCGGATCGTTACCAGAACGTTTCACTCATACCTCGTTTGTCACTAAGGGAATATGAGGATGTGGTAGTACTCATTGGGGGCAAGAATATAAAGAAAGAGGAATTAAAAAGCCTTGGCTGTTTTGTACTTTCCTCTAAGAATTGGATTTCATTACCTGATATGCCTCAATCTTGCAGTAATCATTGTACTGGTGTATGTGGTGGAATCTTGTTTGTCATACATCAAATATACCAAAGGTTTTCGTCGTCACTTACGTATGTGTATTCTTTGAACCCCAAACGAAGCACATCATGGAACTCTACTGAATATGGAATTCTTGTTGGTCACGACTGTTCAGTGACAGCTTACAATGAACAACTTTATATCGTGGGGGGCAGCAGTGATGACTCTAAAGGAGTGAAAGTCTTCAATCCAGCCCTTGGTACATGGAAAAGGATGGCACCAATGAATATTGGGCGTGCTGGACATTGTGCTGTTCTCCTACAGAAGCATATTTATGCCATTGGAGGTCACAATAATGAAAGTTGCCAGAAGAGTGTGGAGCGTTACAATCCAGTAACAAACCAGTGGCAAACGATTCGAGATATATCCAATGCCCGCACGTTTGCTGCAGCGGCTGTATCAAATGGGAAGATCGTTGTTGGTGGGTTCAGTGCCATGAAACCCTCAAAAGTCATGGAAGTCTCCTGTGAAATGTTTGACCCATGTACAAATGAATGGAGTCTGGTCTCAAGTCCTGCTATTTCACGTGCTGCTTGTGGAATTGTGAGTATAGATGACATTATTTACTTGTCTGGAGGTCAACATGAAGAATGTTGCATGGAAACTGTAGAGTCTTTTGATTTGATACGGAACGAGTGGCGAGCAGTAGCTTTTATGCCAACTGAGCATCAACGCTCTTTCCATCAAGCTTCAGTACTAAGACTTCCTAAACATATTGTTTCTTAGAAATAGAAAATTGTACTGGTTTCTCAAGGAATGTCATAGTGTTGATGACCAAGGGTGAGGTCAAGATGGCTAAATATATCAGCCTAATTCTTTGACTCGTTTTCGAAATTATGAATTCAAAACAATACTCCTTCGAAATAAGAAAATAACGACTGTTTTCAATTTAGACTGTGTAGTTTGAATTTTAAATCTTGAATTATTGTAAAGTTTTAAACTAAATAATACCAACTGATGAAAACTGAACCTTAGACCATATAAAATAAAAATATCTGATTTGTTACCCTCCCTTCTCATATCCCAAGACTTCAGACTACACATGTAAGTCAGTTATGAGAATATGACTATTATTGTTTTAAACATACTCTGGATGATAAGTTCATCAGCTATTGTACTATTGCAGGATAATATATTGATATTGTTTGGAAAAGTTATATTTTACTCATCGTGCAGCAAGAGTTTTATCTGAAGCCAGACAAAAAATAATAGTAATAATTAGCATGTTTGTGAAGATGGATTGTGTTCATTTCCAAAATAAGTTCAGTTGGTTACAGGTTGATGCAGGCTTCCTTTTAAAACTATTTTGTTACAAAGGCCTTTGCTAATCTCATATTTTGTACTGCAATAGACCCTGTCATTTTGTGGTGTATATTGATTTCCATAGCAATAGAGCTACATGTATATCGTATTGTCAATTTGATTTAGTTGTACTGTATAACAGTTGGTTAGTTGATATTACTTCTGATTGAAACAAAAACTATACTAGTATGTACTGATTTAAACACTAAATATCATGTACTTTTGAACATGTTACTATCCAAATATCCAATGAAAAGGAGTATAGACTATAAGATATGAGAGCCCTGTAAACAATACCCTACCATTGGGTACTTCTATCTTTTTTTCTTAATCTTACCAACAACAGATTATTTTTTGCCCAAAATAGACTCCTACAAGATGAATTCATGGCCTCTAGTTCTTCATAATATGGTCACATGTTAAGCTGGAGCTACTATTCTTGGAGTTAATATACTGTTCAAAACTGATTGGTAGTTTATATATTGGCCAGGAGTTCTATCACAGATGCTACAGCCTGATTGGTCATTGTACTACCTGTCTGTTCACTGAAAGATAGTGGGATAAATGAGAAGCCTAGATAAGTTGCTAAAATTTCTATGCATGACAGCTGTTTTAAACTTCTCCCTTATCAGCCATCAAGGAATAGAAATCTCAAGCTAACAAACTAATTGTTCATTAATTTTTTCTTTGTTTATCAAAGAAGCTATAGACTAGCTGACAGCCAATCAGCAGACTAACAGCTATATAAAATTTGGATTTGATATAAATTTTATGATTGTAACCTCTACTAACATTTTACAAAGTGAAACTTAAGTCCATCACAATACAAAGTGCTAAGAAGTGCTTGTTTATAAGCTGAACTGACTAGGCTCCACAAGGCATGCTAGCTGTGTGTCTTCCACCATGGAGGGTGCATCTGAAAAAACCAAAACAAACAAATACTGGATCAAAAGCAGGGAGAACTTGCGACTATAAAGAACAATAAAATAGCCTGCCTAGCAATCTTTTTCAATTCCTTTTGGTCATTTGGGAAAAGCTTGAGTCTCAGGAAGGTGTAGGGCAAGAGAAGGCAAAAAAATGAATGAAAAAATTAACTAAAATAGATAATTAGCATCTGTTCCTAATCTTGATTTTTTGCTTCCTATTGCACAATGCCTTCACAAGACTCTTGCGTCTCCCACTACAGTAGTAGACTAAGTTAGCAATGAACTAACACTTGAAGTGATTTCTAAGTTCCTAAGAATGAATACTCATCTCCAAGTACTTAACTGCTACCATTGACATCTGGACTAACTGGCTTGCTATGTGGCTGCTCATTAGCTGTCTAACACAAGACTGATAAAGAACCTTTGTCTATCTGGTAATGATATTCAAAAAACCAATTGAGTGAAGAAAGTGGAGGCCAAGGAATATAATGCAGGGTCAATTTCTCTTTCATGCCACTGCTGTTGTCTGCACACCTATCACCCCTTTGCTCATCTTCCTTGATTTAAGTCCAAGTTAGTTAAAGTCAGCGTGTACCTGAATTAAATAAGAGATCCTGAACAACCACAAGATAATAACTTACTTATTTAACTAAGTCAAATTAATCATAATCTATCGATCAACTGAATGCCTGTTTTAAATATGCCTGAAGCACCTATTGTTCAAAACTCTACAACAAAAACTGGCTAGTGGTGTTTCATGAAGTGAAAAAGCCTAGTTTATACTCACTCATTACGAAGTAATCAGCTCCTTGACCAATCTCAGCCCGGGCCTCCTCGACTGCATGTTTTACAGCAAACAGACAAGCGCAGGACATGCACAAAGGTGGCTCTCCCACAGCTGTGGGTTCAATACAATCAAGAATATAAATTAAAATACATGATTTACTGACCTTGACAAAGTAAAATTATGACTATTTTCATATTAAATAATTCTACACATTCTTCAAGGATGGAACCGAAAGACAGCATTCCAATCTTCATTAGGGTGTTATTAAGTAAGATACTGTAGTATTGCTGTCAAATCAGAGAAAGTACTTAATAAGTGTTTGTGTGCACAATTGACAATTTTTGCTCAACCATTTTTAGTCTCATGAAAATATATGGTTGTCATCATTAATCAAATAATAAGGTTGCCTTTGCATCAAACTCACCTTTCGACCTAAGAATTCCAAGTGGATTAGGAGCATTCTTCAGTAGAGTCACATTAAATTCAATTGGTATATCCTTGGAACATGGTGGCTTGTATTCCTGGAATTGCCCAGAAATAAAAGTAAATAAGTTTTTTTTTTTTACTTTGAAGAAACTGAATTTTTGGTGTAATAATTGCATAAGTATGCTAAAGTTGAAACCTGCAAATGTTTTATATGCCACATGGGAAAATGAGAAAATTGCTCTTTCATGACAGTTAACTAGCTAATCCTGTATGCAGTAGAATGGTAAGTAACTTATCAGAGTGCAAAATCTCATGTTGCACACCAATTGGCTTAACACCATGAACCCACCTTTCCATGATCCAGTTCTCTCAGTACAACTTGACCAGAACATAACCTGGTCATTGCAGATGTTTTAAATTAAGCAAGAAATTGTTGTGATAAAAATCAGACTTGCTTTTGAAAAGGAAGTGCAATAATTGACTAGCAAAAATTTCACCCTGATTAAATTGGAATAAAACAAACATTTTTTTCACCTCTGGAGACACCTTATGAAGAAAATAATTTATCTTTGCTAATTTTAAGATAAGATTAAATTAATTAAAGATTAAATAACCATGAAGGCATGCTATAAATAGGTTGGCTCTGCCCCTCAGTTTCAGCTCAAATGCAAATTATGCCCTGGTAATATCATACGCAATGGCAAAGGGAAGCATTTCTAACTTCCAAATTTAATTGCCGCAAATGAAGACAGTTTTGATTGAAGGAAGAAGATACAACATCAACCAACTCTTCCATTGTGATGTAAGTGTAGAAACTTATTGCAGCTTCTAAGAAGTCCATGCGCTGTTCAATTGCTTTGGATTGGCTGCACCTCATATAGAGGGGTCTGTATGCCACAAAAGTTGATCGACAAATGAGGTACCTATAGAGGTACCTAGGGCATCTCTGCTTTTAAAGCACACCTTTATGTTTACATATTTTATGCAATCCAACTTAATTACCCATGTTCCATTTGTCAGGTTTTGTCCAGTTTTAGTATCATATATGAATTTCTCTGTCAACCACAAACCCAGTCCCATCACAAAAGCACCCTCCACTTGCCCAACATCAATTTCAGGGTTCATGCTGAAAAAGGAAAAAAAATTTTAAAAGTAAAAAAAAATCACCCTTCTGGTTAAAAATCAAGTCTAATACCACTATAACATCTTCAAGAGCCTCTAATTCAATCAGGATATGAACTTTTTACTAACTTTATTTACACTGGTAAAAGTGGTACCATTCTTAACTTGTATGTATACAAAGGGAGTATCTTGGCTGTCAGGAGATGGTTCATAAAGGGGTTATAAGCCAGCAGCAAAAATGCACCTGGTAATTTGCCCTGAAAAATTGGCCATCAATTTTTTAATAGGAAGGAAACAAAATTCTTGAAAGCAAGAAAGAAGCATTGAGAGGAAATTGGGGAATGCCTGCACAGCTGGCGTAAGGGTAAAGGGCTGGACCTTAGAAAGAGCTTCCCAGCATCAAACTTAATCAAAACTGTAACAAAATTCTCAAACATGATTGGTTATCTCCAGCCCGATTTGAGTACTAATAAGACAATGTACATGTCATGTTTGTAATTGGATAGTTTAATAGGACAGTTAAAGGAACAGTTAACATGTCATGCCTGTGTAAGTGGATAGAACACCAAGTTAACTGTTGTTGTTTTGTTCTATGAAAAGGTATAACCAATGTCTAGTTTCTCTCTCAAATTTTGTCATAGTTTTGATTAATTGGTAACAGGGCTTTGTAATCCAATTCTGTCTGTAATCGTACTCGTGATCCTGCTTCCCAGTCCTCTGATTTTGTTAATCACTCATACGATTACAGACTCCATGCAGTTATTGGACTCCATTCAGTTCTATAACATTATTTATTGAACAACCACCCCTTCTCTGGTGCTACCTGAAGGAAAAGGTATGTACAATGTAGTTATCAAATGTGAAAATACCTTACCTTTGTCCACAGTCCTCAAGTATGTCTGCACGAATTATCTCTCTTTCCCCAGTTAGAACATCTACCTCGACTTCCACACATGTTGCCCCATAAATATTGTAATTAACCATCTCACTGCTAGGGGCTTGGTACCTGGTAATAATTTTAAAAATCTATTGTTTACCTAACTTTTTGACCGACACTTTATCACAGTTTCTACAAAGAAACTTTCCCCTTTTTTTAAAAAATATATGACTCAAAAATTTTGTGCATTCCTATATTGCTACTCAATCAGCATGAAGCAGAAATCTTGTGAAGTGGATAAAGATATCAGTGCATCACTAACCTATATTTGGCTGACAAATCAGCACCATTTGCAAAACATTTGGCGATGATTTCAGCCCAAGAGGCTGATGGCATAGTCTTCCTCACAGGATCAATTACTTTGTTGAGGATATCACAACAGCCAAGAACAGTCTAAAGGAAAAAAATATACAAATGACTGGAATTAAAAAAAAGATAAAAATACCAAAAAATTGGTTGCTGTTAATAAGGCTGGCCATTATCATCATTATTATAATTTTTTTTATTTCTCATCATTAGAATTTTGTAATAAGAATAAAAACAATAATTGTGAGCAAGAAATTGTGAGATATGATGATAATGCATGCTGTGAATTTTTTAGCCCTGACACCTACACAATTCCTCTGTGAACAGTTCCAAACAGTTCTTGTACTATGGACTACATAAGGTATATGAACCTCATTATTTTAACTGCCAAAAGTGAACTACATGTACACATGACAATTTCAAGAATTATCATAAAGTTAAACAAGACAAGAATTTCAACGTATTTATCTCTCTCTAAACAAGTTTGACCATCTTCAGTTTGGTAAAATCTCTTAGGGAACACAATCAGGCATGGTATATAATGAATATTCAGAAGGTAGAAAAGAAATCAGCCCTAGACTGCTCTGCCACTTACCTTACAACACAATTCACTAGTAATACTTCCACCTGTTGCACCACCTACATTGAAGAAATAAAAATAAGTGGATAAATATGCCTGTAGGTAGGTTAACATTGAGAATGCAACTGGAACATTCTAAACCATAAAAATCAAACAAAACCTGTGATGGAAAACCTGAGGGTAATTACCTTTAATCTATAAATTGGCTTTTTTTTCCATCATAAACTAAGGTACAAATTTGAAAGAGGGCAAAGGGGAAATTCTCAATTGAATGGCTAACTGACTACAAGCCCAGAACTTCAAAATGAAATAAATAAAAAAACTATGATGAACAAAAAGAGGAGATCAGTTATAATTCTACAAAATGGAGATGTATTGATATTGTGAAAGACTCTGGTGAAACAAGTATCATTCCTGAAGTCGATCATAGCATCAAATGGAAATTTCATGCATGGGGGGTAACTTACTGTTTGGATTGCTGAATGCTGACGTGGGTTTGATTGCAATTTTATCCAGAGGACATTTCAGCTGGTATGCTACAACTTGGGCTACCTGAAGCAGCAAGGATAAAATGCATTAAGATAAGCATCTTGTGAACATTATAACATACTACACAACTACGGGTCATTGATGACCCCACTGCTCCTTTGGCTTATTAGATTTTCTACAGCATACAACCTGGAGTACCACTTATTCTTCATGATTGCAGGAACACCCCAGCCCCTCTCCTCCTACAATTTGTCTTCTTTGCTAGACAACTATCAACCATCAACTATTGGGAGGCAGGCTCTGTGAGATACAACCCTTTAACTCCTAAGAGTGTCTAGGATTTAATTTCTCCTCACAAAATCAATCCTGAATCCAACATTGAGGTCACAAGAATAAATGATCACTAAATTAAGAAGCTCTTAATTGTTAGACAAACTCTCATTGTAAGCACCCCAGGAAATGTTTTGATAACAGTATGGAGAATTGGCATACTGATGTTAGGATGTAAAAGGTTAAGTGTGTCAAGCATCTTACTCAAGTATACAACACAGTTGCACTCAAGCAAGGGTGTGAACCTGCATCAGGGTATGCAAAATTCCCTGTCGATGCCAGAGAAAATTACCACCAACTTTCTCTGAAATTAGCATCATTAGTAAGAGTACAAATCAAACTGCCATTTACACAGTTTGCTTTGCAGTTTTTCCCATCTATTTCAAAACTAAATGAAACCCCTACTGCACCTCTTGGTCTGGAGTCTAGCATTTTAATTACCAAGTCAGAGAGACTTCAACCAGCATAACTTATGAATACAAACAAGATTTTTCCCCTTGACTATACCTTATTTGAGATACAGTTTGACCAGTACTATAAGAAAATCACCTTGGTGTTGATTCCTTGGCCTACTTCAATACCTCCATGAGAAATGGCAATTGTGCCATCTGCATGATATATTGATATCATTGCTGTAAACTGGGAACCAAAATACGCTATACCATATTTGAGAGGGACAACACTGATTCCACGTTTTCGCCAGCGATTATTCTTAAAGAAAGACATTCACAAGTTTGAGTATACATATATCTCAACACTATCATTCTATTTCAGAACTAAAGAGGTTGAGAAGCAAAAAAGCACCAATACAGGTGAGACATCAAAAGAAAATGAAAGATCATTTGGGTAAAAAAGTTTTACTTAAAATCTCAGTTAACTACATGACAATGTACCTCCGCGATCAGGGACTTGAAAATGATAATTATAATAATTCTTTCAATGTTGTCTCCATAACACAACGTAATAAACTGCTTATCATTCAGTCTGACACATAATTTGAAAGGCAATCTATAGAATATGAGATAGACTCAGGCTATTACTGATATATGTACCTTGTTGAAAGTATCAATAGCAGTTTTTCTAGTCTGGAAGTCACTTGAAACAAGAATATCTAAAGTGTGGAGTAAAAAAAAAACATGTCCCTATCAGCTACTACAAAGAAGAATTATAGAATATTTATCCACAGTATTAACAAAACCTTATTAAACTGTGTTATACACTTCCAATCTGTTCAAAAATAGTGATGATTTCAGATAACTGCTGTTTCAGTCTCTCAGCCGCAAGTGATCCTTATGATCAACTTACTTTTCCACAGGGTGTCCAAGTTACAATATTTCAGCGTCTGACCCATCTGAGTTTTCTGTAAAATTAATACTTGTTAGACCACTTGTAATTGGGACAATTTTGATTACATGCTTGTACGATAATGTAAGACATATTGGAAGGCTTAATTTGCAAATCTTCAAAAACTCAGCCCCCCTACGATCGCATAAGTACATGTACAGTTAGTTATTTTAAAGTTGAAAGATGATGGTAACACCAATTTCACAAACACATTACATTGCTAAGAGGCTAAAAGTGAAGAACATAGCTTGCAAGATACCTCTCCATTCTTGTATAAATTCACTTTTCTCACAGCCTCTGGTGTCATTTTTAGTTCTTTAGCAACATGTTCCATAATTGTCTCGATTATGAACACTGCTTGTGTAGAAGCTAAAAAATATAATAAGTAAAAAATATCTAGTTACTGTTCGAAAACTTCCTTTAACTGGAACTTTTAATCATAAAATCAGGTTAGAGAGCAGCCCCAAACCTCACAGGGTATGGGAGGAAAGTGGTTATTATAGAGAAGTGGCCTTTTAAGAGAGGGTGGGTACAATGTGGCACCAGTTTCTTTCATTTTTGAATTTATTTTCAAAATATTATCTCGTGGCTTGGAGAAAGAAAAAAAAAAATTAAATTGTTTATGTAAATAACCATGTACATGTTAATAAGATTCAATAAAACAGAAACCAAAAATTAAATTTCAGAAGAAATATAACCAGAGGCCTACAGTTAGAACAGGCATAACCATTAAAAAAGGCTACTTGAGGTTGTTAAGCAAGCTTTTGTGTATTTTCTTTAATCAAAGCAGATCCTTTGTTTGTGGCTTGTATAAGTTTTTCATTGCCATGAACAATGGCCATTCTTAATTTTTATATACCTGGTGCACGACACCATGTGTTGCTTGCAGTGTTAGTGTGAGTGGCATATGGGACGATCTTCCAGTTGTCACAAAAGTATGCTATAATGTATAACACACTTAATAAGTATCTGTCACAAATCAGCATTCTATTTGAATGAATGAGAATTCTTACTTAATTCAAACAATTATGAGGATATACATATCAAGGAAACCTAATTCCAAATATCAAATCTGATAAACCCCTCAAAGATAAAATAAAATTTTGTGCTAAATTGTGTAGGTCTAAATGGGGTAATTTAGTATTACCAACTGAGATGATAATGTTAATTGGCCACCATAAAGAGTTTCAAAGCTGACATTTTGCATGTTAGCCCTTCACCAATCGCTCTGACAAAGGGCCACATTATCAACTCAGTTGATAATACTAAATTAACCTGTCATACTCTCCCACAAATGCAGCACCACAGTTTCTTTAGCAACTTACCCCTTCAAGCAAGTCTAAAACTAGTTGTCTAAAACTAGTTGTCTAGAAGTGCTCAATGTAAGTTAATTGGACTAACAAATTTATTGGCAAGTCACACTCAAGCTGCTGCTCCAGTAGCTACTGGCTTGTTTGACTGTGTTAACATGTGACTTCTTAAAAGATATCGATAATCTATTAGATTAATGCAAAATCCAACAGGACAATAATGAGGATGAATAAACTCATCTGCTAAGTGGCATTGTATTAATTGATACAAGAAAATATTCTCTCAACTAATTTACATTAACTGAAAGTAAGAATTCAACTCAGATATTCAGAATTAAAGCATGAAGTCTGGCACTAACCGTTGTCAACCCAGGATTGTGCTGTACCTACATCAATAGCATTGGGTGTGCTGCCGCAGTCAGCATACAAGTTAACATCAATGCCATTCAACTTGCCATCACTTCCCACACCCGCCTGTAATCACAGAAAAAAGGGAAGACTGATGTGAATGTTATTGATTTGGTCAGTGAGGCAGGACCTTAAGATTTCAAACTCTAATCCTCTACCACTGAGCCAATGGAGCTTATAACTTTTAAAGACATAAATTTAATTTGAAGCTGTGGCTGAAATTCGAGTAGCAATTTCAGCAATGGTCCATTTTACAGTTGCATGCTTGGTTGCCAAGCCTTTAAACAGGAGTGAGGCTAAGGGTGACTTTGTTATGATACAACCTTGCTGGTTTTTAAATGCAAATTACTTTGTTATCATGCTAACTAGATACTGGTCTCTTTTGCAACAAGGTCACCTTCAGCCTCACTCCAAATCAAAGGCTTGGCAACTAAGTACACAACTATACAATGGCCTATTGCAGAAAAGTTAAGCCCGAAAAAAATCCAGGCTTTGACGGGATTCAAACCGTGCCCCCTATACTACATGTAGTTGGGGGCTTATACCAACTGAGCTGGAAAGCCACAGCTGCAAGCAAGGCAACGTAACACACTTAAATAACATTAAACCTGCAAGGGTGATTGGTTTTCTCAATGGAACTTGTTAGTAAGCCACCCTGTATTCAAGGTTCATATCTGACTTGTCTCACTAAGATGACTGAGCTCAAAATTTACCATCCCTCTAAATCTACTACTAATTTAAGTATAATTATACAGTAAGTTAGAACACTTCAAGCCACAAAGAGCCTGGTTGTAAATCAAAACTGTAGAGAAACCAAGCTATAGTGTGTTATTGAATGACTGCAATATTTTCTTTTATCTCTTTGACTGCTACGTAACTTTTGTATTTCAGCTAGAGAAACAAAATTCATTTCAACCTCTGATCATAGTTATGTGATAGGACTGTGAAAATAACAAGAAAACCATACTGTTTCTTCAGAAATAATGCAATCTAAGACAGATTGACGCTATCCATATGACCTGCAATTTTTTTTTCTCAAATTACTTGATTCATGAAAATAACATCCTGCCAACTACATGTACCTTATAAGTTGCTTTGTAAGGTTCTCTTACTCCAACCATTTCCATATTGGTACTAAGATTCAACCTCATCCGAACAGGTCTATGGTTTGAAAAGAATGTTTCACAAATATAATCTTGTGGTGTTGTTCAAGTTATACCTTTTTATAGTATTAACGCTCTCGTTTGACAAGTACTTAGTAATTGGAATCTAATCGTAAGCTAGTGGAAAAGCCAAGAAATGAAATGTTTTACCTCTTTGTGACATACGCAGCTATGGCACATGCTGTAGCAACATGATTGGCTCCAGTGATTCTTGCTCCATATGCACCTCCACATCTCTTAACACTCAAATTAACACTTAAAAATACAACATAGAAAATTCTGGTTGTTCTTCCATTACAATCACTACCTTGCATTCCATATCTCCTTATCCCTCTTTATCATAACCTCTAATATATGCCTATCTCCTATACCATATTCTTACCTATCAGCACCCAGATGCTTATTTAAAAGGAAGGGCTTTTATTGGAAGGAAGGTTTTTTATTGAGGGGGGCCCCTTACTAAGAAACTATTCTCCTGTACCGATGTCACTGTAGTTGAAGGTTTAAAGATCATAAATAAACTGACAATAAAACAGACTTTCCTTGTGGTTTACATTCATCTTGCCACCAAGGCAATCTTGCCACCACCAAGTGGCTATCAGCTAACTCACCACTTTGGTTGCAAGCTAATTTGGTATAAATTCAAAGCTTTCAGTGACTCTTAAGTAAGATCTTAAGTCTTGTGAGGATTGCCATCAGTCTAGAATGCCATACATAGCCATACTGTAGGCTCAATAGTTTTTTCAAGCTGGCAGAAGGTGAGTCAAATGTGCATAACAATCAAAAGCCACCAACTTGATCTGATCAAAGATATCAAATAGAATACTGCTAGTCCACAGTATAATTGCTAAAGGATGTCTTGAGTGTTTAGAGGCGAGGTAACATGCCTTGGTGGCGAGATAAATTACACTTTGGTGATGAGCTCGCTGAAGGTAAGTCTTTCTGGTGGCAAGGTGACTGGGTTCCAAATACTTTCATGTATACCTACTAATTAAGAAAGTAAGGGAGGAGTGGGGTGCTTATTCAAGGGGAGGCGCTTGTTTGGGGGAGGGTGCTTATTCCAGGAAATACCATCTATAAATCCTTACCTCCCATAAATCCCTATCACCACAAAAATGTATCCCCTATAATGTATATATCTTCATAGATTGTTATCTCCCATATCCCTATTCTCCATGCTCCTCATCTTCCATACATCTCTATTACAGGCATCATGTATTTATTTACCTTTGGACTGGATAATTGAGGGTCTGTGCCACAGCTGCCTGAGTAAGGTCTACCCACTGCGTAGGGCAATGGACAGTCATACCATCCTCTTCAGGGACACACAGTGCAGCCTGCCAATCATGCGGTGCATATTGGAAGAGAAAGAACGACAACAACATCAAAGAATATTTTGTTGCGTACAAAAGTAACTTGTTGCAGGACAAACTCAAGCAGCAGAAAGATAACTGTAACATGCAAATATCACTCTACATAGGGTAGTTCTGGACAGATCTCTGGTTACAAAGCTTTCTCCCCATGATGAAAGCTAAATGATAATTTTGATGCACCATAAATTTGATCGCTCACATCAACACCATCTTTAAACTGAACTCTCATTGATTCTAACTTTCCCAAAAGGGGAGTGACATAAGAGCCAAATCCTTTTTAATCCACATCATCTCAGAAGCATGAACTGATCCTCTTTGCGGTTTAGTGAAAATGGACAAAAAGGTTTTGCTATGTATGATAAGCTCATCAACTGTACTTACAAATATGGAAACATGTTATTTCATTTTCACAGCAATTTCACTAAGTTACCAGCATTAAAATTTGACTTCTGTTTACTACAGAGAAAAATTCACTGAGCATTAAAATACTGAAAACTAATTTTAAAAAGTATGAAGTCCCATGACTGTAAAAGAGGAACTGGCAAAACCACTAGTGGCCATTCATAAACCCTTTTGTATTCTTGCCAAGAAATACAAAACAGAAAATTATTCATTGGTCACCTGAGTTTCCATATGAAAGTGGTACTGGTGTCCAGTAGATACCACCCCTTGTATGACATGTGGTGAATTTTTTATTGCAGCTAATCAAGAAAAAGAAAATAACATCAATTTGAGAATGAATCAGAATTGCATTTCCACTCTCAATTCATCCCTGGTAAAGGAAAAGAGAGTAGCTATTGGAGTTTGATCACAGAATGAACAAAGGTTATCAGTTTACTAGGTGCATCAAAGTAAACTAAATGATCTTTCAAGAAGTCAGATGTCACTACCATCCTAAACACAGCATATACAGCCCAACTATCATAGGCATAGGTACTTAGGATGTAAATAAAGGGGGTAAGTTTCCAAAGAAACTGTGGTGCTACATCGGTAGGAGAGTATAACAAGGTAATTTAGTATTATCGACTAAGGTTATATCGTCAAATAGCCACCGTAAAGAGTTGGAAAAGTTGAATATGTTTTGAGTCAGCCCTTGTCAGAGAGATTGAAACCTCAGCTTTTAAACTCTTTATGGTGGCCAATCTACAGATAAGACCATGCACGACCCAAAATCAAATGCAGTTTTATTGTACAACATGACAAAAGCCATGTGATTTTATTCAAAGTCAGGGCTTCATTTGTTACTTACTTTCAGCATCTCCTTTTGTAATTGTCTTGGCCTGGGGATCAAAGAAGGACTCTGCAGCCACTGCTTCGTCAATAGTGAGTAAGGGAGGTTCTTGATCTTTGTATGTCACTTTAACAGCTTTGGCTGCTTCATCTGCATGCCGCTGAGTATCTGCAGTAAAGATAGACAATTTCAAATTTTGTTCTATGAATCTTGAAGTGTTTGGATATTAGCCCAAACAAGCCTGCGAGATCCACAATTTTAACAATGAAAAGGCAATTTTGGTTTTTTTCTTTAGGAAAGTTTGAAGAGTTCATTACAAAAGTGGATAAAAGTGGACTTGAAAGTTCTAACTGATAATTAAATTCCCTCCAGGAATGTAGGAAGAAGATGAAAGACATGAGATAAGCCAAATTGACACAACCTGTTGTAAAAAAAACAGTAAACAAAGAAGAAAAAAAACTGTGGAAAAAGACAGGAGCAATTTTACATTGGAAAAATCACCACAAGGAAGGAAAGAGAGAAACTTATCATGTCGATTATGTTAAGAAATGTAATATTTCATTAGTCATATGACAAGCAGCACTAAAAAAGCTGCAAGTATCAACCATAGAAGCACTAAAAACGACTACTGTTTTCACTCAAGCACAGAATAGGAAAAGGATTTTTGAGAACAGAAACATGACCACTGCTTTATTTTATTGTTTCGGAAAAGGATGGTTCAGAACACCAACACTACAACAAGATGGGCACTGTGATGTCATTTGTAGCACCTGGTCAATTTGCCAAGATTGCCCTCTAAAGAAAATATTAATCAAGAACAATATATTTTTCAATTTAACTAATTATAATGTGCAAATTCATCCCATAAAAAGGAAGTAAATGAAAATGAAATATGAGGTCGATGAAGTGCAGGCATCTTTAAGACGAGGGAAAAATGCTTTTGTGCATTCAAATCGCTTATTGATAAAACTCTTCATTGATGATCAATTGTTGTCACAAACAGTTCATAACATCCTCACTAAATGTCTCTGGCTTAAAGCATAAGTCTTGGGTGACAATAATAAACATATAGAAAATAAGCAAGCTGATAACAACTATTAACAAACCAGCAATTATAGCTCCTAAGGCTTGCCCAGCATATGAAACATTTCCTGCACTAAATATCTGCAAGCAAAAAGAAACTGTTTTATCCAGACAATCAGGCAATCTATGTTAAGTGACCAACACTAAGGAAAATAATTACACTGTTACATGTACCTATAGAACCTACCTCTTCAACTGCTAAACCAAAAGATGTTGGTGTGAAATTGTTAATGCCACCTTTAGGAATATCTGCTGCTGTGATGAATTTGACAACTCCAGGCATTTTCTGTTACAATCATAAAGTAATTTCAGAAAATGAGCTTGCACACAAACTATTCTTTAATCGTCACATATGACCTACAAGCTGTTTTCTTTACCATAAAGACAAATATAGAAATTTCACTATTAAAAGTAACTTTTTTATCCATTTTTGTCCAAATTATTCATCCTGTTTCTCTTGTGCATATAAGTTAACCCTTTCACTCCCAAGATCACAAGAGTAATACTCCTTACTGTCTGCTACACAATTCTTATGATGTTAGTTTGGAGAATTTGGTATTGGATCAGCTAATAATTCCCTTATTGACATTTTTCTCTATTCTCAACACTATCTGCTTGATATTGTATGGATTTTTAGGGAGAAATTCTGTCTTGGTCACTCACAGGAGTTAAAGGGTTAACCTAAACAAACATGCCTTAATTAAAAGTTTTTTTTAAGGTTTCTTTGTCTGTTATTGATTGATCTTCACAACCAATTACACTGTGAATGTAAATTATGAAATTATATGGGAAATAAAATTAGAAAATAAAATGCTTTTCACAGTAATGAATGTTTATTGTCAGAATTAAGAAACCAGGCTTCACAATGAAGGGTGAACAGAACTATGAAAAATGTATGTTGTTTTATCATGATAAAAAATTAACAATAACTTCTTTATTACCAAAGCCTCTGATGCATCATAGGAATCAATCTTACAGTTTCCCTGAAAAATTCAACAAGAAAAAAAATGCAAATTCAGTTGTCACAAGAGCAGGGCAAAGTAATTGCCTGTACATGACCTTCCTTGTATCTGCAGGATTTTGTAATCAACACCCTATCAAGAAATTCATCACCATCTGAGCAGTTACCCTGACAGTAAGAGAAGGAGTCCTTACTATCAATTTCATCACAGATCAAGTAAATAACTTGATAAAAAAAAAACATATGTGTGTGAGTCCTTCTAAAACAAGATTACCTGTGTGCTTATGACAAAGGCTGCATGGAGTTCACCACCTTGCATGGGAATGTCTGATATGTACTGAGCTTCACCAGATGTCTGAGGAAAAATGCACACAACTCTCCTCTCAATTCCATGATGCACATTTTGATTCAAGTATAATAGTTACCTCAACTTACAAAGGACTACAACACTTACAATGCGAAGTGTTGTGTCTCATGTCAAGACAGAAGTTATCAACATTTCCACAAAGGGAGAAAAGGAAAGAGACACTGATAACACACTGGAAGCAGGAAGGGGGTATGCTGAATGAGGGCATGTTTGAGAGCTCTTTCTGGAGGTAGGCCACTTGGACACATTTCAATATACAATGCTTTATTTTGTACTTTACAAGCTCAGCAGCCCACAGCAAAAACTCTTACCTGTAGCTTGGCAGCCAGTTTAGTCATTGGTTTCGTCAATGGGTATTCCTGCTTTTGTGTGTCATAGTCCTGAGTGCCAGATGATACTGGACGAATAAAAGGCACTGCTGCAGACTTAACCCTGGCTGATGCTTTGTCACCCAAAACTGTCAAATAGAACTATAACAAAGAGCAAAATGACTAGGACTTTGGTTCCTACTCAATATTCTGTAAGTTAATTCAGCAAGTCACCATGAAGAATGGTAAATATGTACTCCATAAACACCCTTGAAACAAGTTAACAGACAGAGTACTGTCATTAAATAAGATGTGAAGTTCATGATGCCAAAATATGCCCTTGAATACAATTTGGAAAGCTGAGCTGAAGTGTTGAGAGGAAAAAAGTTCCAGAGATATAAATTTTAATACCTTGTAAAACAAGCCAAGAGCTAGTGATTTGCGGTATTCCTTGCTTGCACCTGCAGGAGGGGAATCAGGGATAATCTCCTCTTCGAGTGTAGTCAAAGCCTCTGAGAAAAGAAAACAACAACAAAAACTGGGTATCAGTAATTTTACTGACTCTCCCAGACTAAACAACAGCTTAGCGAAGTCTTCCAGTATGGATTAGGGCTCTCTGATTGGCTTTCAAATGCTCTCATGCAAAGCGATTTTGACTGATCAAAATGTACACTTCTTCCAAGTGAGCTTATCAGAATCACTTTGCCTTTAAAAAGGTTCAGTCAAAATTTAAACATTTATTTACAACTGTGAAAAAGGAAGTTAACCACTCCTTAGTTTCAATGCCCATCCATTTTCCTGCAGACTCTCTACAGTGAGAATGTCATTATTAGGTTAAGAAATTCATTCTCAAACTTTGTGTTTGCATGATCAGTGTAGTCAACAATTGTTCATCAAGACGAAGGCAAAGAGTAAATTAGCCAGTCAGCACACACTAAAAGCACTAGTCACCTGAGTGGTATATACATGTATTAATGACCATAATTATATATATATATAGTGAGTTTAAGTGAGTGGTACATCAACTTCAACAATAACACCAAGGGGTACAAAAATACTATGAAAACAAAATCTATCTTGATTCAGATGTAATATTTGACACAAATATAAGCACTAGATTATCTCAAAACCTCAGCAATCACCTGCAAGAGTAGCCTGCTCAGTAAGTGTTTTACCAACCAAGAAAGATTCTGTTTTGAAAGGGTGCATCTGTGCAATAAAAGTTCAAAATCAACCTCCTCAAACTACTAATATCTCTATACTACAATTCAACTGAATGTAAACTTAACCTTATGATTTTGAATCTTGGTTTGCAACCTGGCTGTGTTAACCAATGTTTTCATCTCTCAACTAACTGTTTGAACAGTAAGGAGCTTTGCAAAAAGGTATAATAAAATTGTTTTTTTCAGCAATTAGCAAAGCAAAAGCAGTTTTAACCCAGCCATTGTGGTTTTATATGTGAGCCAAGGTTGCTGCCTGGTCATTTTCAAAACAGCCGCATCTTAAGTCAAATATTTAGTGTATCTGAAGACATTTTTTGAATGGCTTACTTAATTTTACCAAAAAAAATCTAATCAATGATTTCTTAAGTATACTTTTCCACTGATCAAAAGCTATTGAATGGTCCATTGACTAAACAGTTTGCACTTAATACAATAGCTTTCATCACTGTTTACTAAATATTCTCAAAATATTCAAAGATATTACACTTGTATGTTGTATTAACTTACTGCATGAGGCTCAATTCCACCATAGACAATCCTGACAGAACTTAAAGTCATGGTACTCTTGTCAACTTTTGCTACAAACCCAGCATTCACATAAGCATGTGCATTCTGAAAGTTAGATTTGCTAAAAGTCATTAATTATCATTTATACATGTATCAAAAAGCCTTGATGGAGAGGCAGCAAGATACACATGTATCATCTGCATGCAAAATTAAAACACAGGAGCTGATGAAAAAAGATATACAAGGGTACAAAGAAATCAAATTGAAAAATCATGATACTAAAATGTTTTGCAGATAAGAGACATTTATTAGTATCGAACGCAATATTCATACCTGTGATCTTGGCATAACTTTGTAGGTGCAAATGATGTAGTCACTTGTAAATATAGGTAACAAGACTGCCAAGATTACCTGGAGAAGTAAAAATAATTATTTGTGGTTCTGCCATTACAATAAACAGAACTATAACCACAGCTTTTCAGGTGTAGTGTAGGAAGAGGGTATATGTCATCTAACTATGGGTGAAAGTCATTAATAAATTCTGGTCTCACTAAGAATGTTAAGTTCTGTGAGGATAACTGGAAAAAAAATTCCTGTCACCATGATCCTTTTGGAAGCTTATCAATAAAAAGAAAATCAAACAACCACACCCACAACCTTGAACGTTATATAAAGAATTTCTAACAAGTACCCACTGGAGCTGGTCCTCACCTCCCACCTTAATTTCCAATGGAGGGTGGGGCACAACTTCGAGTAAACAAGGAGTCAAAACCTAGCTTTTGTAAATTTGTAACTAATTTACAATAAAGAAGTTCAAATCAAGATGCCATCTTGTCTACCTGATCTTTGAAAGGTCCCTTAAAATTTCAGGACTAATTTTCATTCATGTGACTTGTATGAAATGGTGAAAATTAAGACAAATTCTGGATGTAGTGGGGTTTATTTAAAGCAAATTAAAACAAGTTTTTTACATGTGTTAACATACCTTGCCAGTCATATCCAAAGAAAGGAACTGCATAAGCGAATACTGAGTTTCACTTGCTGTTGAACTGTCAGCTATAAAAGTTGACATATCATTTCATAACAAGCTCACAGCAAATATGACAGAAACAGACATGACAACAAGTAAAGAAATACTGTTACAAAAGACATTTGTACCCACAGACTGGTACATAGAAAATTATCCTCAGTCTAATTATTCAAATGTGATAAACATTCATCATAGAGAGGTTGAAAAGTGATTCCATGGTTAATTAACAATGTAGTGAACCAACAACAACGAATACTTTATATTCGTTGAGAACTTGTGATTGCTTATTTCAACTACCTTCCCTTGCTTTTAACTGAAAGTTTAGAAATTTTAAAAATGCTGTATGGATTGTGGGATACTTCGCAGTTGTTCATGCCAATCTTAATTACATGAGCTGGTTGAATTTAGGATAAAAATAAGAGTAAGATTACCCCTGGTTGACTACCATAACTAACAGTTTTTAATACTAATTTTGTTCTCTGTAGTTCTCAAAGTTTTCTGCTGTGTCACAAGAAAGTCCAACCATGACTAGATTGCATAAAGTTTTGCTTTCATGATCCCCTCATAAGATCTGGCACTCTCCAAATATTAAATGTCACCCATTTTTTAGTTGATGAAAGGGAATTGTCAATTCTATAACCTAGTGAGGTGTCAACAATTTTTTTGTAACAGATCAACAACCACAAGCACTGAGAGAAAGGGGGAAAAGCCCTTACCAATAATCAGCCTTGCACCAGCAGCCTCAAGGATGGTAAAAATGTCAGACGGGAAATCAGGATGATCATGGGTTAACATCAAATTCCCAGCAATACTGGCAACCTACAATGAGAAGTTTCTAGTCATTGGTATTTTAATAACAATAATTAATGAAATTCCACCTCTGTTTAATCACTGTGTCACCTTTGCTGGGTCTGCTGGTTGCTGATGGAAACAGCAACAGAGGGAAAAAAGAAAAGAGAAATGATATGCAACATTTCGTTAGGAATTCTGATTACTGAGATTGACGACTGACAGTTTATAGGGATATAACACTATTGTTAGTTCCTGATGTACCACCAAAGAAGTAACAGTAAATGATAGACACAAAATAAAATATTACTTACGTTCCGAACAGGAACATTGGCCACCTATATACAATAATGAAAGAAAAAGAGGAAAATAATGTTTAAGGGCTTTTTTTTTAAACTGCATCATTCTTAACACTGGTGAACAACTGGACCACTAGAATTCAAGGTAATAAATAAGATGGACATAAAAGTAGGTGTACATTACATTCAGGGGCATTGGTCAAACAAAACACCAAAAAATAAACTAATATTGAGATCCTTTGGAAGGCACTCTTAGAATAACACTCAGCTACAATTAATACTTCATCAGATCAGGAAAAAACCTTCCTCACAATATACCTATAGTTAACAATTATAGTAACAAAAGCTACAAAGATGCAAAAACAAAGTTAAAAAAAAAATGAAAGCCACAAATAAATAACTTGTTTGCAACTAATGATCACTACATTTATTTTTCTATGGCAAAACACTAACTAAAGTCTTTCCAACCGGCATATCCAGCTATTGACTCATTTTAGGCATTCTCAGAGATCTGGAAGTATGTTAACCTGATGCTAACCTAATTAACATTACAAAATGCTGCTTCTTTGTTATTTGAGAACTTGCAAGTATAATGTAAAGAAAGTCTAATTTCTCTTTACACCCTGTAAAAGTCAAACAGGAGGTTGTACGCCTGGGCCTACAGGGCAATGGGCTGGCTATGCCCCTAACATTACAGCAGACTTTTAGGAGTGTAGAAGGGGGAATGCTCATTAAAGCTAAACCCCCCTGACCTTTGTGGTTGAAGCTTTGTCATCCTTAGAAGTTGGCATTTTTATCTGAAATGGTTAGAATCTCTGTTGGTGTGATTACCTTGCGCACATGATCAGCTAACACTTTGTAACCAGACATCTCCTCAGCTTGGTTATCCAGCACATTTATGAGAGTGTTCAGGGAAACAGCAGCACCAATGACAAGATCACCATTGGGTACCTGGAAAAACAAACAGTACACAAGATATTTCAGTTTATAATGTCTTTCCTACTGCAAGTTAACAGGCTGGTCATTAATATCTTTGAGATGGTTTGGGGATAACTAAATTGTGGTTCCTGATGCATCTTTTAATTAATCCTTTACGGCCTAACATCAGTACGTATATTTTCCATGCTCTTCTTTATACATTTCCTAAGGAGCTGACCAGGTGAATTTGTTTAATAATCAAGAATTCCTTTAATGGGTGATCATTTCCTTTATTCCTGCGACAATAATATCTGATTCAGGGAAGAAATTATTAGGAAAAATTAGATGCTAGTAACTCCTAGGGGTCAAAAGGTTAAGATTAGCACTACACTGATCACTTCCTACCATTAACTCTTTAACTCCCAAGATCTGATTGTTAATTCTCCCTTCTAGCTTCTACACATTTCCTTGTAAATTGGTTAAGGGAATTTAGTGTTAGATCAAGATAACAACTTCTACCTGATAATATTGAGTATTCTCGTCACCCTTTTGAGAATAATGTATGGATATTATAGGGAGAAGTTACAAGTAAATCACCTCTGGGAGTTAAAGGGTTAGCAATTATAACCACTCAGTGGCTGTAGCTACCCTGTGGGCAATGAAAGGAATGTGCATCATAATGGAGCTTGAAAAGATCATATTAAAGTAAATAATGTACCTCAGTTACACTTGGTATGGTGTGGAGTTTCTCAATGTTTGTAATGTCGATCATCACATCAAAAGGACCATCGTTTTTGTAAATACCTGCAAATACCAAAATGTGATTTGGTTAATATTTTTTGAAAACTGGTTTCATTTTCTATAACCCATATAATTATGCATCACGCATGAACAACTTTCTTTTCTCTCTCTAACTATTTGTTCAAAAATGAAAAAATTCATTTTCAACCCTGCAACTTATAAATTTTAAAATAAAAAATAGAAACAAACAAAACCATTTGTACCCTTAACCCTTTAACCCCTAAGAATGACTGGCATCTAAGTTCTCCTTACAACATCACCATTAAGTCGCACATTAATGTCATGAGAATTAATTATTATGATCACCAACTAAAGAAACTCTTGATTGTTCAACAAATTCTCCTTGTCAGTACATTAGTAAATGTACAGACAACAGTATGGAGAATATGAATACTGATGTTAGGGTGTGAAGGGTTAATTTAGAGGTCACTGGAAAACATAAAGACTATTTGCACAGCTTTTATTTTCACAAAATTGTACAACATGCAAGAAACATTCTACAGTCAACAGCTAAGAAAATGACTGTGTACCTTTTCCAGAATTTCCAGCCACAAGCCTGATCTTGTTGTTTTTGTTCTTTGACATGAGTGTGTACAGATCAGTCAGTGTTGTTGGAGAGTACCAAAGTACACCACTAACTTCATAAACAGATGTTGTGAGACATTTCCTTGTACAATTGAGACCTCCATTGCCACAGACACCTGAACACTTGGTTATTTCCTGGTGAGGAAAGTCAGTATATGAAAAAATAATTAACATCATCCGCTGCAGAAAACTCTGGTAAGATAATGGGGTTTACTATTCATGGTGACACCTGACACTAAGAAGTTCATGAAAGTAGTTCTCCAGTGTCATAAGCATAATCTGCTTTTAAGTCTTTGTTTGGGCCTGCTACACAACATTCTTCCTTTCCCATGATGGAGGAGGAGTGGAGTGGTTTGTATGATGACCCCTCAAATAACCCCTTCAAAACACATTTATTTAAAAGTCATTACAATATGTCAAAAAAAGACAGAAAAAACCCTCACAAATCTTTTTTAAGAACATCTGGGTTATTACAAAATATTTTCAGCATCTCTGGATAGAAGCCTTCAAAAAAGACCAATAAACTTGGAAAAAGAGCCCTTGACTTAACATTCTGTGAAAACAATCTCAAACCTGTCAGGACACACTGAAAAACAATGGTGGGCAAGTCAAATGTAATTGAAATGAAGTCTTGTTCTTACCTCAATGTCTATTGGATTTTCAGACTTTGCAAAAGTTTTCATTGCATCCAAAATTGGTCTGTAGCCTAACCGATAAAAAAAAAAAAAATGGTAAAAAAAAAATGACACTGAATTTCAGAAAAATATGCAATCAAGTTCTGAATCAGTAATTTGTTTCACAAGATGATAAATTAAATGCAAGGTAGAGAAACCTAGTCCGATAATTAATGACAAATGAAATAGGACTTGATTTATTCTCTCAAGTAAATGATTGTACATCTTCTCTACATGTATCTCTAGCTCATGTATTCCTCTTTTAAGCATGGAGCATTCTCCAAACTGCTTCTCTACTGACCTCCTTCTCTGAATTTAAAGTTCTTGGTATTTTGTTCTCAATGTGCACATTAGTCATTTACACCCTAGTATCAGAGTACAGATTCTCCTCACTGTTCTTTTTATATATCCTGTGGTACTGACAAGGAGAATGTTTAACAATCAAGTCTTACTGATCCTCTTAATATTGACAATTTCCATTATTCTTATGACCTAAATGTTTGATTCAGCAGTAAAGCTGTAAGGAGAAATTAGATGCTGGTCACTCTCAAGGGTTGAAGGGGAAAGAAGTAATTCAAAGACACTTTTCACAGAACATGGTTGCCATTTTTTACAAGTCCTGATACATGTATGTCTCCTTATCTAGCCAACATTTTCCTTAATACTCAATCAAAAAAAAGTGTTTTTAAGAACATTTATTTTTAATATGTAATATGTGTGTATTCCACACACAAAAGTGGTCTACCTGTGCAGCGACAGATATTTCCATCAAAGTTATCTTCAATCTGTTGTTTGGATGGACTGGGATTCTCCTGCAACAAACTAATCAAAGAAAGTAACAGTTAATTAATATACTTGTTATATCCATTAATACCCTGCTGACATAATTTAAGTATTTAACTGCTCAGTGTAGAAAGTAATTAACAGTATTTAACTGCTCAGTAGAAAGAGGAAATGTTTCAAAAAACCAATCTCAATGAATCTCAGGTACTGAATTGGAGACAGACACAGGCAACCCATTGATATTAATGCACCAAAATGATGTACCTATTAATAATGACATTCTTAACATTACCTGGTGTGCACAGGAAACCTTGTCCACACTGACTTGAAACTGTTTCACAATCATGCAAATTACATGCATATAGAGATGTTATCTTAGATTCACAGACATCTTCCAGTATGACCACTCTCACTGGAGTCCCAAAAGGGCAAGTAATTCTCAGGGAACAAGCACTGAGTTCCTTCTAAATCTTTGTCACCTTTGTTTACTTTGGTCTTAGAGGCACTGATTAACAAAACTGAATCTACTTAAAATCATCTTTCTTGTTACGCCACAAGACTTAGTACATAGTTTTCTTTCAGTGATCATCTGATATCAGTAACAGCACTGTGATTTGCAATACAAACCTGTACATGTTCATAACAAATCCTGGTGAACAATAACCACACTGGCTGCCATTATGTTCTGCTAATCTCTCCTGGATGGGATTGAATCCATCAAAACGACTAAAAAAAAAAGAGGGAAGGGCAATTTTCAATGTTAGGAGTGATTAATCCAGGGCTCCTTTGGTTTTGCCTCACCACAATCTTTTGACAATATAGGGGAACTTGCACCTTATACAAACACACACCTATACCAATAAGATACAAAACCAAAATCAATAGTAAGCCAGCTCACTTAGCCTCACTCACTCAAGTTTTTTAGAGTTTGTTTGTTTTCAGTCTCAGTTTTCATTGAATCCTTGTTATTTTTTATTTTCTCTGATTGGCCGTTGAAATAAGTACTTTGGTTTCGGTTTTACAACCTTCAACTAAAATAGGCTTTTAAAAAAGAGCATTCATGACAATTAACATCAAATCTCAAAAAGAGTTGGACTAAGAGCTAAATTTCATGTACAAACAGTTTTACAGCAGTGGTGAAATTTCAAAATAATCATACATCTACCAAATGTAAAAGTCAAAAATTATAGTACTAATGATGGAGAAAAAAACAGGTTCAAACATTGGACTTGTAATCAAGCTCTGTAGCTATATAAAGGCATTAGATTCTTGTTCCTCTCTGGCCACCAGCATGAGCTTAGTCCAAAGTTCAAATCTCCAACAACACTTCATGTATAAAACAACCTTAAAGTTTGCATCATGTACATGTGTTTCATCTGTGTGTAAAACTTAGGCTCTCTGTTTACAATCATGCAACAGATAAAGTACAACTTAAACAGTGTAGTTGAGTAGCTAAGCTCACTACTTATTTTGTAACTCACTTTCCAATTCCTTCAATTGTTGTAACTTTGCCACCATTTACACCACACAAAGGAAATAGACACTGAAAAGAAAAAAAACAACAAAGAAGCCTTGTGATCATGTAACCAAAATTAATTTGATTGACACATCTATTAACACATATATTAAGAATGTTGTGTTCAACTAACAAAGCCAGACAGTGTGATAAACATGCAATGTAAACCTATTGTAAAGAAGCAAGAAAATAATAACAGAACCTTTTATCTACGCGCCAAATTTTTTTACTTGCATATATACATGAGGTCAGTATGTGTCCTAAGGATGAACCATAAAGGCATGTGGGATGTGTAGCACATTCTCAATTTAAAATGGCAAAAAGAAATTCATAGATCTGAAGTCATCTTACAGAGTTGACAGCTACGGTGACATCTTTTCTAACACTCAGATCATGCCTTGTGACTGACACCACACAACAACCACAGCCAGCTTCACGACACATCACCTTTGTTCCTTAATAGAACAAAATGATAAAACAAACAAACTAATTGTGTCTGCTCACTTGACAGAGAGAATACAAAACATAAATCGCATAATCACATGTAATTGCTCTGTGTCATGGTGGGGGAGGGACTAGTACTTTTTGCAAAAACATACACTCAGTGACTGGTATTCTCTGAAATCAATGCACATCACTTTCTGCTGCTTTCCCTGGCATAAAAACCTACTTGAGATGTCTGTAGAATAATACACAAAAAGACTGTAATTGGCCTACAGCTCATATTTTGCAAACTTTTTTTTCAATTCTCCAACATCACACAAGGGTTATGCTGCTAATAAACTAATAGAAAGTTCAATCTATTGCTGAAAGACTAATAACTCCAGTTTAAGACACCATTCCATGTTACAGACCAGAACACTTGAGATCTCATTCCTTAATTACAGCATGTACACTTAATTGCAACACACCTTGTAATCCAGGCTGATTTCTGATCCACTCATTCAAACTCATTCCTGGGTCAGGATTGGTAACTTTATGCTGTGTTCCATTAAGTGTGAAACTGACCTCATTGACAGGAGTAGGAACGGACCAAAACTCCACATCCTTGTTGCAGCTTTTACATTTGCCATTGTAAATACCACTACACAGTACTCCATTTTCTGGGACAAGCCTACACACAGGTAAAATAACCATAAAATGTTTATGAAATTTACTGTGTTAATTAACAACTATTCACCCAAGTATATGTGGCTATATTGCTGGATATTTACTGGGCTGCAAAGTGGCGAGGTAAATATCCACTGCTAGCCACCAACACTGACAGAGGTAAATAGTTGTTCTAGTTTATGCTCAAACAGTGAGACAAAAGAAACACAAAAAGATGATTTCAATACATTTATTCCTGCAGGGATTACAATACTTTCAGGCACAAATCTGCACTCATTGCTCAGAAGTGAATAGGAAAGGACAATTGGAGTTTGAGTGGCCAATCAGACTGCACCTAAAATGCTATCCAATTTTTCAGCATATATCAGTACCAGATGTCCATATCAGCTACCCACAAACTGCCTGGTCTTCCATCTTGCATATAGGGGCTATCAATGGTGGGTCTGTCCCGCAGGTACTAATAAAATTCATATTTCACTTGCACGACTCTTTTTGAATACGTATTGAACAACATCTGCTGCATCAAGTGTTACAGAGAACCTGCTTCACAGGCTGATAGCATCTGAGGTTCAATAAGTTACAGGATTTGAACCAGTAACTTATCCAGTACAGATTTGAAAAACACCAAGCAAATCACATAGAGAAGATACACAACCGTATTGGCAGAATATCACAAGTCGACGGGTTGTGTTTACAGCAAACTTAAGTCATTTTGCGTGTCATGAACTCAGCTGTTTCCTGCATGTCAAAAACACTGGCACAATCTCCTACTATTTAAAAAAATTTTTTTTTTCCAAGTTATTCTTGGGGTGAAAAAACGTAACCCTAACCTTTAAATGCATCAATAAAACTATGTTACAACACGGTTACGGGTGCTTGTGGCCGTGCAATTATGTAATCGATCGCGTCTAAACATACCCTTTCCTAGTCATGTATTCTAGACCAAAATGAGGGCATTAACGTTTTAATTAGCTTTCCTAGACATCTCACAAAACTGCTGGAAGCTAAAAAGGAAAAACATTACCAGACTTGCCATAAATTTCAAACCGAAATTCTATCTTCCATGAAATGAGAGCTCGAGAACAACGAAGTCATTAAGTCATTAGTCGGACCTCGCATGCAGTCATCGTCGACTGTGTCTCCCTCACTAATTATACTTAGCATCAAAAACACTGACTTAAGTCGTTATCACCTTTTACTAGAGAAAAGCATTGTAATGATCACATGAGTATGCGACGAGCTAGATTAAAAGGGTTGAATGATTTGACCTTAAATTTATGTAATGGGCTCTTCTAGCTTCAGCTCAAGTTCTGCAGGCGGGCAATATCTGCTTAGCACTTACCTGGTATAACATGAAGGGCATTCCAGATGGGGCTGAAAGGAAGAGCTCATTTCTTCGACCGAAGGCATCGCGATCACTCGAAATACAAGCGTTTTATTTTGTTGAGGCAAGTTATTTGCGTCACGTGACCACTAAGTAAGGGGGTTCTACTTCCCCTCCCCCGACCAAATTGTCCGATCGCCAACAGCAAACGTTCACTAGTTTACTGTAATGTCATGGCAATCACTTGAAAACTGTTGAAACAGTTCGCTAATTCAAACGGTAAAATTACCTCTTTTCAAAGACAAGAATTTATTTTTTAAGTCTCTATGATACGCTGACCACTTCTTGACTCCTCTTCAAAGAAAATTAAGTTTTGTTTTGTATGTTTGCGGCACGCATGGACGAGAGGCCGTGGTGAAATCATTTTGAATGAAGCATCATGGCAACAAATGAGAAAATAATATCTTGGATTATGCCGAAAAGTTTAGGTTGATCATTGGAAAATGTCTTTAAACGGAGCAAAGCTTAATCATAAGTGAAAGGTAACCATATAATTGGAGCAGGAGAACGCCGTTTAGACCCAGGAGGATCAAGGAGCACTTACTTTTAAAGCGAAAAAAACGATTTTTAAAATGGTAATCTGGGCAGAAAGTAAATGTAGCTTGCTGATCTTTCAACCTTCGCTAAAAGAACAATCACAAGGCAAAAACAAGATGCTTTATGCAAACACTTCGCGCAATTTTTACCACAGTCAGTAACACTGTTCTCCGTGCAGTCAGCAACCACTGTTCTCCATGCTTTGGTGCTGACAAGGAGAATTTTGCTACAATCAAGAGCTCTTCAAGTTGTAGATCATTTCGTTTATTCTCTTGGCTTTATGTTAAATTCAGGGTGGTGCCGTGAGGAGATTATTAGATGATTGTAAATCTTGGAGTTTCAAAGGGTTACATATTTGTTAGCTTGTGAACTTAAAAGGTAATTTCAGAAAACCAACTTTCTTCTTGACTCAGGAATATAGGACAAAAATCTGAGGGCATTTTAGTCATTTAAAAAGAGAGGTATAGCAGCAACTGAGATAATATCTAATATCTTCATTCAGCAGCCGCAGAGATACGTGTATTTTATAACTTGTGCAGTTTTTTCATACTTCATGAACAATCGGTGTAGGAGTGTTTGCTTTGATAATCACGCACAAATTCAGTGGCTCTGTTCCGGTTACAACTGGCTTTATCCCACTTCTGATAATCTTCAATAAAATAGAAGAAGGTAAGTGTGAAATTCTATTATGCTGCTTCTCTCTGGTAACAAATAGTTTCTTTTACTAGCTATGTTGTAACCTGGTGGCCCAAGTGTTTTGCTGAATTGTTGAACAGTGGCGAGCAATGGTTAAAATGATCATCAATGGTTAAGCGGTTTACATTAAGAGACGCAAAATGTCCGCATACACAAACGATCGCTCATTACTTCAAATTCTGCCTCCGCAACACGTTTTTGCTCTTCTTTCACATTTGCAAACGAGGTAAACTTTCTCTCTGCTTTGGACTGGGTGACAAGTTTTTTAGCAAAGAAAGCTTCATCTGAATGTTGTCGGCCGTTTGAGGCCGGTCTAGGAAAGTAAACCTCTTCACACGAGAAGAGGTGTGGTAGGAGAAGGGGGGGGAGGGAAAGTTCTTAATTTATAAGTTTAAAAAAGACTCCGTGAGAGTTTACAGCAAGAGCTGTGGACGCAAAAAATTATGCGCCCACGTCTTATACACAACAGCACTCCAAGGTCTCATTCGCTAGCTGCATGTTTCCAGTAGCCTTCTGAAATATTTCATGGCCCACTCATTTTAAACCCAAAAGCCCATTTTAACACAAACTTTACTTTTTAATTTACAAGGGAGATACAGAAAGAAATAATTGCCTGATGATTGCCGGTATTTCAAACCTTGAAGGGTATGATTCTATGAACTGTTCTTTTTCTGTCTCTTTTTCTGTGTAAGATGTCGCCATGGCCGGATATTTCAGACGATAAAAAAATCACAGTTTTATTCAAAACCCCATTTGTTAAATGATGTTTTGTTAATAAGCGATCCTACCAAGCAAGCTCCCGGATCGGCCGTGATAGATCTTCTTTTGTTGCTTATGGTACCGCATTAAAAAGCTTCACTAGCTTTCTTTTACAACTTTTTCTCCTTGCCTCAATTGTTACATCCATTAGTTCGGTGCAAACTTACAGGAAATTAAGGATTTTACAAGCGGATATCTTCCAGGCGTTGACTCACAAATAGGAATTTTAAACAGGATCCAACCTTAATCTTAGACATCACCACAAATAAGACGGCGTCTTTTTGCAGTCCACTGTATTTAAAGATCTGTTTCCATGTATTGTTCTACGCCTTACTTACTTTGATCTCCTGAACCCGTGTCTTTATGGAGAATTAAGCCAAAAGAGAGTTCTTTCCCCTATTGATGATTTGTCTTCGCTAACTAGTTATCAATAGAAACCACTGAAGCTCAGATGGAAGCTGCAATCGTTGCGTACCTCATAGTTGGGTTCAGGAGTCATGCAGAGCAGACAAGATGATATAATATTAAAAAAGTCTGTTCTCTACAACTGACTGGCTGAAGAAGAAAAGCCTTAAAAAAATAATGATAGCATTCATTAAACCACCACAACTAGCGACGGCATTTTCTGGAATTTGCAACTTAATTGTGGTATTTCATGCGTGTAACCTTGACAATTGTCGAAATTGCCTCATTGAATAGGTATCCTTGCTTTCATTCACGCTACTAACGGTTTCCGTCGGTTCATGATGAACGAGAAAAAGAACGTGCCCCACCCTACCCCTGGCAGATGGTCGAACAGCCAGCTAATTAAGGGTAATTAAGATTTTTGATTAGTAGTCACATGAATATCCGCCTTACTTCGGTCAAAAGCCGATCTAAAATTTCGTTCTTAGGTGTTCTGTCTGTTCTTTGCTATCATTTATATTTGACATAACAAGTTTTAACCCATAGCTTGTCACGAATTGACAGAGCCAAAACAAATCATATTTAGACCTGCGGAAAAGTAACCAAAAACTGCTATGACTGACAGGTGAGGATCAAGAGATTAGCTCTAAATTCACGGAATAATTCTATTGAAAGAAGGACAATTTAACCAACTGAAACAAACAGGGAAGTCTTGAAATTCATATCACGATTGCAACTAAAGGGAAGATAGTACTATTTAAAGTGTTTAACATCCTAGACAAAGTAATATATAAATATACACACAAGCTATACCTTGTACAAAATCTGGAGACCTTCAAAATTCGTATGAGAGTAAACACCAATCGTAATTTGTCAAAGATGAACTTCTTAGTAAATTATAGAGGGAAAAACAGCTTGAGGTCCTCTGGGCATCAGGTTTCTGATAATGAGAAGTTAAAATCAGATTTGACCATTTCATCGAGTGCAAAATTGACACCTAGTACGTCGATGTCACAATCATTAGCTCGTCTAATGTTCCTTCCCCGCTTGCTGCCTTTCAGACAACCCTTTTTCTTGTTTCGTTCACCCCTCCCAAATTACTTGAAGATCGTTCCGCTTTTAGTGGAATTTACGTTGGGACTGCGTGATAACAAAAAACAAAGTTTATTCAAATTACACTTTTCACAGAAACCAATGAGTGCGTCATGCTCCGGAAGTTCGACAGCGGAGGACCGCTGCGCACGTTAGTTGAAACCGCATGCCTGAGGGATGGCGCACCTTTTCCATCCTAGAATAGTTAACGACATTGGACGTATTGCGGCCCCTTTATATTTAAGTATAGAAAACCCTAGTTCATCAGTTTAGGCTGTTTATTTTTTACTATTTGGTGTTTGCGAGTTTGAAATGTCATGAATTCGCGACTCTTGAATGCTTTCATTAAGAAGTTTATAAACATCTAAGGACAATAATTTATACGAAGTCTAACCCAAACTGCGGTTTAAAGCAAGCAGTGGGCTTTACGCATTCTTTATAAGGGGGTTGTTTTCATCAAATTAATGTCCTTCCACTGCGAGCTTTCGGCGCGGCTCGACGTTGTTCACTAAAACATATGTTCAGATAAAAGATTCGGCTAAATTTAAGATAGTGTAGAACGCAGTTTTGTTAAACAACGGCTAAACTTCGTTTGAATAATCGACCCTTATTGTCTTGATTTGTATTTCCGGTGGTTACTTGCACTGATTGCACGTCACGTCATGTCTCGACTTGAGTGTCATTTCCATTAAAGGTGTTTTCTGATTTATTCTCGTTCTCTGTTTTGTCCAAACAGATCTAAAACATCAGGAAAAAAATCATTTAAGCCATCAAACCCTAGGTATCACCATGACTGAAAATTAAAACTCTTTCAAGTGGTTAAGTTACCAAAGGCTCAAAAGGCCTTGAACAATGGCACACTCCTTCTGAAGTCAAAGATAAGGCTCAGTTTTAAGGTTTGTAGAGCCATTTTTCTCACTCTGGTATGCCGGAAATTGTTTGCACAAAGAGTAGCTTCTTTAGACTTTGTTTTTTCAGAAGTCTGAAGCACTTATAAGTGGTAAAATTTATAAAAAAAAAAACTAAACAATTGGAAAAACCCGCCCGAATAAATCCTCCTGTTTTTTTTTAGAAGTTTCTTTGTAGTTTTAAATACCTCTTCCAAACTAACAGTCACTAGTCACGCACACTAAACTATCAAAGAAAGTGAAGAAATACAAGTGTGAAAAAAGTTCCTGTGAAGGGCTCACTGAAAGAGAAAGTCATCTGTGTAAGGATCATCGGTGAAGACGGAGCATATTTGATTATCACTTTCAAAATCTTCAGACGAAACTGAAAAAAAGCCACGCCGAATGTATCTCCCCTTTTTTTGTTAAATATAGACGTTGAAGTAGAGGAAATGGAATTATTTGAATTATAGGCGCGGATGCAAATTACCCCCACGCAAATAAACTCTTTGTTCTGGGGTTACCGATTAACATTTCGTGAAAAAGTATTCTTCAGGCAAAGGTCAACAAATGTGCATGGCTATTTTAGGAAAACGTATGCTTTTTCTTCTTTGTGTGAGAATATTGCTTCAAGGGCACTCTTAACTAAGTATTGTTCGTGGAATCATTTCATGACGCCAACGTGAATGAGGTCAAGTGAAATAAAGAGACCGGACGAATCTACAATAATCTCAGCCATCTCATGTAGGAGGAATAACAAATTCCTCGTCACGATTTTGTGACTATGCTTTAACGCTTGGTGGCATGGTTTTCTACTTCTCCTGTTTGGAAACCGAATCCCACCTTTAAAATTTACGTAGAAAAAAATCATCGAAGATTGGATTTCCGCTTTGCTGCAAGATGCTTGAAGGACACCATATTTGACCTTCATTACCGCTTGTGACGTTTAAGGTGGGTCTGAAGCAAATTTTATCTGTCAGGGGATGGGTCAGTACGGGCGCTTATATTTTTCGTAAATAAATTATTGTACGGGAGTTTTACTTCAACCTTAAAAACAGTATGTTGCGTTCCTTTTTATATTTTATGAAGGAATCTGTGCAAAATGTATTTCTGCGGGGTAAATCGTGCAACTCTTTAAATCTTTGATCTGAAATGTAGACAGTGTGAAATAATTAAGGAAGTGTAAAGTGTCTGAGTCCCTCTCCCTAAGGAAAAATTAGGTCCTTTTTACGGAAATGACATAACGTCACAGGATTAATTAGTATTTCAGCATCAAAGTAAGTGGTACCATTAAGTGTTGAAGCACGCTCCCTATGGTTCAAGACCTGTCGGATGTTGTAGGGGCAATACTTTTATTGTAGAGTTTTAAGATTTTGGATCGAAAGAGTTTTTTGGAGGTAAAAATGCCACTCGCACCTATGGAGAGTTGTGGACACCGATTAACGATCATTTGTTTCTGTTACTGCTTGCTTGTCACTGGATCTGTGGCTGAGATATTGCCGTCAATTCTATGGAATTCTGAAAATCCATTGTAAGTATCTTAAATGATATTCTACCATCAACATTTATTTTCCGTGAAAACAGAAATCGAAGCTAAGTTCTTGATTCAAAGCTAACAATTCATGCACAAGACCGTTGACAGCTCATTATCATTTCGTTTCATAATGACGGTTTTACATGTCATCGTGCCGAATTTAAACTAAGGAACATAAAAAGCGTTATAAAAAGACAAGCAATAGCTATAAGTTAGAAAAGGGAAGTTCCCTTGCGGCTCTTACTGTGGCAGACCTTTTAGACAACCCGATTTAAAGTTGTGTTTAGGGGGCAAACACAACGTTGCGGTTCACCTAGCAACGTTTTAAATTTTGGTCACTAAAAATTTTTTGTCCTGACTTGAAACAAGATCCTCAGTACTGTTTTCAAATAATCACCTCTAGGCTTAATCATTTTATCTGAAAATCGTTTCAAAGTGCTCTCTTAGATTTTCGGGTTAGGAAACATTGCACCTTACTTAAAATTCGTAGACATTTGATTACGCAAGTCCTGATAACAAATAGACCGTAAAACAAAGGAAACAAAGGTATGAAAGAAAATCCAAATGTTTACTTGCTCAGTGCCAAACATCAGCGGTAAAGCCATTCTAAATCAAACATATCTGATCCAATTTTAATTGCTTTCTATTCCAGTTTTAATAACCTACATGAAAGGACCAGAAATGTCATGGAATTTGACCAGCTCTCAATTATTTGTCCCACCCTGGTGGACTACCCCATCAAAAGAACAACTACTTATTTGAAAGACTTGTTGTATGAAAATGTATATATGGTGGACAAGAAGGGTTATGACAACTGTAATGCAACAGGAGGACTCAGTGTTTTATCCTGTAATGATCCAGTGGGACACATTTATTACAGGGTTGTATTTCAACCTCATACCGTTAATCCAAATGATCCAAAGTTTGAGAAAGGAAAAGAATACTACTTTATTAGTAAGTGCTAATGTTTCATAATAGATCCAATAATTTTTTTTCTAAATTCTGATTAACTGCAATCTAATGACCTCATTTCATGTATATGTTTATGTGCATTTACTTTTTAATGCTGCATTTTTATGTATTTATGAATTTATTTAAAATTTTTTTTGGTGTGTGTGAAGAGGTGTTTACATTGAACTCTACAGCAGCTGCTTCTTAATTTTACATGTATTGAGCTTTCTTGAATGTGGGCTACAAATTAAAAATATTTCTCTGAACATTTCTTTTGCAAGGGTTTTGTGGTTTCTGAGAAATAACCTGTCTAAGCTGCTTTTATTGCTGCTTGGATAACTCATTTTTCCAGTAATTACATATATTTGATTAGAGAGAAGGAAAGTCAACATCATCTAACTGTAATTATTGAAAGAAATGTGCTTGTTATGTTTTGCATTTGTATTGTTTGGGGGAACAAAAGAAAAGCAGAGAAGCTGCTACAGAACTTTTAGTTTGATGGTCTCAGAACTTTTCAAAAATTGACTTTAAAGTCCCAATAAAAAGGATAAAAATCAAAAAATATTTTTCAACTGTCAGGTACTGCATCAGGCTCACAAAGCTCATTAACAAACACTCAGGGAGGACACTGTAATTCAGGAATGAAGATGAAAATATATGTCTGTGAAAGCAGCTCTGACCCAAAGTGTCCTAATGGAAACAGTGGTATGTTACATGTATCTCATTTCACATAATTATCCATCTTTTTCATGCCTGGCCTAGTGGATTTGCAGGCTGAGGCAAGGTGAAATAAATCCTGTGTTCCTATTGGCTTCCTAAATGAGCAAGATAAGTCTACCTTGCCCACCAGTGATTGCATGCCTTAGATGACTTCCAGTGCCATCTTGGTCACAATTTGAAATCTCAATGATGTGTTTTCAGATCTACTGGTGCACAAAACTTTTAGTTATCTTCCTCTCTATCCATATCATGGCAAAGAACTCTGTGCTAAAAGAAGTCCCCTTTTGTATCTTTCAGTTGTTAATGGTGGATGGTCTGACTGGAGTGAATGTTCGAATGGTCTTCAAAGACGAAAATGTAACAAACCTGCCCCAGCGAGTGGGGGACTACCATGTGTTGGTGATGAACAAAGAGCATGTTCGACAGAAGCTGCACAAGTACTTTGTAAGGGGCATTCATGTACTAGTAAGTGAACAGTTACTGTTACCCTTTCACTGCCAAGATCTCATTAGTAATTCTCCTTACTGTCTCACTGCTGTACAATTCTTACAATTTTAGTTCCAAGAATTTGTTACTGAATCAACTGACAATCCCCTAATTGATATTTCTCTTTATTCTCATCACTTGTCTGCTTGAAATTTTATGGATATTGTAGGGAGAAATTCTGTCTTTGTCACCTATAGGAGTTAAAGGGTTAATGTCAGAAGTTGATGTTTGGATGTACAAGTAATAATGGGTTTGACTGAAAGTTTTTCCATCCTTAAGGCAGGCTGGTAGTTACCATTGAGGAGAAATGACAAACCCCTTTTTTTCCCTTCTTTAATTTGCTTTTAGATCCCACTTTGGAAGGTCAAACATCAACTTCACTAGGTAAAGCAGTTTACAATTTTTAGATAACATGTGTCCTGTATATTTCTGTCCCATTCAAAGTTTGCTAGTTTGGGATGTTGAATGTTGTTCATATACATCTCTGCCAAGATCTCATCAGTAATTCTCCTTACTGACTGCTGTACAATTCTTATGATTTTAACTCCGAGAATTTGTTACTTGATCAACTGATAATCCCCTAATTTATATTTCTCTTTATTCACATCACTTGTCTGCTTGAAATTTTATGGATATTGTAGGGAGAAATTCTGTCTTTGTTACCTATATGAGTTAAAGTATTTCCATCCTTAAGGCAGACTGGTAGTTACCATTGAGGAGAAATGACAAACCCCCTTTTTTTCCCTTCTTTAATTTGCTTTTAGATCCCACTGTGGAAGGTCAAACATCAACTACACCAGGTAAAGCAGTTTACAATTTTTAGATAACATCCCTGGTGAAAAACCTCACAGGATCTTTGAGGATCTTCAAGGATTGACAAAGACCTGCCAAAGATCCTTAAGGACAAGGATCTTTAAAAGATCTTTAAAGGATCTGTAAAAGATCCTCAAAGTGTCCTGTTATCCTCATTTGATAAAGATCCTCAAAGGATATTACAAAAGATCCTCATAAGGATCCTCGCAAAGTTCTTTTCAAGGATCCTTCAAGATCCTCAAGGATTTAGCAAGGATCTTTCAAAGACCCTCAAAAGATCCTTTCAAGGATCCTTTCAAAGATCTTTGTAAGGATCCTTAAGATTTAATCAGGATCTTGCAAGGATCCTAGTCAAGATCTTTGCAGGATCTTTTTGAGGATCTTTCAAGATCCTCAAGGATTTAATGAGGATCTTTTAAAGACCTTCCAAAGATCCTTTCAAGGATCCTATTAAGATCTTTGCAAGGATCCTTAAGGATTTGATCAGGATCTTACAAGGATCCTACTCAAGATCTTTGCAAGATCTTTTCAAGGATCCTTCAAGATCCTCAAGGATATAATGAGGATCTTTTAAAGACCTACAAAAGATCCTTTCAAGGATCCTGTAAAGATCTTTGCCAGGATCCTTAGGAATTTGATCAGGATCTTACAAGGATCCTTAAGTCAAGATCTTTGCAGGATCTTTTCAAGGATCCTTCAGGATCCTCAAGGATTTAATGAGGATCTTTTAAAGACCTTCAAAGGAACCTTTTAGGGATCCTGCTAAGATCTTTGCTAAGATCCTTAAGAATTTGATCAGGAGTTACAAGGCTTTGAAGATCCAGTCCCATTCAAAGTTTGCTAGTTTGGGATGTTGAATGTTGTTCATATACATCTCTGCCATTGCATGGACTTGTATGTACAGTATTGTTTAAAAGTTCTGGCTTTTTGATGAATTTTGGTCCAAAATGAAATTTTTGCAACATGTTGTCAAATTTGCGAGACAGATATTGTTTGGATTTTTCTGAAATTTCTCCCATGTAACAATGAGAGGGACCCTCTACATTAACTCCATAACCTCTCAAAAAATGTTAGCATCTAATTCTTTTTCCAGTATACCTAAGAAATGTGTAGAAAATAATGTGGAGAACATGTATATTGGTGGAAGGATATTCAGGGTTAAAAAGCTCAGCGTATTCAAGACACTGGCCCCATTTCAAATAACACATCTTGGTACAAATAGCCATATAAAATGTCTGCGCATGCATTTAATCCTTTAACTCTCAAGGTCTGATTGTTAATTCTCCCCTCTAGATGCTACACATATCTTTGTAAATTAGTTATGAGAATTTGGTGTAAGATCAAGATAATTAACAACTTCTAGCTGATAAGTTTGCATATTCCCATTACCTGTTTGCTTGATAATGTATAAATATTATAGGGAGAAGTTACATGTTAATCACTTCAGGGATAGGGTTAATTTTCTTTCTAATCTTTACCCAGTACACAATGCAAGAGAGATCTCTTTCTGGGGGATGATGTACAACAAATAGAGATTATGATCTTACAAAAGTTATATAAAGTTAAATATTTCTTATTTTCTCCTTTATCTGTCTCTCTTAGGACTTCCTTCCAGAGAAAACAGAACTGGAGGTATGCTTTTGAATCTTTTATCCAAATACCAGTAGTTGTGATGATCAGGTCTTGTTTCACCCACTTGAAGAAATTTAGCAACACAACTGTGTGCCAATAAAATAAGTTTATAGTCTTAATTATGGTAGTTGCTGCGTTGAATCAACAAGCTTTACTTAATTTTTTTCACTGTTATGGATAATAAGTAACTGTTTCTCAAAGTCACTTTCCAAAAGATTTCAGTTATTCTGGTTTAACCCAATGTTGTGTTTACTGTGGTTAGTAGTTTTCAGAAAAATATTCTCTAATTCAGAGAGCTTTGTCAATCAATAGTTATATACTCTGTGTTGTCTTTTTCATAGATAATTCTGGTGATAAATTGGAGTTGAATAGAGGACTGTTTGTTGGAATATGTCTTAGTATATTCATATTTGGGATTTTCATTGGTGGAATAATTGCTATTTTAGTATGTAGAGTTTCTAGACGCAAGTCAAAAACAAGTAAGTGCAATCTGTTTCTCTGAGTTCTAACTCTAAGCTAAACTTTTTGGCTGTACACATCCAAAATAATCCTAAATGAAAAGATGTTCTCAATTCTTGTGACAAAAAGATTTGCTTCTGTAGTACATCAAGAGTTATGAGGAAACAGTGGCAAACTGTTGGAGATAATGGACCAAACTCTAGGGTTTACTTTGAACTAAATTAAGTCGACATAATTATTTATGGGGGAATAATTTCAGATATTAGTAGTAATATGGTTTATTATATCTCTCAGCTAGTATGTACTCTAATAATGTGCAATGAATTCATACCCCACCAGCTGAACCTAGAGATATCACTAGTATCTTACTACCCTCATTTTCTTGGTCCGTACGATGTAAGTTACAGAACCTTGTTTTTTCCACTCAGATTTATGGTTCACACGCTTTGCGTTTAATTGGGCAATAAATCCAAGCAGAAAAAACTAGGTTTGTACCATACAGTACCAGTACAGACCAAGAACACAAGGTTAGTAAGAGGTGTAAACTTTTCACTTTTAATCACACTTTTTGAGAAAAGCCTTTAGACTGAATAAAAACCACAGGCAAATGAAGCTTCTCTTAAATTTTAAAAAAAATTTCAGTCTGTAGTATTCCCTCTGCAGTCATCCTTGTTGTGTTAAAGTCACATGCTAGGCCATGGCTCATAATGTTTTTTTTTTTTAATTTTTTGATTTGTTTTATTTTACACAGATGCCCATATTACAAGAGCTCCTAGCAAATTAACTGGTTTCTCTCGTCCAACTTCACTAGTTTCTACATTATCCACAGTTAGTGAGAGTGCACAAATGGTGAAAACATAGCACTTAGTAAATGCAACCATTATTTACAACCATAACCCTTTCAGTCCCATGGGTGACCAATACAGTATTTTCTCCTCACAACACAGACATTTCCAAGCAGAATGTGATAATAATAAGAAGGAAGAACATGTAGTGGGACATTTAGAGCAAAATTTTAGGGTTGTAAAATCGTGAGAATTGTCTATGAGAGATATTTGAAAGACTGATAATGAGTTCTCAAACTCATTGATTATTCATAAGGTGATCATCCAACCATGACATGCCAATTTCATCACCTGCTTGTGGTTTGAAACCCCGGTGAAAGTTTCATATAATATCAAACCCTTGAGTTTGATAAAGCATCAAACTCTAGTGAACTCATTTCTTGATTTGAATATCAATACAACAAACTTACCAACAACATGTGAAAAATTTGTGAGTACTTCTATTTTCTTTTATTCTTAAGGTGCGATTGAGAAGCTATTTCAAAAGCTATTTCAAAAACTTGTGCATCAGGTTTCATTGGGGTTTCCAAACACTCAAAAACAATGAAAGCATTATCAGTTTTCTTGTGTTTGGAAACCTTGATGAAACTCTCACACTGGTTTTTGAAATAGTACATTTAGGGTGGTCACTCTTAATATTTCCACCATTCTGGAGCTTAGGGAGTGAATGGGTTAAAATATTTATTTAGTACTAATGTTTAGTCAGCTATTTAGTATCCTCTGTGAGAATAGTTTAGAACATTTGAGACTAAGCAAATTTACCTCTAGATAAAATATTTCAATATTATGAAGAGGGATTCTTTAACAAGGGGCCTTTGCGCATAAGCCCCAGTTGTTTGGAGGGTGGATAATACTATCCAACTTGTAAATTACTTTCCTGTAGATATAGATTTAATACATGGATAGTGTTATCCACCCTTTGAAAACCAGGGCAGACACTTCAGTAAATATTATGCTTTCCTGGTCATTTCTTAACAACTGGTTAACTGCATCTCTTAAATTAGCAATTTTGGATTGCATTATTGATAGCGTCTGTTTGAACCTATCATTGATGCAAATCAAAGAGAACTACAAGCATTAAATACATTTGTATTTTCTTGCACAAAGTTTTTTAAAAATTAAAAATTGGTGAGATTTGACATTTCTCCATCCTCCCTGAAAAACTGAACATAACATAGGTAAAAATGGGATGGATTTTATAGTTCTAATTATTTTTTCATCAGTAGACTCTATTTGGGTGTGCTAGACCTCTTTAGACTGTAGCTATGATAAGTGATTGTCATATAATTATTTATTTATTGAAAGATTCACTAGACTCCTTGAAAAAATTGTCTGATTTGACTTGGTATTTTATCGCAACCAAGGGACTTGGGAGATGCCTATCAGAATTTGTGAGAAAACTAAAAACTAAATTTTTGAGTCCAATGTTTGAGAGTGGAAAGTATTATTTTTCGTAAATAAATTATTGTACAGGAGTTTTACTTCTAGCTTGAAAACGACATGTTGCGTTCTGTGCAAAAATGTATTTCCGCGCGGTAAACCATGCAACTCTTTAAAATTGAAATGAATTTGATCTGAGCCACTCTCCCTATTTGGGAAATTGGGTCCTTTTTTAAGGAAATGATGTAGCGCCCGAGGTTAGCCAGTATTTCAGTATTAACCTGAGTGGTAACGTCAAGTGTTGAAACGCACTCTCCTTGGTTCAAGACCTGTCGGATGTTGTAGGGGCAATACTTTTATTGCAGGGTTTTTAGATCTTAGATCGAAAGATTTTTTTTGGTGAGAGAAAAAGCCGCTCGCACCTATGGAGAGTTGTGGACATCGAGTAACAATCATGTGTTTCTGTTTCTGCTTGCTTGTAACTGTATCTGTGGCTGAGATATTGCCGTCAATTCTATGGAATTCTGAAAATCCAATGTAAGTATCTCTAATTTTATTCTACCATCAACATTTATTTTGTGTGAAAACAGAAATCGAAGCTAAGTTCTTGATTCCAAGCTAACAATTCATGCACAAGACCGTTGACAGCTCATTATCATTTCGTTGTAGAACGACAAGCAATTGCTATAAGTTAGAAAAGGGAAGTTCCCTTGCGGCTCTTACCGTGGCAGACCTTTTAGAGAACTCGACTGAAAGTCGTGTTGGGGGGCAAACACAACTTTGCAGTTCACCTGGCAACGTTTTGATTATTAAAAGGCCTGAACGGAAGTACTAAAACATGGAACGACCTAAAACCACCTGAAACCACCTACAACCACCTACAACCATCTACAACCACCTCAAAAATTTCAGCAACCACCTACAACCACCTCAAAAACTTCTACAGCCACTTGCAAACTATCTAAAACTATCTGAAACAAGGCATAAATGTCCAAAATAAGGCGAAACGACAGTATGTCACGTACATGAAATACAAGAATCGAACGAAACCTCCACCTCCCACTACATACATACATACATTCTTTTATTTGATAAGAATACTAAATATTAGGAATTACATATATATAAAAAATTGCTAATAACTTAGAACTACCCAAATAAAATGGTGTTCACTAAGGTCCCATGTATAATCAACCATCTCACGGAATGAAATGCGATAGCATGCTAATTATTTTATATTCCCTCAGTAGCAAAAGACCTAAAGAACTTTACAAAATCTCGATAAGCTGGAAACCACTCCGCTTCGCGTCGTGGTTTCCTACGCGTATCTCGTGTTCTCCCAACCTCCCGCGTGTTTACATCAGGCTATGTAAACACGGAAACCATTTTACATTTCTTCAATATAATATCATCAGCGAACGATTTCGAAGAGGAATCTATGTTCTCGAATCGACCAAAAGCACTGCTGTCCTCTCGAAATGGGAAAGCGCAAATATCAATTTCATCTGTTTCGCAAGCAAAGGAGTTAATCACCGACACCGGAAATCGCGACCAGGTATTCCTCACGACTCCCCTAGGTTTGTTTTCCAGTTTGCCCAAGCCGCTGTCTATCAGTTCTTGCGTTAAAACCCATGAAACCTGCGAAGTGGAACTATGATGGCTATTGCTGCTTGTCGATAATTTCCGTCGGCAAAACGTAGAAGTCCAGTGTTTACGTGGCAGTTTCGCTTTCGCATGACAAAAAAATGAAGGAACGCCGCGGCTCAAAACCAATTAAAATTGTACGATCGAGTAAAAGCTCCATTATCCAGTAGTGTTAACTATTACAACCACCTCCCACTCCTCCCTGCATAGTATTAGTCCGTCTCACACCCCTCCTTGAGTAATAACACTCTGCCTCCCACCCCTCCCTCAGTACTGATAGACTTCATTCCACCCCTCCCTCAGTAATAATGATGTGCTCCCCTCCTTCAAAATGGTCCCAAAAAAAAAGGTCTAAAAAAAAATGGTCCAAAAATTAGTCTAGTCCATATTTTACCCTATGCAGGTAACAAATAAACCGTAAAACAAAGGAATCAAAGAAAATAAAAAATATGTGAACTTGCTTAGTGCCAAACATCAGCGGTAAAGCCATTCCAAATCAAACATATCTGATCCAATTTTTATTGCTTTCTATTCCAGGTTTGATAACCTTCATGAAAGGACCAGAAATGTCATGGAATTTGACCAGCTCTCAATTATTTGTCCCACCTTAGTGGACTACCCCATCAAAAGAACAACTACTTATTTGAAAGACTTGTTGTATGAAAATGTATATATGGTGGACAAGAAGGGTTATGACAACTGTAATGCAACAGGAGGACTCAGTGTTTTATCCTGTAATGATCCAGCGGGACACATTTACTACAGGGTTGTATTTCAACCTCATACCGTTAATCCAAATGATCCAAAGTTTGAGAAAGGAAAAGAATACTACTTTATAAGTAAGTGCTAATGTTTCATAATAGTTCCAATTTTTTTTTTCTAAATTCTGATTAACTGCAATCTAATGACCTCATTCCATGCATATTTTTATGTGCATTTATTTTTAATGCTGCATTTTTATGTATTTATGAATTTCTTTAAAATTTTTTTTGTGTGTGTGTATAAGAGGTGTTTACACTGAACTCTACAGAAGCTGTGTAGCGTCCACTCATAGCTACTTGAAACTGTACTTTAATCAGTTGTTCACCTGCTAGTTCGTTTCTAATCTGCACGTAACTTGTATTCATTCCATTCACAAATTGCACGTGAAAGAGAAAGATTCGCCGAAATAACAACAACGCGACTATTACAAAGATGATATTGACCGAACAACCGAAATACTGCATACTTACAAGTTATTGTGCCTTCTAAATAGAAAGGAAAACTTGTCCTAACGAAACGACAGTGAAACTCCATAATAAAACATGTGCTTTTTCGTGGGAAAGAGCGCCCGCGATATTTTGCGTGCGGTCACCGAAGACCAAACCATATAACGTTTATTTTCTGTCTCTTACAAGCTGCTTCTTAATTTTACATGTATTGAGCTTTCTTGAATGTGGGCTACAAATTAAAAATATTTCTTTGAACATTTTTTTTGTAAGGGTTTTGTGGTTTCTGAGAAATGACTTGTCTAAGCTGCTTTTATTGCTGCTTGGATAACTCGTTTTTCCAGCAATTACATATATTTGATCAGAGAGAAGGAAAGTCAACATCGTCTAACTGTAATTATCAAAAAAAATGCTTGTTGTGTTTTAAACTTGTATTGTTGGGGGATCAAAAGAAAAGCAGAGAAGCTGCTACATAACTTATAGTTTGATGGTCTCAGAACTTTTCAAAAATTGACTTTAAAGTCTCAATAAAAAGGAGAAAACTAAAAGATATTTTTCAACTGTCAGGTACTGCATCAGGCTCACAAAGCTCATTGACAAACACACAGGGAGGACACTGTAATTCAGGAATGAAGATGAAAATATATGTCTGTGAAAGCAGCTCTGACCCAAGGTGTCCAAGTGGAAACAATGGTATGTCACATGTATCTGACTTCACATAATTATCCATCTTTTTCATGGCTGGCTTAGTGTATTTGCAGGCTGAGGCAAGGCAAAATAAATCCTGTGTTCCTATTTGCTTCCTAAATGAGCAAGATAAGTCTACCTTGCCCAATAGTGATTGCATACCTTAGATGACTTCCAGTGCCATCTTGGTCACAATTTGAAATCTCAATAATGTGTTTTCAGATCTACTGGTGCACAAAACTTTTAGTTATCTTCCTCTCTATCCATATCATGGCAAAGAACTCTGTGCTAAAAGAAGTCCCCTTTTGTATCTTTCAGTTGTTAATGGTGGATGGTCTGACTGGAGTGAATGTTCAAATGATCTTCAAAGACGAAAATGTAACAAACCTACCCCAGTGAGTGGGGGATTACTATGTGTTGGTGCTGAACAAAGATCATGTCAGAAGTCGATGTCTGGAGGTACAAGTAATAAAGGGTTTGACTGTAAGTATTTCCATCCTCAAGGCAGGCTGGTAGTTACCATTAAGGAGGAATGACTTACCCCCTTTTTTTCCCTTCTTTAATTTTCTTTTAGATCCCACTGTGGATGGTCAAACATCAACTACACAAGGTAAAGCAGTTTACAATTTTAAAATAACATGTGTCCTGTATATTTCTGTCCCATTCAAAGTTTGCTAGTTTGGGATGTTGAATGTTGTTCATACACATCTCTGCCATTGCATGGACTTGTATGTACAGTATTGTTTAAAAGTTCTGGATTTTTGGTGAATTTTGGTCCAAAATGAAATTTGCACAACATGTTGTCAAATTTTTGAGGCAGCTATTTTTGGATTTATCTGAAATTTCCCCCATGTAACAATCAGAGGGATCCTCTACCTTAACTCTATAACCTCTAAAAAAAGTTAGCACCTAACTCTTTTTCCAGTATACCTGGGAAATGTATAAGAAACAATGTGGAGAACATGTTTATTGGTGATAGGATGTTCAGGGTTAAAAAGCTCAGTGTATTCAAGACAGTCCGGCCCCTTTTCAAATAACACATCTTGGTACAAATAGCCAGTCAATTTAACCTATGTGTTGTCTTTTTCATAGATAATTCTGGTGATAAATTGCAGTTGAACATAGGACTGTTTGTCGGAATATGTTCTATCGTATTCATATTTGGGATCTTCATTGGTGGAATAATTGCTATTTTAGTATGTAGAGTTTCTAGACGCAAGTCAAAAACAAGTAAGTGAAATCTGTTTCTCTGAGTTCTAACTCCAAGTTAAACTTTTTAGTTGTATATATCCAAATGAATCATGAATGAGAAGATGTTCTCAATTCTTGGGACAAAAAGCTTTGCTTTTGCAGTACATCAAGAGTTATGAGGAAACAGTGGCAAACTCTTGGAGTAAGTGGAACAAACTCTGGGGTTTACTTTGAACTAAATTAAGTCAACATAATTTTTTATGATGAAATAATTTTAGATATTAGAGATAATGTGGTTTATGATATCTCTCAGCTAGTATGTACTCTCTAATAGTTTGCAATGAATTCATAACCCTCTAGCTGAACCTAGAGATATCGTTAATATCTTACTACCCTCATTTTCTTGGTTCGCACCGTAAAAGTTACAGAACCTTGTCAGATTTATGGTTCACACGTTTTGCATTTAATTGGGCAATAAATCCAACCAGAAAAAACTAGGTTTGTAACATACAGTACCAGTACAGACCAAGAAAACAAGGTTAGTAAGAGGTGTAAACTTTTCACTTTAATAAAAAATTTTGAGTAAAGCCTTTGGACTGAATTAAAACCAGAGGCAAAAGAAGCTTCTCTTAGATTTAAAAAACATATTTCAGTCTGGAGTATTCCCTCTGTAGTCATCCTTGTTGTGTTAAAGTCACATACTAGTCCATGGCTCATAATGTTTTTTTAAAAGTTTTTTATTTGTTTTGTTTACACAGACACCCATATTACAAGAGTTCCTAGCAAATTAACTGGTTTCTCTCGTCCAAATTAAACAGTTTCCACATTATCCACAGTTATTGAGAGTGCACAAATGGTGCAAACATAACTTTAGTGAGTTCTCAAACTCATTAATTATTCATAAGGTGATCATCCAACCATGACATGCCAATTTCATCACCTGCCTGTGGTTTGAAACCCTGGTGAAACACTGGAATGACGCACTATCCATGAGTTTCATATAATGTCAAACCCTTGAGTTTGATATAGCATCAAACTCTGAACTCATTTCTTGATTTGAATATCATTCAATACCAACAACATGAGAAAAATTTGTGAATACTTCTATTTTCTTTTATTGCTAAGGTGCAATTGAGAAGCTATTTCAAAAACTTGTGCATCGGGTTTCATTATGGTTTCCAAACACTCAAAAACAATGAAAGCATTATCAGTTTTCTTGTGTTTGGAAACCCTGATGAAACCCTCGCGCTTGTGTTTGAAATAGTATATCCTGGGTGGTCACTCTTGATATTTCCTCCATTCTGGAGCTTAGGGAGTGAATGGGTTAAAATATTAGTACTAATGTTTTGTCAGCTATTCAGTATCCTCTGTGAGAAGAGTTTAAAGCATTTGAGACTAAGCAAATTTACTTCTAGATAAAATATTTCAATATTATGAAGAGAGATTTAACAAGGGGCCTTCACACATCAGGCTCAGTTGTTTGGAGGGTGGATTATGCTATCAACTTATAAATAGCTTTCCTGCAGATAGAGGTTTAATCTGTGGATAGTGTTATACACCCTTTGAAAAACCAGGGCAAACACTTCAGTAAATGGTATGCTTGCCTGGTCATTTCTTAACAACTGGTTAACTGCATCTCTTACATTTCTAATTTAGGATTGCATTACATAGCGTCTGTTTGAACCTCATTGATGCAAATCAAAGAGAACTACAAGCCTTAAATACATTTTTTAAAAATTAAAAATTGGTGACATTTGACATTTCCCTGTCCTCCCTGAAAAAAAGAACATAATATGGGCAAAAATGCGATGGATTTTATAGTTCTAATGGTTGTTTCATCAGTAAATTCTATTGCCTAACCTATTTAGACTGTGGCATGTATGACATGTTAAGTGATTGTCATACAATTATTTTTTAGTGAAAGATTCACCAGACTCCTTGAAAAAATTGTCTGATTTGACTTGGTATTTCATCACAGCCAAGGGACTTGTGAGATGCCTATCAGAAAACTAAAAAATAAATTTGATTCTCCAATCAGTTACTTATAACTGTTTTGGAATATCCTTCTGTGATGGAAGGCTAAGACTGCTACCATCTTGAATTTGCAAAGGGGGTGTTGAGTCAAATGTTTGAGAGTTGAAAGTTATCTGTAGAGTCTCATGGCCAATATTTAATGCCACATTATACTCATCATGTTCAATTTTTTCACATTTAGTCGGTAGTTTATTGAGAATCCATTCTCTTAAAGTTTTAGAACGGAGGCTAATCTGCAAATGTGATGCAGGCCTTCTTGGGTGAACCAGAAATGGTCATCTCTTCTGAAAAATGTTATCAAGAAAGGCAAAATTAGTGGAAAAAAAGAAAAAATATCACAGTGTGTTGCATTTGCAGTATTAATCAGTCTGGAATATGTTGAAAATTGAAGTGGAAATACCAGATTTTGGTTTATCAATAAAAATAAATTACAAAGGTGGAAAAAAGCCATGTATATATATGTGAAACACCCAACAAATATTTGTTATTGGAGTATAATTTTGATAAACGCACAAACATTGGCAACTGTAATAATATATTTTGTACATGCCAAGTATCAAACAGTGCAAATGCATATGTTACAATGCAAAGTATTGTTAATAATCATTTCCTATATTTGATCCAAGGATGTGTTTCAGTTTTCCTGAATAACAAGCAGCTTTTCATGAAATTTCAAAAATAAAAAATAAATACAAACATCCATTATATGATTGTGTACTTGGTTTATGTCTCAGTAGTTTATTTTCAGTATTTCTTTAGCATCTGCAATAATTTGCATGATACTGCAAGGTTGATTTTCATTGTACACTTGAAGGAGTGTTATAAAGTGACTATTGCAATCGATGCAACATTTTACTTTTTGTGCTGTTTCACCAAAGAATCTTTAAGTAAATCAAAAATCAATGAGCACTCCTTGCAATGCCTCCCCATACATGACAACAAACAATGCACCATAACTACACTGAAAGAAAATAAACTGGACGGGAAAGTGATGGAATCGAAATCTTCTTGTCACCCAAGATATTGCACATGAACATTTTTGATGAGTTTTGTCAAATAAAGATATTACTTATAATAACATTCAAACCTGCATGTATGACTTGGCAGACAGTAAGAAAAACACATATAATGTTTATTAAAACCTTCAATTGGCTATCCGACAAGAGCATTTTTGCTCATAAGCAGTAAGTGCTTAAACCAATTAGAGGGTAAAAGTGCCATGTTATAAATGCCATGTTATGAACACTGCTCTACTTAATTGTGAGAGTAAATTAATTGGCGGATTCTTTAACACATGCTTCACAATTTCACTGGATCAGAGGTAAATAAAAAAAGGTGAGTCATCTAGTCAAAATTGTGAGCTGACTTACTACTATTATCAGTTCTTTAAATGTAAATGTCTCCAATTTATTGAATAACAGCTCTTGCAGTTCTGCAGCTATAGCAGACTGCCTCCTAAATGTCTATCACATGGTGTATCATTTAGCATGGGTTATTGTCAGCTATTCCTCTTCTTTTCCCCAATGTCCTACACCCTCTAAATCCTATATTTGGATTGTTTCCATAACTTTTTATGATCCAAACTCACACCAAATAACTATTCAGACCTGGTAAATTTATATCATAGGATTCTATGGCTCTACAAGACTCCCATGACTTATACCAAATCCAAATTACAAAAAATTATTTAATTTTCAAAAACTGCTTTTGAAATTTCCCCACTACGTTGGACTTCAAGGGCTGCTGTAAATTCCTGGAGTTGAAAAGTGCGCATTCCTAGTTTTTCAAAACTCAAATATCGTTCTCCCATGTCCTGTAATATTTGCATAGAAGAGTTGAATGTAAAAGGATTTATTCTGGAAGCTATAATTTTCAGTTCCTTAGCATACACCTCATGAGGATCAAGCTTTGCTTCCGATCCAGCAGGCGAAATGCCAAAGAGAAGAAACTTTCCGCCTTGACGCAACCATTGAACTCCTAGTTCCAAAGTCTTTGGATCCCCAGTGCAGTCAATAACAATATCAAACCCCCAATCTTCATCCCCATCCTGCTTTGCATTTCTAGCTTCAGAAATTAGAATCTCAGGATGAACTATTTGAAAACCAAAGTCCAGTCTCTGTGCAATCTTTTGACGTCCCTTCAAGAGCTCTGTAACAACGACTTCTCTAAACCCCCTAAAATGCAGCATACTCATGAACAATAATCCCATACTTCCAGCTCCACAAACTAAAATTTCAGCATCTGGATTGATTGGTTGTAAACGATTCCAGCCATGTACAACACAAGACATTGGTTCTAGTAACAAACCAAGTTCAAATGATAACTGATGAGGTAAGGGAATGGCATTCTTGGCTGGCAGGCGACAGTACTGTGCCCAACCCCCATTTCGCCTGATACCAATGGTAGCTTTTACTCCTTCAAATTTGCAGAAATGTGGTTGCCCTTTGGTACAATTGTCACACATTCCACAGCTAGTGTTTGGGTTGACAACAACACTGAGGGAAAAAAAAAAAAAAAAACAAAACAAAACAAAACCAGTTGGGATTTTATAATGATTAAAGATGCAGCCATTGTACTGGATGATTCTAAAAAGCTTACTTAATCCATATTAACCCTTTAATTCCCATGAGTGACCAAGACAGAATTTCTCCTTACAATATGAATACAACATTGAGAAGATAGGTGACAAGAATAAAGAAAAATATTGATTTGGGGATTTAGTCGATCCAATAACAAATTCTCCAAATTAACATAATAAAGTATGGGGAATCACTAGAAAGATCTGGGAAGTGAAAAGGTTAAGACAGATTTAACAAGCTGCTAATCATTGTTCTCCCCAAGAATAAAGTCTTAACTTAAAGGCTCTATGGCTCTGGTAAAAGAATCAAAAGGTGCATCAAGGCTCTTGCTTCAGGAATCTGCTCTTAAAAGCTTTTCTCCAAATTCCTCTTTAAGTTCCTGGATGACATATATTTTTGGTTACCTGTGGTACCTATGCTCTGGTTAAGCAAAACCCTGTCAAGGTTCTAAAGTTTTTATTATTAATAAAAGTTGTTATTTGGCAACTTAAAATCAATTAAAAGGGTCGCCTGAAGAAAAATGTTGGTTGCCAAGGAAAAGGGAAAGAAAATGGGTAGTGGGTGGTTGACTCAATGTCTGAACTTTTGCTGTTTCTTTAAATCAGAAGTCATGTCAGTAACGCAACATGTGACACTACATGTGAGATCTAACACGAAAAATACCTTAAATTTGGTATTTCTTTGTGGCACTTCCTCACGGTAGACATTTTTAAAACAGTTCATTATCAGATAATGGAATGATTTAATTTTTTTTTTTTTAATGAAACCTTCCAGCATTGTATTCATACTGCTAATAAACGACAAATGCAAGTAAGCGCAAGTATTCCTGAACAAATAAGTAATAAACTGCAAGGGAATGGTAACGGAATTGTAAAAAAACCTCTTGGAAAATGAATTAGCCATCAGTGCAATAATACCGAACAAGCACAGTGGAAAACTTGTGATAATAAGAAATGTAAGCTTGTATTTCTAGACTTAATTGATCAGAGATGTCCGATCTAAAGGATAACTTATTCGGCGGTAATCAAAAGGAATATCACAAAGGAAATCAAAGCTTATGTATTAGTTTCTCGTGGAGTTGGCAGGGTGTTTTGAGATCAGGAAAAAGGGTAAAACAGTTCTTTTTATCTTTTCCATCGTGAAGATAACCTCGACAATCCACAACAAGCTTGAGATAATTAAAGCGTCGCTTCACCGAATATTAATGCGTAATTTAGAGCTTAATACAATGCAAGAATAACAACTTTACAAAGCTATCAGTACAAGTACAAGTGCATGCAACTACCAATAAATACGAGGAAACGCTTACCGATCGCCAACAGATACGTGCTTCACCTCGCTCCCTGCTTCCTTTACAATCCCGACAAATTCGTGACCTAAAATAACTGACTTCTCACATGAAAACTTTCCTTCGAGAATCTTAAGATCAGTCCCGCATACCGCCGAATAAGTTATTTTTATCACTACTTGCAGCGGGTTTTGAACGTGAGGTACAGGCCTGGTAATCACAGACAAATGTCCATCCCATAACTGTACTGCGTTATTCATGATTTTTCTGGTGAAGGAACGAAAGAAAATCGGCACTGAACAAACCCTAGGCAAATATCATGCTACGAACTTCCCTCCTAAAACGACTCGGTTCACTTGAGGACACTGGGGCGAGCTCAATCAATAATTTATTTAGTAGGGTGGGGAGGGGTGATTATGTCGATAATTTAATCCAGAAAAACTGGTCTCAAAGAGGTGTTTCTATATGTGTAAATGTAACAGGAACTGATTGCCTTCTTCAAAAGAGAATTGAAAATCTATATTTCTGTTGTATTAAGTGCTTTTTCCACGGATCAAAGGAAACCCAGGTGGTGGGGAAGATGGGTAATTTCTGAGATCTGGTAAAAGGGAGAATGCAGAACATAAAGTGATCTTCATACGGCCGTTCATTCCTTTTTTTTTTTCTTTTTTTTCTTTTCATTTTTTTAGGGTAGAAAATGTAGAGATGAATCAAGAGCTAACAATATCCACGCCTCTTTCACCCCTATACCATTCCATAGCCACATGTCACACCTTTGCTAGGAAAAGATAGAATTACAACTGCAAAGGTTACAAGTAAAAGCAGGGTTTTCATCAAAAATTGTAGTAGCAATTGGTTAGGGAATACTCTTCCATTCTTGACTGAAAAAGGCCCAAGCAATTAAACTTAAGTCAAACAATACTGAACCAAGAGGATCCTGGAGAATTCTCTGGTGTCTATCACAAACACCCTTGCAAAGAGGCTTCCCAAACCAAATTTGTAATTGATAAAGTACTAAAAAGGATGATTTACCACACTTTTTTTATTTTTCATAAAATAATACATCCTGCAAAAGTTTTTGCACCAATAAAACAATTCTTTTTAATTTCTTAAATACAACTAAAACTTAACATTTTGAAAAAAAATATCAAAATATCTATTATTTATTAAATGCTATTCACATTTCATAAACAGCTTTTGAAATTTCTGCTTTTGACAGAGCATCTAAAGCTGACTGGTAACTTGGCAAATCAAAAACAGTGATTCCCAACTTGTCATAATTCAAATATTTTTCTGCCATATCTTTTACAAGCTGGATTGCTTTGGGGAAAGTATACGGATTGATGTGTGACCCAATAATTTGTAATTCCTTGGTGTAAACTGTGTGAGGATCAATTTTTATTGAAGAGCCTTTTGGGCAACATCCAAAGACAAGAATCTTTCCCCCACAGCGCAACCATTTAATAGCTTCTTCAATGGCTGTGGGCACTCCACTGCAGTCAATTACAGCATCAAAACCCCATTCGCCATCACTTGACAAATTTGCTTCCTTTGCATTGTGAACCAAAACATCAGGATGTACAACTTGGTATCCCATGTTCAGTCCACTAGCAAGGCCTCTTCGCCTTTCTGAAACTTCACTGATAGTAACTTTTCTATAGCCATGAAAGTGAAGCAAAGAGGCCCATAAGAGTCCAATGATTCCTGAACCACAGATCAGAATATCAGATGTTGTTGCTAATGGCATCAGAAGATCAAAACCGTGAGCAATACAAGAAAAGGGCTCAACCAAGGCGGCTTGACGAAGAGTAATCTGTGGTGGAATGGTAAAAACAGTTTCCACTGGAACACGGCAGTACTGTGACCACCCTCCATTACGCCAAATACCAACGGTTGAACGGATACCACCACTTTTACAGAAATGGGGTTGAGCTTTCTGGCAAATTGAACATCTACCACAATTGGTGTTTGGATTAATGACAACTCTGAAATAAAGTTAGCTTTGTCATTAAAAATGTTGTTTATTGCTCCCAGAACTACTTTGCACACTCCCTTGATGCCTATCTCAATCATTTACACCTTAACATCAGTATGCTTATTCTCTATACATTCTCTTCTGTGCTGAAGGAGAATTTCTTTTAACAATCAAGTGCTTCTAGTGATCATTTCCTCTATTCTCTCGACCTAAAGTATGATTCTGGGGTTATATTCTAGAGAGATATTAGTCATTCTCATGGGTCAATGAATTAAATATAAAAACAGAACACTTTATTTTTAGATCTGAACCACCATATTGTGAATGTTGCCCTAGGAATCCTGGGATTGTGTTCCCAACCTTGTGACAATCATAAGGATAAGCTCTTCACAGTCTACAATTGTAAGAAACATATGACTCAATCATGCAAGTTCACCTTTTAACCCCCTGAAGTGATAAACATGTAACGTCTCCCTATATAAATATATATATATATCATATATATATAAATGAATGTGGGGGTATAGAGTCTACCTTGACATAAAGTGCTCAATGCTGTGGTAGCAGAGCTAAGTATACATAAGTCAAAGAATTAAAGAGGACACATGGATTCTCTGTGACTCTGAGTTCCATGCTTAAGCACTTGTCAGACAGAACTTTATTCAATGAAGAACATACCTCCTTATGTACAAATTAGATGAGTAGCTAATTAATTCACTAGTGTGATAATCTAATCTATGTGTGAAATAAAGATTCTATAGAGCTATTGTTGGCAGCTTGTGAAATTTGCTAAGTAAAACTTATTCTTGTGGCAGCATTTAGAAATGAGTTCTGTGCCACTTGTGCCTCACAGAGAAACTTTATTTAGTTAGAACTAAAAAGCCGTCTTTATTAAACAAAAGAACAGAACTCATTTCTAAATGCCACCACGAGAATAAGTTTTACTAAGCAAATTTCACAAGCCGCCAATAATAGCTCTATAGAATCTTTATTTCACACATAGATAAGATCATCACACTAGTGAATTAATTAGCTACTTATCTAATTTGTATATAGGGAGGTATGTTCTTCATTGAATAAAGTTCTGTCTGACGAGTGCTTAGGTGCAAAACTCAGAGTCACAGAGAATCGATGCACCCTCTTTAATTCTTTAACTTATGTATGTATATATATATATTATTGATATATTATCCAGCAAACAGGTAATGAGAATACTCAAACTTATTAGGTAGTTGTTATCCTGATCCAACACCAAATTCTCATAACTAAAATTTACAATAAAATTTGTTGCTGCTAGAGGGGAGAATTAAAAATCAGATCTTGGGAGCTTAAGGGTTGAATGCACGGCCACATGTGTCTAGATGAAAACCATACTGAATACCCTGTGTAGAATGTATTAAATTACTTTAACAGGAACAAACATGAGTTGAATATTATTATCTGGAAACAATATTTTTCAGTCAAGTGAAGAATACATTGAGCAAAAATTTGAGAAAAGGAATTGTAATGTGTACATGCTAGTCAAAAATTAAATAAAATAGACGAAATGATAAAACATTCGGGAAAAAAAAACTTGAATTAATTAGCAAGCAGCTGTTTCACTAATTTGGCACACTAAAGCATTAGAGTAGAAATGTTTTAAACGACCCTGAAACGAAATCGAGAAAACCCCTTGGGGCCAAGCACACTAGGTAAATTATTCATGGCAAGGAATTGATCTAGTCGCCTCAATAATTCAATTTTCAAACAACAGCAGTTTTTTTCAAATATATCTATCGCGATCTACGATCAAGCTTGAAACTGAATGTCGAGTTTCTTGGTCTTCTCGTAATTAATCATAAATAAATTTACCTTGAAAAAATAAAATAAACATCATCGATAAAGTTGAAATGATCAAAGACACAATTTAAATATTTGGCATAAGATACTCAACAAAAATTGAAAATACTACCGGTCTCCGACAGAAATTCCCTTTACAGCACTCCCAATTTCGCTCACAACTCCAGCGAATTCATGTCCCAAGATGACACATTTCGAAGATGGAAACTCCCCAGCGAGAATATGAAGATCAGTGCCACAAATTCCCGAGAAAGCAACCTTTACGAGGACCTCATTTGGCGTTGCAACATGAGGGATAGGAGTAGTTATGAGAGACAGTTGTCCGTCCCAAAGCTGTACAGCAGTGTTCATATCTAAAGGAAAAACTGTGACTGAGTGAAACGATAAAAAGCGAGAAGGCTTGGTAGCTATTGCAATTTATACTTTTAGTCACACAATCTTCACTTTTCAATAAAATTGGCCGCACACGTCACGCAATAGCGTAACCTTGACGTGTGATCGATAATTATGTTGAAATTTATCGCTATTTAAAATAGCATTGTAGCTAATGGAGGCGGAAGGGAAAGGACCATAAGATTCTGTGGAGGATGATTGAGATTTTACAATGATTAGGAAGTTAAAATTAACAAAACAAGAAGAAAAGAAAAAAACCTATCGTAACTTGAAATGTTACTCCCCGTGCTAATCCCTTGGTTTTGGCGTCCAGATTAAATAATTCTGAGTGTCTTGTTTGCCTTCTTTCTTGGGGCAGAATAGCAACATAAGTTCTACACTTTCCTGGTCTGAGGGAGTGAGAACTTTACTATAGCGATGCCACTCGTCCAGGGGCGTTGACTGTAAAAACCACACGATCTTCATATCCACTAACGAAAGTATAAATAAAGTTAACTTTTTACACCAAGATTCCAAGGAGTAATCCTTAAAATGCACTTAAAACCGACTAGAGTCGCTGCCATTTTAAAAACAATTCAATAACATGGCTAAAATTTGCACGACTTCTGAAAATCGGTTCTCAAACAGCTGCAGTTCCAGAAATCGCATATTTGTCCAGACAAATCGCCATACGTCACAGGTGAGCCGACCAGGCTGCTAAGCAAGATCAAAGTATGGCGGCGTCTATAGTTGAATTTTTACCTCCTTTGACATTTTATGGAATCTCAAAATGTCGTAGCTTAAAGCATTATCTTTTTATAATGGAGGAAACAGTAATATGTTTCCTGTAGTATTATGTAGTAATACGTTTCCCGTACAAGTCAAATTTCTTATCACATGAGACTCCTTAAATTAAGCACAAAGGTTACGAAATTATTATGAGCAAGGCACATCCGGGTGAGGGAAGGGATAGAGGGACTGTAGCACCCAAATTTAAGCTACGATGAAATAAAATTGCCTTAAGCATGAAATACACCCTCAAACAACAGACAGCAGCCTTTTGAACCCTGCAATTGCATTTTGTTTCAGCCTCTTTGAAAAAACCCACCTATTTTAAATTTTGACCTCAGCGGTTGTGGGCCTTGCCAAACTCCTTGGCAGCTGCTCCTTGTGAAGTTATACGAAAAGAGACGGGAGGAGAGGGAGTCGTTGGGTGACACCCTCAGAGAACGGCTGCAGAGGAGAGTAATGTGAGGGCTCCTGGTAATGTAAACTCCGTGCGAAGTCTACAGTGAGCTAGTGTTGGCTTTTATCAATATTACTATTATTATCATTCTTATTTATTTATTCATAGTTACTTTTTTGTCAAAAGCTTTTTTATTTGACCTCTTTCATTCAGACTACAGACTCGATTAAGTGAGATCTCAACCTCGTGAGCGGCTGAATGAATTGAAGACCACTCAACTTGGCCGAGATCTTCGTTTCGAAGCAAGACCACCCGAAAAAAATCAGTTTCTAGTCCGCTCGTCATTCCTTCGAGACGTAAAAAGAACAAGTAGAGGTTTTCTTATAATTTTCTCTATTAAGGTATAGTATCATTTCAATGCTCATCATTGCACATCCTAGCCTCACAATTTATTTTGTAATAGTTTCGTCCTCACATTGTTTAATAAGTTTTTCGATGTCCTCAGTAATTTCTTTCGGTTCAACTGTGGGTGTGTATCTACGATATGGCTGCCCCTTGTGGTCAATAAGAATCTTCTCAAAGTTCCATGTTATATCATCGTTTCTAACTGGTGACCAACTTATTTTATCAGCATCGTCAATAAAGTTATCCGGTGCAGGACATCGGCTCTGTAAAACAAAAAATTTGGACAGAACTATCAATTTAGTTCTCAAGCTTCGTAATTTATATAGTCACTTAATCATATTCCTATTTTTTTTCTTCTTATTTCTCTGAGGTACCATTTGATTGAAGAATACAGTAAATGTTTCAAGGTCTTTACTTTATCTTCTTGGATATGGATTTCTACTTTAAAGATTTAAATCAATTGGACACCTGCTTTACTGTCTACCAGCTTTTTTTTTAATGACACGTATGATTGCCGACGGAATCGGACTCCGCTTGGTCCCCTTGGTATTTATTATCTGTTTGATGTGATTGAGGAAATTGGTCTTTTATTCTTGTGATCTTAACGCTTTTTTAAATTCCCATCCTCGTGGATTTCTCAAAATATGAAAGAATTCTGTTTTTTCTTTTTCAACAAACGTGATATGACTTGCCAACTAAATAATAAACAAAACAAGCTTAACAGAAGCCTATCCTCTGGTTGTTGCTGATTCAATTTTCATTTTCTCAGCCAAAGAACAAGTAGTTCACGAGACATCTCTCCATTGCTATCAATGCCAAAATCATTGCAACTTCAATTCTCTCGCAGTGACTACTTGATAAAGTGGGCGTTTAGCGAGAACTGATATTGTTTATTGGAAAATATATATATTTTTAACTTGTTCCCATTAGTATCTTGGTGGCATGGGAAATTTGAGCATGTTTTTCAACTGAAGATGACTAAATTAAAGTATATTGTCCACCTATTTCGAAGCGAAGACAACAAACATACTAAAAAACACAGCAAAGCGAAAAAAGCTGTTCTTAACTATGCCTACTGCCTTCAAATCGTTTTCTAAGATTAAAGCTATTTCAAATTGAATTCAGTTTTGAAGACAGCTCGTCTTGTTTTGTCTCATGAATCGCTTAAATTTCGTCTTAACAGATGTGATCGTAATAAAGTATGATGGTTTGTGCGGCCCTTTTAAACAGTTCAGTCACATATACAGTCTCAGATTATTGAAATTTGTAGAAAAAAGATCAGACTAGAAAATTTCAACCGAAATAGCTCTCTCACACAATGTTTTTTCTTGTGTTTCGCAGACTATTGTTATATTTTAAAAACGTGCATTCAGTTAAAATAGACTAAGGATCGCCGCTAAATGCCAATCACTGTATGAAATTATTTTCAAGCAGTGTTCGAATAGCTTAACAAAAAAAAATTTAAATTATTTTATATTCACTTTGAAGGAGGTAATGTGAGCCGACATTAAAAACGCACGCAAATTTGAGATTCTCCTGCTTTGAAAAACCCCTTCAGAGACTGATGGAAAATAACGGGTACATCTACTTTGTAGATGGGGCAGCTACTGAACACAGTTTGATTACATTTTTTAAGAACGAAAGGAAAGAGATAATGGAATTTTCCTTTCCCGTACTGCACTAATCTTTGTGAAGAACTTTTACAAGGTTTCAGTTGAACTCTGATCAGATCATCCCAGCCATTCCTCTCATTTCAAGTAAATTAATAATTAATAACTGCTCGATATAGTTCGTCGAATCCTTCTAAAAATAATCATAAACTAGCTAGGCTCTGACTTACCTTGAGAAACGTGAATATTTTGTTTTCTTTTTTCCCATTCACTTCAATTTTCTGCATCATTTTTAGATTACGATCTAACTCGAAACCATGGCCTGGACGAACATATTTCAGGCCATTTAAAATTTCATATGCGTTCTCCCCCGGCTCTTGAAGACCAAATTGATTACAGGGGAAAGCAAGAACCCTGAATCCACAATTACCGTTCTCTTCCGATCTATAAGTTTGTAGTAATTCATTCAATTGCTTGTACTGCATCGTTAAACCTCAGAAGGTTGCGACGTTCATAACCAAAGTGACGTGATTTTTGTAGTCCGTGTCAGGAACTTTCAAACCATAAATATCTTTGATGGAGAAGTCGTAAAATGAACCTTCTCCTTCCTTACATTTGCTGAACGATTTGTTTCTCTCTGTACTTAAACCTCCTTGTAAGTACACCGCAAGAAGGAAGAAGACCTTAGCGGCGGTCATTTTTACGCGCGAGGCGCTTTTAAGGCAATGGTGCCTTGGCGTCTCCGATCACAGTTTGCTCAGGTGGTGAAAAAACAGCTGTAGTGTTAGCCAATCACAGAACATGAAACCTGCCTGTATTCACTTGTGGTTTTTTCATAGGGTAGTATGCATTGTTCATTTGATCCATTATTGAGAAACAGCAAATTTGCCCTTGTCTACCGATAAACTTGTTAATTGCGCTAATTTCTCAAAGTACAATTTCAGAGTTCAGTTTTTAAGTCCAACAAAAGTGTTGAAAATTTTCTACTTCTTAATTTAATTGACAATTCTGCTCGCTCTCCGTGACCAAAACATGTCAGCTGTAAGAATACAAATGCAATTATGAAAACAACGTAAATAAACGTTTAACAGGGTTTTGCTTTCGGAGCTAAAATTCATGACGCTGTTTTTATGTTAACCTTTCACCAAAGAGAACTTCGTTTCGAATTTTTGCTAGTTGTTAAATTCAGCAAGTTCAACATAACCTGTCGACAAGAGAGGATGAGGCGCTGTCGAATATAAACCCCACTTAAAAATCTACTGGCGCATTAAATCAATTGGTGCAATCTGATTGGCCATGCTACACGTTATCTATATTCTGCCATAGATATTGAGTAAAGAGAGAAACATTAAATTAAAGGCTTGCGGTTGAACTGAAATAAAAATCATAACACGATTCTGTCCTGTCGTTAAGATTTATTGTATTGATCGAAATAATTCAGAGGAAAATACTTGTACGGCGTCCCAACAGATGGAGAGGGCTGACAGTTCTTTCAGGAAGTTCTCTGACAGCCTGAGTTGCAAGAGGTTTTGTGTGAAATTGATAGTAAAAAATAAATCAATCAATAAAATCTGCGCAGTAGTGAGTGGTTGCCCGATTTTCTCTTTTCCTTCGCGTAGGGATACGATGGAGAAGGAAATACTACTAAGAGACTAAGGAGAGATATTCCAATTTACGTGAGCTCACTGCAGAGCAGGCATAATTTGGCGAGCGAGTGGTTTCTTGGCGAGGGTCATAGCTGGCATCTTTGATTTTTATATCAGCAGAAGGCTGGGGAGAGAGGAAAAATTTTCAACCTAAGAGATGAACGACGGAAGAAGGAAGAAGAGTGGGAAGGGAGAGGAGAGGCCCCATTGTCCACTCAAACATGGCCGATCGCCTAAACAACGGCGAGCTAGAAATGTTAACTCGCCTCAATAAGACGCCTGGGAAACAGTTGTTACGGCTTGTCACTGCAACCAATCCCTCTTGTTTACAGGGGGTAAGTTTCTAAAGAAACTGTGGTGCTGCGTCGGTGGGAGAGTATAACAGGGCAATTTAGAATTATCCAACTGAGTTGATAACGTAAACTGGCCACCGTTAAGAGTTTCAAAACTGACTATTCGAGCGTTAGCCCCTCATCAGGGCGATTCGCACTCGAAACGTCAGCTTTGAAACTCGTTACGTTGACCAATTTACGTTATCAACTCTTGATAATACTAAACAACCCTCTTGTTTACAATCTGGCACACACACGCCAACAGACACAAAATGTTATAAATTTATCGATTTAATGTCATCACAGTTCCACATTTAGAAATTGTACCATTTGAAGCAGAATTATTTGCAGTGAATAGCAGGGTCCTACCGCAATGATATGTTTGATTAAGACAAGATGTCAGTCCAGTTGAAACGCAGGTAAACTACAGCTACAAAAATAAAAAATATTTCCTACAAATCATCAGTATTTGACGTAAAATTGATTTTAAGAAAAAAAGATATCACTTTCCTACAAATGATCAAATAAAACGCTAAAAAAAATTAAATGCTCTACTTGCAATAAAATATCTTTCTAAAGTATCACTACATACATCGTTGAAATTTATCCGGGATTAACATATATCTAATCTAAGTCCTGACCATGTTTCATTCTGATTTTTTTTTTTTTGGGTTCTCTTGGTTTCTATCACGGCCCGTTCTCCATCGTGGCTGTCTTATAGGATGTCACGTAACGCGGGAAGCGTAATGTAACATTCCTAAAACCGGCTACGATGGAGACTTATCACATCTATGACTATTCTTGTTTCTTCGTCTTTCTGCATCTGTTCTGCTTTGTACGCTCCTGAACTTTCTTTAACAAGTGTTCGCTTGCATGACGCACATAGCTTGATTCGTCCAGTAGATAATTACCATCTTCCGTCAAGGTCCCTGCTATGACAACTGTTTTACCCAATCCAAGCTCTTTGCAGAAGCAACTGATGGGAGAGAATACATAAATTAGAAGAAAAACCAAAACAAAGCAAAACAATAAAACGAAACAAAACATAAAAAAACACAACAAAACAGGCTCTTCAGTAAGTCTATTTTCCATAATGGCTGACGCAATGCCACTACACGATCGTTGCGTGCTTCCAGTATTTCATTTGCCGCCTTTATCTGGGAATGGCACTTGACGCTCCTCTCTACCGAAATTTCTATTCAAATAACTTGACAAGAGGAACAATATCATAATAAGTGTGCAAAGGGAAATAAAAAAATCATTGAGTGTAAAGTTTATCAATCAGAACAGATTCCCCACTTGTCTTAGCTCAAGTGTGAAATAAGCACCCCCGAGCGCTCTTTCAATTCGTATAACTCTTCAAGATCTTTTGTAGCAATCTAACTTTCCGATGAGGTTTTTCTGCGCGGAGTTTCTTCCCAGAATTACCTGTTTAAGTCCTCAGCGAAGGCGATCTTGACAAGTTTATTCTGTGACGAATCAGAGCCCTTGAACACCCCAGTCACTCGCACCATCAAGGAAGACCCATCAGAGTCTTGTCCATTTTCTATCTTCTCAAACGTGCCCTTGATCACTGTGAAAGAACGTGTTAGGTTACATTTCATAGATCACACGTAAATTCATTACAAGCAACATCAGAAGTTAGTCTTGATTTCCGCTTGAAAAGGAAATAGACAGCTCAAATTCAAAGGAAAATTACAAATTCTCTTCACTTAAGATACCGCCAACTTAAGACATCAACCTTTTCAAACAAATTTTTGGATCAGTCCAAGAGCTTAAAATGCCCCTTGGCCCCAAACTGGGGTAACGAAAAAAGAGAATGTAATTTTTATGATAAACACACCCTCACTTTGCAATATTGAAAATATTAAAAACAGTATCGGACCAGCCTTTGTGAAAGATCATCTGTGTTGACTTACCAAAGTCGCTTTCACAAAAGTGTGCAAAGAGGCTTGAACGCGCAGGGCAAGTCTGGCATTTCCTCCTTCTGGATGCTATGGGAAAAAGAACAATGGTTAGGGAGGATTAAATTTATTGTGAAATAAAACTAACAAGGAAGTTTATGAACGCTACGTAGAAACTGGCAGAGCTTTATTCGTCTCTGCGTTCTTGTCGGTCGTGGGTTCGGTAAGAGCCAGGAGGTTGTTATATAGAAAATAAACCAGTCAGTTATACAAAGTAAACCAGTCAGTTATACAAAAAATAAACCAGTCAGCCAGAGAGGCAGGAAAGCAGGTGGTCATTCGGATAAACAGTCAATTGGACCGTCGATCAACTCTACCAGTCAGTCAATACATTTATCCTTGTTGTAGGAGTCTGTTAACTTACAGCATTTTGCAGGGCCACCAACAACAGTGATCATGGTGCGAGTAAGACAGGCCTGTGACTTTAACACACATTCATTGGAGTAGTTCTTCCCGTCTGATCCACAAACAGGATCATAAATGAAAGGGCAGGCCGTGTTACATTCACACACTGCATCACCATTGTCATCCATTCGACAAACTCCATGGAAGTCGCAATTCATCAGCTGGCACGGATCGTCAGAATTTGGTTTTTCAACTGTTAATGAACAATAAAACAAACAAGTAAATAGATCACTGAATCAATCAGTCAAGATATCAATCAGGAATCTTTTCTTTCAATCTACAGAACGATTTATCAATGCGTCAGTCAGACAGTCAGTCAATCAGGCAAACTGTCCGTGTTAGTGATGTCAAACAACTCAATCCCACTGAAAGAAATTTCCAACAACTACGTGGCAAATTGGATTGGTTGAGAGAAACGCTCTGTGGACAACGGTAAAGCACTAAATGTTTTTAAGTCTAAAATAAAGACGAATTCGACGCATTCGCGGATATAAGCACTGCTGACAATAAAAGGATGACTAGTGCAGTAAATAGGAGAGACCACTGCTCCATGCTGTTAGTTCAGTGAAATGGCATAAAACTGTACTCGCAAGGTTTTAAGAATATAAAAACTGAAATGCCAACCTTTGCATTTTTTCTCACAGTCATCAATGGTGGCAAAGCGGTTATCATTCCCTTTACAGCCTCCATATATAAATTCTTCGCACGCTTTTGATGTGGTATTGAAGAAGTAACTCGGCATGTAGGCCTCACATGGCCCTGGCTCAGCGGTAAGATCACATGCTGCACAAGAAAGAGAGTCCATCAATGACACTGACGTATCAAAGAGAGCAGATAAACATTCTCGTTTGTCTAGCAACTCTCAGCCTGGAAATCCCATCTCCACAACCATTTGATATTAACACCTAATTCTCCTGACGAGCTAGCCAAGATATATATTGTAACCAGTTGCAAGAGTTAGCTTCGAGATCTTGAGGGTGACAGGTTGTTGTTGTTTTTTTTACGTTTCACTAGGGCTAATCCTTCCATCACAGTAGCATACTATCATAAAACTGCGATATTAGAAGGGGGCTGTTCAATAGTAGTTTTCACCACAATTGACAGTAATGTCACAATCTTGACTCATTTTGTTGCAGACTCACTAAACTGCGCCTCGTGAGTCCACAATACTTTGACCACTGTGATGACAAATATCATTATCAGCAAGAGTATAGACCACGCTAAACCACTGTCGATTTGTTACAACTACCCAACAAATGAATTATAATTCATGCCATTACCAACCTTTACATTCCCCGGGATGCAAAATGTCCAAGTCTTTGCCACTTTCACACTCGGAAACCTCTAGGACACACTTGTTGGAGTAAGTAACGCCATCAGAGGCACAGTAAGGGTCGTACTCTCGGGTGCACACTTTATTGCACTCACAGAAAGGTTTGTTGCCTTTAACTACACATCTTTGACGCTTGTGTTTGCAGACGAACCCATTACAAGGATTTGGACTTAAGCCTATTGCAGAAGGGAATAACAACAATACATAATCATCCGGTTTTTTAGTTAAAATTTATCCCTGGTCTTGAAAATTATCTGTGTGAAATTTTCATTCCACAACAAGGGCCCGTACAACGAAGAAACGAAAGTGTGCTGATAAAACAATTCTTGAATGATGGGGGACGCCGGCGTGTATACAATGTAACGCTAAGATTGTCCGATTGTATTGTAATCGTCTCCTCACGATGTTCTCCCTACAATCAGACAACTTCCGAGGTAGCGGATTATCATTCTTATTGCACTGGGCGCCCCTATCCAATTTCTCGCCGGTCTGAATTATCAATCGCGAAATGACATTCAATCACACCGCTTCGAGACAGCCAAAAAGGCGCACAGCACTGTAGATAGGCAAGTTCGCTAAAGAAAAACAAGGTGTCAGCGCTTCTTCTACAAACTTACATTCTCCCAGATGTTTGACACCCAGTTTAAAATGCCTTGTCATGCAAGCTGTGGCCTCCAGCCCACACATGTTGCTGTAGGTCTTGCCGTCTGTTCCACACACCGGGCGGTAGTCTGCCGTACAGATGGAAGGACACTTACACACAGCTGCTCCGTCCTCTACTTCACATCTTGTGCGCGGGAATGGACACTTGTAATTCTTGCACGGATCTGCATTGTGAAGAGAAAAAATTATTTAACAGCTTACCTTGCGATGTGAGGCTTAGAGGCTCAGATGTCAGCGAGAAGTCTGGGTCCGAACCATGGCCTGTATATTGTCTTACAATGCCGGAGTAGACAATGACTCCAACAGCGACACTCTCCACTAAGGAATGTAAATCATTTAAATGAATACAAACAAGTATCACTTACTGATACACTTGTTCTCGCAGGCCTCAATAGTCGGGAAATTGTTTCCGTTTCCTTGGCACCCTCCATAAACGAACCTCTGGCATTGCTTGGTGGTTGAATTGAAGAAGAAGCGTGGAAAGTAACCAAAACAGGGTCCACCAGCCAGAGGAAGATCACACACTGGGAAAGAAAAACGGAATGAAAAATTACTCCATAAAATATCCACATTCGTGGAGCTTGGGGGAAAGAAATGGCGCTTTACCGAGAGCACTTGCTTCCCACCGCTGTGGCTCAAATTACATTCCCAAACTGTCTTCAGTCCTCCGGTTTTCTTTAATTGGTTATTTTTTTTGACATTGGCGTGTGTTTGTCAATGGATGTCTATCTAACTAACATACCACTCTAGAGACTCTCTAGATATACAAGAAATTTAACTAAAGTGCCACTCTCGCAAAACTTGACAACTAGCTTGCGACGTTACGTTGCAAAGGAAAAAATCTCAAGTTTCGTCGTAGCCCAGGGATTGATATCAATTCAGATGATCATCGTTAATGTACTACACTTTAAATCTTACCACACGGTCCAACATGTTTGAGAGTCAAGGAGCCGATGTTCTCTGGTTTACAAGCTTCAACTTCTAACTGACATTTGTTAGTGTAATTGCGGCCATCTGAGCCACAGACAGGCGCGAAATCTGCCGTGCACACTTCTGGACAGCGGCATTCTGTTTCTCCTTGCTCAGTCACTGAACAGGCACTTTGTGGAAACTTACATTTCTTACAAGAATCTTTCGGTATAGGCTTTTTTCCAAAATCAGGTGATGTGATTTCTGTGCATGAGAAATATTTCATTCAGTACGTCATGTTATAAGCTTTGACTGGATTCAGAAAAATAGCAATAGTAACCCTTTACACCCTAGCATTGGTATGCAATTTGTCCAGACTGTTCTCTATACATTTCCGAAAAGAATTTTTTTTAACAATCAAGAGCTTCCTTGGATGTTGATCATTTACTCTATTCTCGTCACCTTAATGTGTGATTTGGGGTGATATTATGAGGAGAAATTAGATGCTTGTCACCTTAACAGGTCAAAGAGTTAAGGTATCGACTCGGTTTACATATCAAACTTACGTTGTTTGATCAAACGCAGTGGACCTTGATTAGGTTTTGTTAAAGGCTTCACACAGAGCTTTCTACAGCCATCGTGACAGCATTTTTCATTATCCTTACAGCTGGCATCATCAAAGCAAGAATCTTCTGGTTCACTTGAACAAATCTGTGGGTCCACAATGGGGCAAAAACCTGGATTAGCTGTAAGGACAAAATAATATAAGAATAATTTTTAATGACAAAGTTTGAGGTTCGTATTGTACAACTAAGTATTTTCTCGCGAAAGATGATATTATTCAGTGAATAACAGAGGCATACTCGGAAAAAAAGAACTCCGAGAGCTAAATATAGGAGTCGAACCTACGAACTCTCCGATTAGTACTTCGAATGCTCTACCACTGAGCTATAGTGAAACCCGTTGTAAGCTAGGCCGTTTAACCCTTTACACCCTAATATCAGTATACAATTTCTCCATACTGTTCTCTCTACATTTCCTATGGTACTGACGAAGAGAATTTGTTTAACAATTAAGAGCATCTTTAGTTGGTGATATCATTTCCATTACTCTCATGACCTCCATGTTTGTTTTATGGGTGATACTGATTGGGGAAAATGGTTAATAGTCTTTTTTAGGGGTTAAAGGGTTAAATAGATTGGTATTTTCCCCTTTGTGGGTTGAGATCAGGTATATACTGTTGCTAGGTCCGTATAGCACGCCGCCCCCGCCTCCGATCTACGGCCCATGCGCTACACTCATTCAAAAACTTACAATACTGAAATCAAACTCGGTTAGCAAGGAGTCTTGAAGACAAAAATTCTGCAGAAAATTCCTTACTGTTGCATCTTCCAGGAGCCTTGATCTTGATCATCATTCCTTGTTTACAGGCTTCAGCCTTCATCTGGCACTCACTGCCATAAGTCTGGCCATCTGTACCACACACAGGGCTGTAGATTGATGTGCAGATTTCTGGGCAAGCGCACTGCCGTTCTCCTAATTTGGTAATGCTACAAATAGCATAGGGATCAGGGCAAGGGTTCAGCTCACACGTATCCAAGGCTGAAAATTGTAAACATAAGATGGATAACCTTCTACAGGACATTTAAAGTAAAGGATATCTGTACCTACTTAAACAGTGAATAGCGTTGAAGACGCGCTCTGATTGGCTAATCAAACTCCAAGTATCCTTGGCTATGCACTTTCGAGCAACGCGCGCGGGATTTGCAGCCGAAATATTGTAATAATTATAGGAAAAAGCGAGTTAAAATCATCCTTTTGCGCTATATTATCTCACTGCTTTGCCTCAGAGTCGCTGGCTCATTTACCTCGCAGCTCGGTTAATACCCACCACTAGCCATCCCACTTATCAAAATTTTTCCTCGATTTGGCACTGATGAAAAGTGCCAAATAATTTTCCGCGGACGAAGAAGCGCCCACTCGCAGGCTACTAGAAATTTTCAGGCTTCTTTGTCGGCAATTTCTTGAATTTACTTTCGAGGATCATTTCTTTGCTAAGAAATCATTCGAAGGCCAAAATATGAATCATTTCATTTATTTGTAATCCATGCTAAGCATTACGTGACCTATGCTCACAATCTGTGACAGTTCAAGACATCACTTACATCCACAGAAGTCGAAACAATCTTTCTCGGTGTCAAATCTGTTTAAATTTCCTTCACATCCACCAAATATGAACTCTTCACACCGTCGGGAGGTGGAATTGAAGAAGAATCGTTTCATAGCAGCGAAGCAGCGACCCGTCTCTACTGGTAAACTGCAAATCTGAGCAGCTGTGAGACAAAAAGAAACGATATTCTGTTTGAAATGTTCGAAATGTCTGCGCTGGCGAGCTCCTCAACTTACTTTTCAAATTAAGCTACTGAACAGACTTCTAATGTATATGTATCAACGGTTCAGACCGTAGATATCTAACATTAAGGTCTGTGGATAAACCGCGTCCGTTGACACAACTGAAGTGAATGCCATGCAAATGAAAGCTATTTCTCATGTCTAGCCTTTGAAGTGATTGATAATTCAACTATGGGGCTATTCAAATTTTCAGCGACAAATAACCGTTATTTGTTGCTGAAAATTTGAGTAACCTCATAGGCCCCCAAGGCCCCCTTTATTCTTCTGGGAGCATACCTTTGATGGTTAACTTCGACTGATATTTAACAGCAGACTTTACCTTTACATTCTCCATTTCCGATGTACGTAAGTTGCCCAGGCGGCATCCCACCAGCCTCTAGCAGACAAGCATTCATCTCCAGCTGACACATGTTGTCATACGTCCGCCCATCTGATCCACACACAGGATCAATGTGGTTGATAGGGCATGTCTCCCGACACTGACAGGTGGGCTTGCCTTTGACAACTTTACACACTGGGGTGGGGAAGCTACATAGAGTAACTTCACAGGGGTTCTCTGGGAATGCGGAAAAAGAGGTTCGTTGATTAACAAAGTATATTCACGGTGGTATAAGAGCGACCTAACATCAGGTTTTAGATTCACACAGACTTTTTTCATAACGAAAAGAATCCCTCAGATTCACAACGAGACAAATTCAGCAATGGTTTTCATGTGATAATTAATCTGTCTAATAAAACAATCATGAAACCATCTGGAAATGTCCTCAGGCTGTTACGAAATCTTTAAAAACTCTAAAAAGATGGAAACTTAAATTCTTGGTAAGTTGTAGCCAATTTGTTTTTTTTTTATTACCATATCCGAACCAACTAGAGAACGAAAAGACAAGCGTTGCGCTACTGAACGCACGAGAAACTGGCAGAATCGATTGAAAAGAACCATAAACCACCGAACGAGCGAACAACCAAATAAACCGCAGCAACTGAAACAAAAAAAAAACAAACGAAGGGAGTAAATTAGCTGAGGAATGAAGCAAAAAACAAGGAAAAACTAGGTTACCATCTCGAGGCTTTTCAAACGAAGAGGTACACTTCTTGATGCAGCCATCAAAGCAACACTTGAGGTCTCCGCTACAGTCCCAGTCTGTTGCACACTCTGGAGGTCGAAGGATTAGAGGGCATAGCTTGGGGTCAGAGCTAGGGCACCGCCCGGGTTTGGCCGGTGCATAACATCTCCTGGTACAGTCTCCTCGCAAGCAACATTTCTCCCCGTCCGCGCATTCGGAGTCTTCAGAGCAGCCTTGTATAGGGTCACTACAAATAAGTGACGGGTTCAAAACGGGACAGCTATCTTCGGGTGTTTCTAAGGAAGAAAAAGGAAGAAAATAATATTAGGCAGTTGATAGAAAATTTTAAACAATACTCATAAGCTGGGATCCTTTTAAAGAAACTCTATTGTCGTTTCAGCATCTTGAGATATTTGACCAACACTCGCCTGGACGGTTCCTCATAAAGTTGGCAAAGCCATCATGTTATGAAATCTCGTTGCCGCCACTTCGCTCCTATATAACTTGCTCAATTATCTTATGTCCAGCTTTAAAAACTTTTAACAGTGGCTGATTTACACCATTAACTCAGTCGATAAAACCAAATTCCAAATTATCTTGTTTTTTTCCCCCACCGACGCAACACCACAGTTTCTTTGGAAACTTACCCTGTTACGATCGATCACCTGCCCTCTCACTTTTTTCTCTGCCGCACGTCTTATTGCTTTAGCTTCACTATCTGCCTTTATTATTACCACAGTACTATTCTATTGAAGCAATAGGACACTAACCTTCTCCGCATTTTCCTGGATGCTTCATAACCACACTACTGGCGTCCTTACACACTGAATACATCATTATACACTCGGTACTGTATGTTTTGCCATCTGTACCGCACACAGGGGCGTACTCTCGTGTACATACTCTGTCACATGTGCATTCATTTTGACCAGATTCCTCGTTTTTCACACACTTTCCAAATGGATGACAGGGTGGTATGCAAATTAAATCATCTAGAGAAACAAATAAAAATATTTTCTTCTTCGATCAATGAGGATCGTATAATTGTCTATTTTTTTCACTAACGTTGCAGCAGCCCATAAAGGGTTCGAAATTTTTCGTTCCGATGGAAATTGTCGAAAATGTTCTCCCCATGACGGGTTTGAAATTTTTAATTTCTAGTGCGCAAAGTCCTTATAATATACAATCCATACAATATAACAGCAGTATCACAAAATTAAATCTTTGGTCGCGTTCGAACTATTTTTTTCTTTTTTGTTTGTGTCCAATTTTTAGACCAAAAAAAAAAAAAATTGGTACATCACGCATCATAATAACCTCCTTCACAGCCGTTGCTTGAACTCGTCAGCCTTTGGTTTTGTCCCACAATACTCTTCCTGGTGGAAGCCCTACACCGGCAGAAAGAGTGTTGCGTGACAGAAGTGTTGTGTGAAAGAAACCCTCCACCAGTAGAAAGAGTGTTGTATGACAAAAGTGTTGTGTGGAAGTCAAGAGCGTTATGTAACAAAGAGAACGCCTTACGTGACAAGATCAAACATCGACTGCATAGGAGACTAGCACCAAATCAGTTCATCTAAAGTAAATATAAACGCTAAACATTCCCGAGTGGCTGAAGCAGAGCAAAGTCGAGCTCCCTTACCTTTACGGCTGCCGCATTCCCCAGGATGCTTAACAGTGACCATAGTTCCTTGTTCACACACCATACCCTTCATGACACACTCAGTGCTGTACGTTTTCCCGTCCGTACCACACACAGGAGCATATTCACGTGTACAAAGTCTTTGGCACGTGCATTTGTTCTTCACGCAAAAACCATAGGGATGACATGGGGGCTGACAGGTTGAAGTCCCGACAAAAGTGGTTAGTCTTGACGTGGAGGGGCGTTCTTCGGAGAAAAACCGGGAAAAAGGGAAATAAACAACAGAAATTAAACTAGTAGCTCTCTTGGCCCATCAGCTCTGAGGATCTACAAATAATTCTCCCCTCTGGCTGTCATAAATGTCCTTGTGAATAAGTGTTATTTGTACTCACTTTCATGGCCACTTTTCACGAGAGGAGGCAAAGTCTTGACGCACATCTTTGTACAGTTCCACTGGAGACAGCATTTCTCCCCCAAAGCACATCCATCGTCGGACTCACAACCTGTTGTTGATTCACATGTCGATATGGGGTTTGGCGCAGGGCACGTGCCTGGTCGTGTACCTGAGAAAAAAAATTTAAAATTAAGCTTGTAGACTTATTTTTATGTATCAGCACAGGTTTCTTAAAGGCTAGAAAAGGGAAAAAAAAGGGTTACATCAATATATATATATATATATATACACATCTATATATATATCTATATATATCTATATATATCTATATCTATATATATATATATATATATATCTATCTATATCTATATATATATCTATATATATCTATATATATCTATATATATATCTATATATATATCTATATATCTATATATATATCTATCTATCTATATATATCTATATATATATATATATATATATATATATATATATATATATATATATATATATATATATATATATATATATATCAAAAGCCGTGAGAGTTAATACGAATAAAAAGTTTTCTAGAGCACACTTTCTCTTTGCGTCTACTGCTTGTTCTGGGTTCTTTATCCAACGAGTTCCTTTCTGGGATATTCACTTTTCTTTCATCCGAAAAAAAACTTTCATTTGAATGAGTCTTAAGAATTTGGACCTTGTAAATCAATCAAGTTATCATTCTGTGAACAATCAGCAGTAACATTCCATCCTGAAAATAATTTAAATTCAACTCACCATCAGCCAGCGCAGGTTTCACACACTTGTGGTTACAGTCTTTGTCAAGACAACAAGCTTTTCCTGCGGGACACTTTGGACCGCCTGTGAGACAGTTGGGTGGGGCACCTGCCGGCTGTCTACACAGTGGAGTAGGGTTTAAAACTGGGCATTGAAGTAGTACTACGAGAAACAAAAACAGAACATTCAACACGCAACATTTTCCTAAAACTACACTATCGCGTGTACACAAAAAGCTAACCAGTAATGGATACAAATGCACACACAATAACTGTCAATTTTTCTTTTATCGTCTAATAGCCTAACAGAATGTTATGATGATCTGAGACATGGTTTATAATTTACTCACATGGTGGCGGAGGGGGAAGAATCTCAACCTTAACACATTTCTGTGTACAGCCCTTCTGCAAGCAACATCTGCTGCCTAGGGGACATACTTTGTCTGACTGACATCCGGTTAAATTCGCACAAATAGGAGTTGGGTTAAGTATGGGACACTCGCCAGGTCTTGTCCCTAAAACAAAGAGCAAACAACAAAACTAGGCTCAGCTCTGAATTGAGTATAATATTGCAAATAAAGAAAAACTTTTATAAAAACATATAAGTGACTCTAATTCCAGTTTTTCCTAGTTTACGACACATTGTGCTTAAATGGTGAAACAATAGGACCAAAAAAAGGTTGTTAACAAAGAATAACGTTATTCAGTTCCCGTGATCGCGAAGCAAAGATAGAGCAACTCAAAAAACATATAAAGTTTTCGAAATAAGTTCAAGAAATGTAGATAAAAGAAAGTTTTCAATCAAATTAAATGCAACCATAATAACTTAGTACTGTTAAGCTTTCAAACCGATGAAAGACAGAACATATTGAAAATTGTAAACTAGTCTTCCTGAAGAGAAGACGAACTCATGCTCCCTTATCTTTGCCCACTTGTTGAAAAAGAGGTTTCTGAAGTAAGAACATAGATTTTAGAAGAGTCTTGGCCCTTCACCCCCAAAGAGTGATTGGCATCTAATTTCTTATTACAATATCACTCTTGAACCACACATTAAGGTCACGAGAATAACGCAATGATGACCAACTAGAGGAACTCTAGATTGTTAAACAAATTCTCCCCGTCAGCACCTTGAGAAATGCAAACAGAACAGTAGGGAGAATATGCATACTGATGTTCGGGTGTAATTTTGCCCCAGGCTTCTGACGGAGTCTCTGAAAAGTAAAACACTCACCATCGTCAAGCGCAGGCTCAGTACACTTGTGACTACAGTCATTATCAAGACAGCATTTCAGTCCAGTGGGGCAAGTTACGTTTCCTGTAAAACAGGATCCGTTTTTCAAAGCGCAGAGAGGAGTTGGGTCCAAAATGGGACACTGCGGCTCTAAAAAAGTCCAATTCAAAATTTTAAGAATTAACAGACGCAGCTCTGTCAACTAAATGTGACCCAGAAAGGAGTGACTGAGAAGGAATTTTTCCTTAAAACAATCTACACATTTTTAAGTGGAAAGGGGATCAATATCAGTATCTGGGCAACTGCCCACCTACCACTCCCCTAACCCAAAATTAACCCTAACTTTTCATCAATTGACTGTTTTTCAGTTAGGGGAGGGGTGGGTGGGCAGTTGCCAAGATACTTATATTGATCCCAGAAAGGTTATTGGAAGAAAACTGTTCAAGGTTCTTGTAACCGCCGAGTGCTTAGCGGGCTCCTCTAGTCAGTGGGCATACTGATTTAGAAATTTGAGTAGTTTGGTAGTGGCGGTTGCTTAATCGTCATAAGAGCTTCTCTCGCAGATGCTTTTAAACGTTGCCTCGAACAAGCTTTCCTTTTTTCCCTTCAGTTGATTTAATCAGCGTTTACGGGTGCCTGGAATAGGGGGTCATGGTCTAGTTGCAGGTATTTGCCAGGCAAAGGGGTGGTATTCCATCTGTGAGCTAAATAACCAGAGTTAAAGTCCATCGATCTCTCCAGCCACCTTTCTATAATTCAATCAAAGCAGCGTCCGACCCTGCACTGCAAGCAAACCATAACTTACAGTTTATTCCTAATTGACATAAACAGTATCACAACACATACCGCATTCTCCCGATTTCACTACGGTTAAGATTTTTCCAGTTTTACATGCCTCGACCTCCAGACTACACTCGTTGGGATATGTTTCACCATCTGAACCACAAACTGGGTTAAAGTCAAGTGTGCAGATTTCATTACACTCGCAGGTTGCTGCACCTTGCACAACTCTGCAATGCTTTCTTGGATCAGTGCACTCCATCCTTGAACATGGATCTGTAATCCAACAGAAAACAAACAAGGTTTTCGTTATTCGCTGCAGCAAGGAAGAAAGACAATCAAACAATGAAGATAATCGATGGTTAAAGTTTAAGAGTGCTTAATTTCTTCCTCAACCCGGCTGTGTTAGTGTTTGCCTGCCTCTCACTTTTCAGTTGAAGTGCGATACTTTTTCGAGAAATGGGGCCCTTCTAAATAGAAGGAGAACTTCGAAAATCAGAGAACTTCGTTTAGGAACTTTATCATGATACGACCCGTACGGCCCAACATCCATATGAGGACCGTATGTGATACTGCCCATGTTTTAAAATCCCCTATCACCTCTGTTTCAAACAATATTATTATTTCACAGATTTCCAAAAGAAAACACTTACCACACTCTCCCTCTGATATGACGGTCAGGTCTTTACCAGATATACAGGCCTCAACCTCCAAGGTGCAGCTGTTTGGGTATGTCTTACCATCTGAACCACACACTGGCCTCAGGATAAGTGGACAGAGTTGAGAGCAAACACAGGTGGCCTTACCGTCGACCACTTTACAGTAATGACGATGATGATTGCACAGTGAAATGTCACAGGGATCCCACGGAGCTAGAACACAACGAAGCCACGATGATAAATAAAGCTACTAAAATTATTACCAAAGTTCCCTGATAAGAAACATTCACTGTGTATAAAAGGTTTTCTGACTGAACAATGAGTCTAACTAATCCTGGTTTGATCTTTCTGAAGGGATCATATATCATGGTAAAAATAGTCTTGTGCAAAACTATCTCTTACAATTAAACGCTAGTTTACTGGATGGACAGATTACGACAACAACAAGGTGCTTACTCCATGTGAGAAGTGTACAACAATGACTTTGGCCGACCTTCACCTCCATCAGTAAAGACTTTCACTGGATTAAGATAATGTCTTGACCTCAGGCTTTTGAAAAAATCGACATCATTCTCACTGAAAACAGTTTTTTCAGGACAACTCTCACTGGGAAACTAAGCTTCATAATTGTCAGTCACCTCCAGTGCTACTCATTCACTCTTTCAATAATCAATCATGAGTTGTTCCTACTCACCGCGACATTCACCAGAATATTCTGCCTCCACGATTCTATTTGCTAGGCAGCTCATACTCTCAAGAGCGCTGGGGTTGGGGTATGTTTGTCCATCCGAGCCACACACTGGTGCCAGATTTGCGGTGATCACCATAGGACAAACACATAGGGCCTTACCACCCACCACGTGACACTGATGGTAAGGATGAGTACAAAGATCAGGTGCACTGCAAGGGTCTGTGAAAAAAGGAGCCAAGAGGTGTCAGGTAAACAACGATGCACGTGACCAATAAGAAGAGTTGTTTCACAAATAATACATGTACATCATCTTCACCATCATGATTTTCATCACCACTGCGATCATAATACTCGTCTTCAAGATAAGCGCAGCTCTTTCAGAAAACAAACCAAAAAGCTCTAACAAAACAATCTTTAGTTCTCACATAAGTCTGTGAGGAGTGGTGGGTGAAGGAAATCAAGAAAACCTCTTATTTCAACTTTCACGCTGTCGTTGTTTTGGTAGACCCTCACCCAAGAAAGCAGTGCTTTTACATTCTAGCAAATATTTCTCTTATTGAGGTTCATCACTAGCTTCTTTAGCTCCTTTCTGTCTACAGTGCATTAAGCGATTTTGGCCGCTGACATCAAGGTTAACCGCCCAACCTCTTTTGACTACTGAGACCTAAACCAACTGCTACTCATGCGTGATCTACAGTTCTCGTAACATTACTGGCTAAAGTGACCAACACGTACATAACTGCAAAACATGACATATATCTTACTTTTGTTTTCTTGCTTGCACTCTCCTTGACTAGCCACCGTTATTGTCTGACTTCTCTCGCATGCTTCTGACCTTAGGACACACTCGTTAGGATACGTTTGGCCATCTGATCCACATACCGGGATGTATTCTCTTGTGCACAAAAATGGCAGACAAACACATGCAGCACCTCGGGGTGATTTGAGACAGTGGTGTAATGGATGACTGCAGTTGGACTTCTCACAAGGGTCTGGTTCTATGAAGTAAATGAAAGAGGTGAGATGAAGTAATGATTTAGGATGCCCAGTCGCATGATGCTACACGCAGCAACGCTACTCCTGCCTTGATTGGGACACCACTCCATCACCTATTATGACCCCATCGTACAGAGCCCCTGAAAGTTTACCATCACACAGGAAGAAGATTTTGAGAACAGGTTTAAGATGACCAAGCTACGGCCTTTCAATTCAGTCTCCAGCACACTAAAAGTTAAACAAGCTTATTTCCCGTGTAGTAAAATATACACTGTTAAATAAGACTTGTATGAAGGTTACTGTGCAACAGAGTTCAACAGCTCAGCAAAACAGACTCAGGCTGGTTTGCACCGTCAGAATTCTACCCTGTACATAAGACCCATGCTACTTAGAGCAACTAAGGGAAAATGAAGTTAAATCTCTACAATGCAACCCAGGTTCTAGAGAATACTATTTTTCCTAAAAAATAGTTGTGAGGAGTTCATTTGAAGACTTACTACAACTGTCTTTACTGGCGATGGTGATCTTCTTCTGTTGACTGCATGACGCAGCTTGCATAAGACACACATTGTCATATATCTTTCCATCTGAGCCACAGACAGGCATGAAATTCAGAGGACAAACTTGTGGACAGACACATTTTCCCATGCCGCCGTCCTCCACGCAAGTTGCATAATGCTCACACTTCTTGACACTACAAGGATCAGCTGTTGAACATAGAGCACATGCATAAAAATAAGTCCATCAAATCATGTATTTCACCAATGATGATCAAAGTTCCTTCCCCTTGGGAGAGGTAGTTAAAAAGTAACCGGTGGACCCTAGAGATATCTGTTTGAGTCCTGACCAGGTTATTGACATGTGTTTTTCGGTCCTGGTTGCCCTAAGCCAAACAACCCAGGATGTCACAGGTCTGGAACAATGGATTTCTTGTCGTTTCCGCTTTTAACAAAATTCTGGGCAAGTTAACATTGCCAGACCTGGAATACAGATTTAACTGTGGGCAAAAAAATGATTTATGTTCAAACATGACACTGTACGACCATGGACGCGGGGGTTTTATGTTGAAGAAATTCTCACATTCCTTACACAAGTTGAATGTAACATTTGTAAACCTATAGTGGCAAATTCTCAGCAATTAATTTTGAAAAAACTTGCCGATTGCTCCCACACCATTTCTCTTGCATTTGTACGTCTTCAACTTTTACATGTTGTGTCCCTACACCCTAAGACCCTGAGCATCAATTAATTCCAATTGAGGCGTAATGTTAAATTAAAAAACAGACCGGTAATTCACCTGCACAATCAATGCCGTCTCCTTCATATCCTGGGTTACACACACATTTGCGACCTCCAAAAACTAGTTCTATGCACTGAGCATTCTCATGACACGTGTTAGGGCATTCAAGGTCACGAACTTCATACAAAGAAAACATAAAATAAATGTTTGTTGGTTTCATCAAGAAAACAAAAACTATCCAGATTTTAAGATTTTACGGTGAAATTGCTTAAATCATTAAGAGAAATATAGCTAATCAGACTTAAATATAGGTGAAATCGCTATTTTAAAATTATAACCCAAGCATCAGTTTTACTTAGTTTGATTATTCTCTCCTTTGGAAAATAAGTTGACAGGATGTAGTTTCAGTTTAAGTATATTACTTCACGTGCAGCCAAATTCTTTTTGATCTTTTACAACTTAATAACGCAAGAATGATCAAATGGCAAAGTAACTTAAGTTCTGAAATACTTGGAATTACTTAATCTTTGGTCATTTTATAGCTAAATACAGGTTTGCATGACCTAACTGTGGAAAACAGAAACGTTTGCATGACTAAATTGTCAGAATCTGCAACTGGCATTGTTCTTGTGGTATAATTTGACAATCCTATCAACGTTCTGAAAAACACTTCCCTCTTAAACCAATTAAATGAAATCTGCATTCATTTGACATACCAAATTGAACACAGTCTTTCTGGCAGCCATTAAAGCAGCACTTTCCTCCATCCTCCTTGCAGTCCTCATTTTTCGTACACGAGTCTGCTCTTCGGTCACAAATTCCATTCAGACCTTTCCACGGAGCGGGACAGATATTGGGTTTCAAACCAGAGATAACAGCATCTACGATGAAAAGAAAAATTCAAAGTCACCAAACAGTGTGAACAACGTAAAAATTAATTTCTACCTACCGAAAAAACAAACAAACAAACAAAAACAAAACCATTAATCATTTACATGCTTGGATACATCTTACGGTTGAATCAGTCAGTATTTAATGAATAGATGGCGTAAGTTTCTAAAGAAACTGTGATGCTGCGTCGGTGGGAGAGTATAACAGGGTAATGTAGTATCATCAACGGGTTGATAACGCAAATTGGCCACCGTTAAAAGTTTACGAGCTGACGTTTCAAGCGTTAGCCTTTCGTCTAATGGCTCTGACGAAGGGATAACGCTCGAAACGTCAGCTTTTAAAGTGTTCAATGAAGCTTACCACATCTCCCTGGTCTGACGACTCGAAGGCGCTCCCCACTCTGACATGCTGCCACCTCCATACCACACGGGTTGGGATAAGTGTTGTTATCAGAAGCACAAACTGGATTATACTCTAATGTACATGCTGTGTTACAAACACACGAGGCTGTGCCATTCTGAACTTCACACCTGTGACGCTTGTGGCTACAAAGGCTGACTTCACAAGGATTTTTAAGCTGAGGACCTGAAACGAAACGGGTATAAAATCATGCCAAACACCAGGACACTTTTCCTGAAGCAACTATAGAGGAGCCAAAAATCTGAAATCCAGCTTCTTCAGGATTAAAATATGGCTTATATCTAAAGGTTTCTCTAAATAGCAAGTCGGCAAGGATTGGAAAGTACCTACATTCAATGTCAAAATTAGTAGACACATCATGTTTGAACAGTCCTATTTATCTATTTATTTGTAGAATAACACTCCTGTGTCTACCACACTCTTGCTCGTTGACAAGCCCCCCACTTCCCCATTCAGTGTTGCCTGTATGTAACTAAAAGTCCATATAAACGCGATAAAACTATGTTTTGAGGAGGGGGGAGGAGAGGGTAAATAGGTTACTTTAAAAAGGGCAAAAGAGATAAAATGGAAGTAATAAAGGGTTAATAAAGTCAATGTGTCAACAGTTTTGTCGCAGATAGAAGGAGCATGGACAAAAATCAACAACAAAACAAATCCATAAATGACAGCTGGTCCAGGAGCTAAAAAAGAAAAAGAAAAAAAAAAGAAAAAGCTCTCAGGAGCCAAGCGAGCTCTTATGAAGATATCCTCCTGTTTTTCCAAGGTTCCATGTTTCTAGGAGTATCTAAAAGTTGGACAGTAGCTCTTACATTTTCCATCCTTGACCTTCTTGATAGCACCGCCAGAGAGACAGCTGGCAACTTCTAAGGATCTGTGATTTGGATATGTCTTTCCATCAGAACCACAGACATATCTTAAGTCAAGTGTCACTGCAGTTGAGCATACACAGGTTGCTGTACCATTTATGTCTTGACAACTGGCGAGATAATGGCTGCAATTGACCTTATAACAGGGATCTGGTGTAGCACCTGTTAAAACTAAACAACTGAAATGTGAGATTTGGAAAAGGAATGACTAATCCATTTATGATTTAAACATAACTCCATTCTAAATCAGAACCGACTGATGGATACAGTAAATTCCTAAAATTTGATAACCAATTATGAAGAACCGTTTTTGACATCATTTTGACAATTATACAGTTTGTCTAATTTCCTAGTTAAGTCAACAGTAAATTCAGTTTTTTTCAATAAAGAAAAATTTTAAAATGAATAAATGACATCATAAAATGAATATATGACATTATGATTTTCATATATTCAGTCATTGAAGAAAAATATTGCTTATCCATCTTCTAAACTACGTTTTGCAATGTACCAAACAAACAACGATTAAAAATATGATAGTGTATTCTGATTGCCCAAGCAAGGGTAGTCCTGTGAAGGAACATTGTCAGTGGTGGCGACGAGGGTTTCGACAATCTTTGTGGAAGTCATCATCCAAGCCAAGTATCAATTCTCGACTCTGACCTTGATTTCTGCTAAACATCAGTCACCACCACCGAAAATACTCCTTCCCAGGACTACTCTTGCCTGGATAACCAGCCTACATGATAATTTGTCACTCCCTAGTTCAAATAATGTATTGTATGATGATCAGAACTAGGGTGGAGACCTGGGCCGGGTTGTTCAAAGCTGGGTTAAGATAACCCAGGGTTAGTGTGAAATCCGATTTCAGATCTAAAAGCTTTAAAAGAAAATTCAGTCGAATTCTTTTTGTCTAGAGTATGACTATTTGATGCTTTAAAAAGGACATTGAAAATTTTCCCAAAAAGGCTTTAGAGTAAAGGAATAAAGAAACCCAGATTAAAATCTAACTCTGGGTTAGCGCTAATCGGCCTTCGAACAACTGGGCCCTGGTAATTAGGTCACAGACTCATTCTAAAATCCCAAATCACCAGAAGGTATTTCAGAAATCCACAGAGTATCATGAAATATTGCCGACTTCCTTAACGATAATTATACAATCAAAAGTAACAAAACCATGTCTAACTTACTTGATGTAATATCCGGTTCACATTTTCCTTCATAATCTACAGACACAACTTTGCCTTTCTCACATGAGACGAAGTCCAAAATACACTTATTGTCATAATTTTGACCATCATCTCCACAGACTGGCTTAATGATCTTTGGACAGGATCCAAGGTGTGTACAGCTGCAGACAGGTTTGCCTTTATCATCTGTGGTGCATTTTTGCAATGGATGGCTGCACGTGATGTTGACGCAGGGATCAATATTCACTACTCCTGCAAAGTTGATACTAATGATCAGAGTGCTAATTATCATTATCTTTACCATTGCCAACATTAATAAAAGGGAAAAAGGGGTATTAGTGAAATTACCCAAAGACTTAAGATGGGAAGGAAGTGATTCAGTTATCCAATATTGAACCTCATTTGAAAGGAAAATGAGAGAAATAAACCTGTACCACAACTTTCTGGCAGTGCTGGGCTAATCTCTGTCTTTTTTTGGCAGGAGGCAGTCATTAAGAGACACAAGTTCTCATAAATCTTTCCATCAGAACCACAGAGAGGTTCTTCTTCATTGCCACAGCCTGGGTGGCTACCTTCACCAGGGCAGACGCAAGTGATGTTTCCACCAATGACATCACACTTGCCATAGAAGTCACACTTTACTGAGGCACATGGATCCACTAAAAGATAAAAAGATTTAATTTTTTCTCTGTTTCTATAGAGAAATGCACAAAATAAATTGAAAATTAACTATACTAAGGCCGAATCTAGACCATAAAACTGATACCCATGGTATATTTCCCTTTCTCTCCTAGCAAAGGTGAATTACTGTGATCTGTCTCATAGTAGGTTAAGATACAAATCTAAAGTTATCCTGGCATGAACTGTGAATGAAATTATGCTTCATCTAATAAAACCCTCTTCTTCCTCTCCTTATTACTTACAATAAAACACAAAACTATATTAACTAAAACTAGTAACAGTTGTCACAAACACTGCCCCCTCCCTTTTTTCAACACTAAAATTTGTATCTTAAACCTTTTTTCAGAGCAGAGTTTATATGAAGCATTGTTGGAGAAAAAAAAATTTTGAGTTCAGGTTCAAACCAAATGCTATTGTAAATCGTTTCCATTGTTTACAATATAATGCGAAACACATGCCATAGGGACAGTTAAAGTCATGGGCTGCTTGATTTGATTCAATTATCCTTTGTCACCTACTCTATCAATCATACGTCATTTCTTAATTCTCCCTATACAAGGGGACTCTATAGTGCCTCCTTAGGTATCAGCCTTTGGGCCAGAACCCTGCAGAGGCTATAAATAAATTCACCTTTCCACTGACCTACTTCACATTCACCCTTGTAATCAACAGTGACATTCTTCTTTTCCGCACAAGCTTCAGCCTTCAGAATGCACTCATTATCGTAGGTTTTGCCATTTGTTCCACAAACTGGAGCATAAATCTTTATGCAGGCAATATTGCATTTGCATTCTACTGACTTGTGGTCCTTGGTGGGAACACACTGTCCATAATATGGGCACGAGGTGAACTGACATGGATCTGGAAACATCAAATGTTAGAAATGAACAACACTTTGACAGTGTGAATACATGTCAAATAAATTGAGTTCAAAAGCTTACACACAACATATCAAATGTGTCTCTTTTACATGTAGTTCCACAGCTGAACTGGAGTTCAGATCACAAGGTCAAATTGTATGGCTTATGATCACTGTGTAATCTTTTTGAGCACAGAGCTCTTATCTTACATTAAAAAATGAGCACTGCAATATGTCTGTAGAATCTGATTAAATGTTTGGGGGGGGGGGGAAGTAACCCAAAATACCCTTGATCTCTCCTGTAGGGGATAAAAGACATGAAAGAGCTACCTGGCATGAGTGATATGCTCAACAGTGTATGTGCAAACTGATGTCTACAAATATCTCTATAATTCCTCCAGAAGTTACATGTACATGCACTCACAAATACTTGTTTCCTTTTTACCTGGAAGAGTACAGTTGGGTTTTCCTCTGGTTCGTGTTCCAAGCTGTTCCTTGCCATAACTGTCTACACACCAACAATATCCCGTGGAAAAGTGACACTGCATTTCTTGAAATCCACCACTTTTCTTACATGATGGAACAAAGCGACCCAATTGTGGGAACAGAAAAGACTCTTCAAATCTTTGCTGACAAGTAGACAGACCTTTCAAAAATGACGAGAGAGGGTTATTTAAGTTGATTTTCTTGGCTTTGATATAACTCCAGATGATTCAAGCCTTCAAGTTGTGACTACTAATGATCCCAATTTCCATGGTGGCTCATATCTAATAGGTATAAGCAACCAGATTGGGACCAAACAGGCTGAAACATCAGCAATCAAAGGAAAATTGGTTTATAAACAAAAAAATATTAAAAATTTACATGGAAGTTTTGAAAATGTAACTCACTCTTACTAAATCAAATTAGTCATAAATATGCCCTAAGTTGTCATCCTGTGAGTACAATGATGAAGAAGAAATGTTACCAACCAGGATTAACACAGTCCTTTTGGCAGCCATTGAAGCAACAGAGCTCACTTCCTTTGCAATCAGTATCTTTCGCACACATATCCCCACGGCGATCACACAGCCCTTCTTTACCCAGCCAAGGTTTGGGACATTGGCCAGGTTTTGTGTCTGCTTTCTTGTGAACCTCTGATGTATTCACACACATCTGCTGGCAGCCACTGAAGCAACATTTCTGATTTCCAGGACAGTGAAAGTCCATTCCACATTCATCACCCATTTTGTCACAGAAACCTGTAAGCCCCTTCCACGGCGTAGGACAAGTTCCTTCCTTTCCATTCATCTTAGTATTTGCTGAAAAAATAGGAAAACATATCCACATCATCCCCAATGGCTGGGTATATGCAGGGTCTATGAGATACTGTACTGTGCTTTACATTTCACTTTCCTGAAAGGGGAGAAATACTTCCAACAGATGTAGGTGCATACTATGGTTTAAGAACATTTCTGATTTACTGTTGCCTGATTACAAGTGGGCAATTGCAAACAGAAATTGGTGCCTACTGCATTTTTAAATTCATTTGATATATATTGCAAGTCCCCATACTTCACAAAACTGTTACTAGTAAAAACCTCAAGGACTCATATCGCACATCATCACATGCAAGAGTTTACATTGTTTAGTTGTTACAACAAAAGTAAAGTGCAATTTGAACTCTGCCTAACTCAATTCTTGCACAATCTTTAGATAACCTGTGTAGGTAAACAGCAAAAAAAATCTTGCGAAAGTCCACAAAAATATTTTAAAATTACAATAAAATAACTGAAAGCAGATATTTTCTGTAACTGCCATGCTTAACCTCTCCACTATTAGTGATTCTAATCATAATAATGTAGTGACCCTGTGCTCAACCATGAATTGTGATTTCAGATCTGAAGTTTTTTTCTGGATGATCCAGCTACATACATAGCTATGAACCCCTATTTGAACCCTTTTGAAGCTGTTGTTGCCAGATTAAAAACTAAAGACAGCAATTCACAAAGGGGCGCTTCAGATCTCCAATATCTTACCTGAAATTGTACAATTTGGTTCTCCTCTCACTCTAGTACCATCCACTTCATTGCCAAGACTGTCAACACACCAGCAGAACCCAATAGATCCATGACACTGGACTTCCTCATAATCACCATTTGGTTTACAGGAAGTTATGAATGCCCCTATTAAGGGGACACCCCCTTGGTTCCTTGAGAGCTCTCTCTCCTTCTGTCTTGTGCAGGGTTTGGTACCAACTGAAATCAAGAAATTCCAAACTGCTGATCACAATGCAGTTCAGGTATACATTTCAAATTTAAGTGTTTGGGCGCATTCCCTTGGTGTGATCAGGATAAGAATGATTATGATGTACAGCAATCCTTTAGTGGGAATCCATTTTAAGATCACTGATTCATTGAATCCACCCTGGACATGGATTCCTTGGATCACTGATCTGCTGTGTTCCATTGGCATGGGATTTGAATTTCATCACTCTACACAACATTTCTTTCCCACTCTCAAGCATACTGAAATTTCATGCTTACTGTCATGAAACTGATACTAGGCACCCAAACCCCAATCCCTTGGTGCACCACAATCCAAGTGATCTCTGATAAATGATCCTGATCTGGATTATCCCCAACAATGCACTCTTTGAAGCTGTTACCACCATAGCATAAGGTCACAAACAAAATTAAAGCAATTTTATGAAAGTGCCCTGCACTCCTGATATCATACCTGAAGAGGTACAATTTGGTTCTCCTCTGATTCGAGTACCTTCCAGTTCATTGCCAAGCTTGTCTACGCACCAGCAAAACCCAGTAGATCCATGACACTGTACCTCCTCATAATCACCATTTAGTTTACAGGAAGGTATGAATGCTCCTATTGGGAAGCGTCCTCCATGGGTTTTTGAGATCTCTCTCTTCCTGTGCCTTGCGCAGAGTTTAATACCAACTGAGATGAAGATCAACAAATTTGATAAGTTAAAATTTTTTCAAGCTGATCATTTAACACTTTGAAAGTAAATACTGTATCATGGAGTCTGGCACAATGATTTGTCAGGGTTTCATTAAGTTCATTGGTCAGGTAATAATTTGCCTTTTGCTAGATCAGATCTTTGTGGTTCAGTCTATACAACAAAAATTTGTGGAAGGAATTTACTAATTTTCATAACTTCCTCTTTAATCACCTGAAAAACTGAAAAAAGGAAATGTACTAATACTCTCAATTTTCAGCACTAGCACAGTACCTATTAGAAAAAATTTCTCTGAGTCCTATTAAATCTGTGACCCTTAACAGTGACTAACATCTTATTTCTCCTTACAATATCACCCTTGAATCACTCATCAAGGTGACAAGAATAGAAGAAATGATCACCAACTAAAGAAGCAATTGATTGTTAAAACCAATTCTCGTTATAAGCACCTAGGGAAATGTATAAAGAACAATAAAGAAGATATGCAAACAGATATATCTTTGCCCTGCTCACCACATTTGTTCATTTCTTTCTTTGTTCTTCTATTTTAGTGAAATTCATACCTGGAGATGTGCAGAAATTCTGACATCCATTAAAGCAACACCTGTGGTCTCCATCACAATCAGAATCATGCTGGCACATGTCAGGGAGCAAGTCACAAACCCCCCCTTGACCCAACCAAGGTCTCGGACATGTTCCAGGTTTTGCTGTTGAGTGAAATATTACCAACAATAGAATTTTATTTTAGTTCTAGTCTAAGAAATTTCAGGGTGAATAGTTACACAGCTGTTGGGTTAAGTCAGACCTCCTAAGCAAGGTTTCAGCCAGGAAGCCATCCAGTCATTCCCACAACAGTCACAATTTGGCAACACTTAATGTTATAGCTACCTTAAATTTCACTGATTAATTGAAGGCTCCATTTCAAAAGAAAATTGTGCTATATCTGCCAACTTTTGCCCTGTGGTTGCAAGCCTCTTACCAACAGATTAAACCTTTAAATGTCACACCAGCTAGTGCATACTGATCACTTTCTGAACCCTAGCAGGAAAAACTCATGCTATTCATGTACAGAACAAAATATATCATCTAAAATAAACTCAAATACTTCTACCAAAACCTTTCATGGAAGGAGGGAGGCAATGAAAACTAGATTTTTTTTGGAACTTCTAGGAAAATTCACCAGCTTGTTTTGACACAATTGGCTCTTCTTCAAAAATGCTAGCAATTAGAAGATTAAATTCTCCAACAAATTGATTTGATGAGCACAGGTATGTAATAATATATTTTAGGTAGTTTGTGTTCTTACCACGTTTGGAACAGACAGCTGTGCCTTGTACCTCTGTACCTGGCATTTTTTCTCCATCCTTGTCCACACACCAGCAGTACAATTCATGACACTGCTGGTCCTCATAATCACCATCAGGCTTACACCGTGGAACAAAAACACCAAGGAGAGGGGGGTCCAATGCTAACTTGTCCAAAGCAGATTGCATTTCCTCTTGGCACTTTGTAAGATTTTCTATTTAAAAATACAGATCAATTATGAAAAGTAAAAGCTAGGGGGAATGGCAGGGTGACCGCTTAACCCTTTACACTCTAACATCAGTATGCATATTCTCCACACTGTTCTTTATACATTTCCTAAGGTGCTGACAAGGAGAATTTGTTTGCCAATCAAAAGGTTCCTTCCCTGGTGACCATTTCCTTTATTCTCATGACCTTAATGCATGATTTGGGAGTGATATTGTAGGGAGAAATTAGATTTTAGTCATTCTTAGAGCTAAATGGGTTAATGCATGCAGTTTGACTGGTTCCACAGAATAGGGGTATTGTAAAAAACGGTAAAAGACCCCTTTTTATGCCATACATTTTGTAATTGACAAGACAGAAATGTAAGATGTTCAAAATCTTGCTCAAATATACTACTACCATTGATCTCCGGGAATATGGATTAAATACTGTATACTTGAGAGCTTGTTCTTAGTTGGTTCTGCTTTACATGACCTTTCAAGACAGGCGGAAGACGATAGAAACAGGCCACTAGGACTCAGTACATGGTGACTACCACTGCATAATAAAGGTGACTGCTTAATAGAGGTAAAAATTACTGACAGTGTTTAAGGGGAAATGATTTTGGGACTTTGATAACTGACTGCTTAACACATGGTAACCACTTAAAATGAAGTTCTGCTTTGCCCTTTAATTCCCAAAATCTGACTATTAATTTGCCCCTATAGCTGCTACACATTCCTTGTGGATTAGTGATGAGGATTTGGCGTTAGATCAAGATAACAACTTCTACCTGATACAATTGTGTATACTCACTACTTTTTTGCTGGCAAAAGTATTGATATTGTAGGGAGAAGTTAAATTTGCATCACTTCTGGGAGTTAAAGGGTTAATACAGATTTAACTGTAAATAGAACAAGGGTGTTTGATGACAAGTTATACATACAAGCACTGTAAGTTGAACATCCTGATAATTTTTTAACCCTTTAACTCCCAGTAGTGATTAACATGAAACTTCTCCCAGTAATATCCATACATTATTCAGCAAACAGGTGATGAGAATATTCAAACTTATCAGGTAGAAGCTGCTATCTAGATCTTACACCAAGTTCTCATAACTAATTTACAAGGAAATCTGTAACTGCTAGAGGGGAGAATTAACAATCAGATCTAAAATTATAGCAGATGTTTAGCTACTTAAATGAAAGCAGTCAAACTACACATCACATAAAAAAACATGAGTGAAAAATCACTGAGACAAAATCACACAATCTAGTTCAAGAGGGTTGCATTAATCACAAAGCCAAGTAAAGCAAAACTAATACAAACAAAACTTACTTGTGATTTACTTTGGGAGTTAACTTACAGGAAAGTATCAAAATAATAATGAAAGTAACTGGATACCCTCACCTGGTTTGACACAATCCCTCTGACAGCCATTGTGACAGCATTTGCTTCCAGAACTACAGTCGATATCTTCCCTGCACACATCTCCCTTTCTGTCACATGGTTGCTGTTTCCATGGAATTGGACACTGACCAGGCTTCCCTGAAGATTTCTTGCCAGTGCCAGGTTTAACACAATCCCTCTGGCAGCCATTGAAGCAGCACTTTTCAGAAGTATCGCAATCAACATCTACATTGCACATGTCTCCACGCCGATCACAAATGCCATCTTTCCCTTTCCAAGGGCTCGGACACTCACCAGGTTTATCCAAAGGTACAGGCTCAATGCAATCTTTCTGGCACCCATTAAAACAGCACTTTTGCAGTCCACTGCAATCATCATCACCAGAGCACATGTCCCCCCGTCGGTCACAGATACCATCAAGTCCCTTCCATGGTTTAGGACACTGACCATCCTTTATGGTGGTAGGAAGTTCAATTGGAGGTGTTATACACTCCTTTATGCAGCCAGTTGCACAGCATTTGTCCTTCCCTTTACAATCACTATCTTCAGTGCAGTTATCGGTTGTTTCTTCACAAGTCTTGGGGTCAATATAATCCACAGTTGGGCACTGACCAGGTTTCTCTAGGATGGGAGGGGTTACGCACTCCTTTATACAGCCTGTTGCACAACATTTGTCCCTTCCTTTACAATCAAAATCTACACTGCACTGATCTGTTGTTTCTTCACAAGCTTCAGGATCAATATAATCCACAGTTGGGCACTGACCACGCTTCTCTATGATGGGAGGGGTTATACAATCCAGATTACATCCTGTTGCACAACACTTATCCCTTCCTTTACAATCCTGGTCATTTTTACAGTTGTCTTCTGTAACCTCGCACAGTTCAGGTGGTATATAATCATTCAGGGGACACTCCCCTGGCTTTGGACGAGGCTTTGGTGTCACAGAACACTCCTTATTACACCCATTAAAGCAACATTTCAAATGGCCAAAGCAATCACCATCAACATCACATTCATTTTTTGCACTTTTGCACAGCTTTGGATCAATTATGTCGTTTTGAGGGCACACACCAGGTTTTAAGACACGCACAGATTCTGGCATGGCACAGTCTTTCTGGCAGCCATTGTCACAACACTTCCGACTTGCTGGACAATCAGCATCCTTGTCACACATGTCTCCCATCTTATTACAGACAGTCCCATTCTTTTTGTCTACTTTGGGACACTGACCTGGTTTGACTTCACTCAATGGTGGAGCACATGAATGACTACAACCATCAAAGCAACACTTGTCATCGCCCTTACACTCTTGATCAGTTTCACAAGTATCCTGTCCCAGAGTACAAAACCTAAGAATACTCCTGCGCCATGGACAGCGGCCAGGTTTATCTATAAAAAAATAATGGCACACAAAAAAAGACAAAAACATAAGCAATTGTCTTTCTTGTAGTTAGAGTAAGTATTTTGACACAATTACAAATTTTTGACTTGCAAAGCAGAAAATCTTCTTAGCTAGTGAGGTTTAAATAGTTAGTCTGTGCCAACCAATCAAGTGTAGGTTACCAATTAAGTTTCATTTTGAAAAGAACAATGAATCAAATCAATAATTGAGCAACTACCTACCTCGAACAGCTGCATCAGATGCTGAAAAAAAGAAGAGGGACAACAACAGTAAAATACAATAAATTCTCAAGATATGTACCAACAAACTAATTAAAAACTGCACTTTTTTCAAAGAAAACCACAGAAATTGTGAGTCTAAGCAACTTCGAAAAACTCCTCTGACCTAAACACAGGTCAAACTTTAAGTCTAAGGAAACAATCACCTAAAGTCTCTAAAGACAAAACTAACTAATTTCCTTTCCTTGAAAATTCCTTGAGTTAAATGAAACATTTAAGGTTTGTACAGAGCTCCACTGACATCAATCATGCACCAAATAATAAATCATACCAACTACAATTGAAGAGCTACTGCTGTAAATGCTATTTATCACAATACTTAATCAAAGACCAAAGCACATGTATGGCTAATTTACCAGGCTGGCATTTCTTCTGGCACAGTTCTATAGTGTGAAAGTTGTTACTGTTTCCTTCACAGCCTCCATAAATAAACTTATCGCACTGCCCTGATGTGTCATTAAAGAAGTATCTGGGGAAATATCCTTTGCAGAGCCCAACATCTGGCTGTAATTTGCAAACAAAATCCGCTGAAAGGAAAATTATTTAAAGAAATAAAGCAGGGGTCAGTGACATAGGCATACTTGTAAGTTAGAAGAAAATAGTAAATTTTTTAAACCTTAAAACCTTCCAGTCAACATTTTGGATCCACTATAACATGGCTATTGAATTTTAATATGGTACATGTATGTAACTATATAACACATTCATCCAGAATTCCATGATTTGATGTCAACATCATTCTTCTACAACTTGATATAACAAATTTTCAAAAGCATCAAGTACACTGTACAGTGATTCAAGACACAATTCATTACTACCATTATCACCACATAATGATCATAACTGTATGCTTTTTTCCAGCCAGATTCTTCTCTTAACCTTTGTTAAATAATATTTTTCTGACTTAAGCATTCTCATCAAGTTTCGTATAAATTGCATATTGTAACTGCAGCTGCAAATAATTAACCCTTTAACTCCCATGAGTGACCAAGACAGAATTTCTCCTCACAATATCAGTACGTTATCAACCGGAAAAGTGATGAGAATAAAGAAAAATATCAACTTGAGGATAATTAATTGATCCACTACTAAATTCTCTGAATTAACATTATAAGAATTGTGTAGTTGACAGTAAGGAGTTAGAAATTGGATGTGGGAGGTAAAAGTTTAACCACATGTTTATTTCCCTAAAACTCAACTTACCTAAACAAGACTTCTTACAATCCTCCTCGGTGTTAAAGTTGTTGGCATTACCATTACATCCACCATAAATGAAAGATTCACATTTTTTAGTTTTGCTGTTAAAAAACCATCTGGGAAAATAGGCCATACAAATACCAGGCAGCTTAGGAAGAGCACAGACATCCCCAGCTGAAAGAAAAGTTGTGTTTTCAAGGTCAATTTATGCAAATTTGTTCCCATTATAGACACTATTGATAAATTAATATCATAAAAGGTTTTGTTACCAGCATGGGAGCATTTCCGCAAACATTCAGCTTTGGTCTTAAAATTGTTTTTATTGCCACCAATTCCACTGTACAGGAAAGAAACACACATCAAGGAATCCATGCTGTCAAAATACCATCGAGTACTGAACTTGGATGGATCAGTCCCTGTACCAATAAGTTTTTCCAAATTGCAAACTTGATTTGGTGCCACAGCAGTCTCCTTTGTCTTGGGATCTGTAATAAATGCAGGCAGCATTGATGTAAAATAATACAAAAATTCCCTTCAGTCTGAACACGAACTCAATTGACTGACCAATTGACTGACTGACTGGCTGGCCGACAGACCAACCACTAACTGACTGACCAACTAACCAACTGACTGATTGACTAACTGACTGACCCACCAACTTTAACCTGACAGATTCAATAACTACTTGACTGATTATCTGACTTACTGACTGACCAATCAACTGACTGGCTGGCTGACTGAATGACTAACTGAATGACTGCATGACTACCTGATTGGCCAACTGACTGACCAATTAACTGACTGACGGTTTGAGTAAATAAGTGCCTAAATGACTGACAGCATGATTGACTAATCAGTTAATTAAATAGGCCTCATTATAAAGACACTTCTGCCTAAATCAACAAAATTTCAGTTAATTTCACCAACAATATTTCTTTTAAGAACTAATTACCAGACACTCACACTGGTAACATTTGGCAATTGATTCACACATTAATTCCTGAGTGATAGGTATATTGACTGACTGACTGACTGGCTGTCTTTATTCAAAATAAAGATGATGGGAAGGCCAGGAGACAAATTTGGTCTGTAATCATAGAAGAAATAAACAAAATCTGACAACCACAAAGACAGAGTCTAAATTCTTAATTACCAGACAGTATGATTCATAAATAAATGATTAACTGGTTAGTTTTTTCAGTAGCAGATATTTGAAGCATCATCTAATTACAAAAAAAATCAACTTACCCAAGACAACAACAGTTATTGGAACCACTACACGCATTGATCCTGAATATGCGCGGCACTCATATCTCCCAGCATCTTTCAACTGGACTCGGCGGAAAAGAAGTCTATTGAGATTGAGAGGTAAAACTCTACCATATGGCAGACTTCTTAGGCCAACTTTGCGCCACAAGTATTGGGCAGCATTTCCAATGATTTTGCATTCAATTTTGCCAGGCTTCCCAGCATAGAGAGTTTGAGAAGACTGATGTTGTGGGCTGATTTTCAAAGGGATCTCTAAAGAAGAAAAAGAACAAGCAAAAGACAATAATAATTGATTATTCACAATATGATAACCTGGGTAAGAACTTGCATCTAATTTGTTTTTTCTAGGGATAGGTTTCCAAGCTCAAGTCTCCCATGGCAACCTGAAATCATGAACTGGTCAAGAGAGATGATTGCTGATAAATATAATTGAACTTGGATTTGACCTCTGGTAAACCCACAAGACCATTCTGCTTTGACTTATATGAAATTGTAAACATGACCCTGAAAGTTGGGGGCTTGCAGCTGACAGTCATGTGGCAAGTTAAACCTTCTTGCAAATTAGTTTTTATGACCTGAAGTCAAAATGAGATAATTTTTTTTTTTTAAGTATTACGCACTCGTGGTTTGTAATTTCCTTTCTTTTTAGATTTTAAACAAGTGGGGAGAGTCAGGAGTCCATATTTCTAGGCTAGACCCTACCTAATAAACTATCAGGGAAGTCTCTGGCATCCCACCAAGGGGGTGGGGGGGAGTAACAACACTCCTTGTTACTAAATGGTGCACTTGGCACTGAAGCAGGATTTCCCTTTTTTTAACTACACATCACTTATTATCAAGAGCACTCAACTCACCTCCGCATTTACCAACAGAAACCACTGTAATGTTTATGCTAAGCTTACAGGATGTCATATCTAGTTGACAGCGATTTCGGTAAGTGATACCATCGGACCCACAGACTCTTTTATTGTCTGACCCTGGGCAAGAATCTTTACATTTACAAACAGCTTTGTTATTTTTGTCAACAGAACAAACTTGTCCCTGACCAGTGCATTTCTTTTCATTGCACGGGTCACCTAAAAATTAAAGACAAAGCACATAATACTTAAGTCATGATAAATCTTGGTCAACCCTTTCACTCCCAAGATCTCATTAGTAATTCTCCTTACTGTCTACTATACAGTTCTTATGATGTTAGTTTGGAGAGTTTGGTATCAGATCAACCAAAAATTCCCTAATTTCTTTATTCTTATCACTTGTCTTCTTGATTTTATATTTATAATGTAATTTGCATAAATTTTTTGTGGTTGCCCACGGAATTAAAGGATTAAATAAATAATTGGACTAACACTGAAAATGGGTAGTTATGATTTGGTCGTTTGCAAACCAAAAAATGGAAATTTCTATTAATTTTGCAAATTGATACCACCAAAACCACAAAGCATAATCTTTTAACTCCCAAAAATGACCAATATGTAATTTCTCCTAACAGCCTCAGTAGGAAATCTGATAGAAAGGTAAAGAGAATTAAGATAGGAAATGTTGCTTAAGGTTACAATAAATCACATGAAATCTATAATAGTAAGGAGAATTGATAAAAAGATCTAGGGAGCGAAATCACTGAAAGGGTTACGCTAACATTTGCTGAGTACTCGTAGGTCAGAAACAATCGTAACCACTGCAAAATTAGAGGAATTGCGGTGCGTGTTTCATTATGGCCTAACGGAGGATCGAAATCGTGGCAAGGGGTAAACAGCGTAAAATCTTCGAGTAGGAGAAACAAAAATAAATTCGAGAACCCATTTACTTGTGAAATTGAAGTGCTTTGTTCTTCTGTAAACAGAAGTAAGAGGTGATGAAGGACGGCATGGAAAAAATAACAGGTCAAAGTAGAGGTCATGTCTGCAAAAAGCAGTCCCCCGAGTAAGATTTCTAAAAATACCATTAGAACCAATTGGAAAAACCCTTACGTAGACTTTCAACAACAACCATTGCATAAGTATTTGACTTATCAACAAGCGAAGTGTGATTATCAAGTTTAAAGCTAACTGAGATCAAACAGATTTTTTTGGTAGTTTTGTAACGTTATGATTAAAATTCGGCGCGCTCTTCGATAACTTTAACGCGTCAGATGTTGTAGCAAGAAAACGGTTATTTCCTGGATTTGGTGAAGTTGAGCCAAGGAAAGAAAACCGAAAGCGCTAGTGATGAATACGCTACAAAATAAAGTATCTAAAAATACTCCTGCAGAGAGAAGTTTCCGCTATCAGAAACCTGTGCAATGCAAGTCGCTCCCTCAAGATATCACTGTGTCAATTGACGGGCGTTTTCAACAGATCAACGACTCAAATTGACGACAAGGCAACTCACATACCTGAGCAACCCACCACAATGATGACTAACGCAAGCAAAGACCACAAATTTCGAGTCATCTTGTACGTAGTGGAACGCACTTCGACTCGCATCCACTTACAGTTATCTCAGTTGAGTACAAGGCTTTTTATCATAAACCATCACATTTCCGATTGTCAATCACTATGAACAGATCCCGCAGTTTAATTGGCTTATCCGGGATCTCCAGGTATTTTTTTTTGCTGTGAAAAGTGCGGCGACGCCCTATAATGAGTAGGAGGAAAAGTTGCGACATTTAAAAAAACAATTTTCTTTTCAACAACAACAAAAGGATTATAACGCACATCTTTTGTTCTGCTGTTTAGTGAGAGTCATCAGGAAAACACATTCAGAGAAGAAGGTATTTTAATTGTTTTTTAGATTTTCATGGCACAGGATATGACCCTAAAAATTTTCACTCGTCGCTCCAGCACTGCATACTTTAAAAAACTTACGTGGAGGAAATATTTATAAAGGGGAGGCGAAACCGGTGAAAAATGAGAAGATTTCCAGGACATTCCGATGTTTCCCAACTCTTTGTCGTGCGAACACGATGGCGCTCTTCCGGAGCAAATTACGTCGTTAAAAAAAACATGTTTATTCGTGATTGCCATGGAAAGGCCAAACAAACATGTAAGTAGGGTTCAAATGCTAGGATATCTATCGCCAGGCGCTGATTACTGAAAATTCCTATACCGCGCAACAATTTTCCACCATTTTTAACTCCTAGAGAGCTTTTCATCTTATATTTTTACTTATTTATTTAAATTGTCGCGTCAAAAGTGTCAAAACTCCCACGAGCAAAAGACAAAGAAGGAGGAGGGCCAGATTATTACATTAGCGAAGAAAGAGTCATGTAATGGAAGTAAGTGTTGTATTCCTCCTCAGACGTTATGCACTAAACATCAGACATATTTTAGACCTCAAACTTGAATTGTACCTTTCCAGTGTGGTAACTGCAGTTTCCGGCTTAAATTTTATCTTGTTATAGCTTTCCCTCATAGAGCTCGATCAAGGCGTTCGAGAATAGGAAGAACATTTTTTCTCGCGACGTCATCACAAGCGGACGAAGGCGAAAAATATAGCAGGCCGTTCCTCGCCGAACCACGCGAGGTCAGCTTATTTGGACCTACTAACAAACGAAACGACCAAAACGAAACAAACGAAGCGAAAAAAAAAAAAAAGACCGAATTATTCTTGATTTATTAATGAAAATTCTATTTTTTTATAAATTTCCACATATTTTATTTTATATTTTGTATTTCACGCCTCACGTTGATTCATAAGGTCGGGACTAGTGTCCCAAATTGGTGTCCAAAGCGTTTAAGTGCCTAAAATTGGACACTAGCGTCTAATATCGGACACTAGTGCGTGTTTAAAATCAAACAGTAGTGTCTGACAATATCGGATAAAATTATCCAAACGCGGTCACTCTTATTTAAAATCGGACAGTACTGTTACATTTTGGATGTCCATTATCGGACACTTATATCTAAAATCTGTTACTAAACCGTCAAACAGAGTATCCCCGTATTGTCTAAATATCGGTAATGCAAAATGTAGGCAACTTAATCCCAGCAGGAAAGTTGGACCACTACGGAAGCGGGGATATCTTTAGGGGCCGAGTATCCCCGTATTGGTTTTAAGTTCTCCACAAAAGTGCTACCATAATCTTTCTCGCAGCCGTTTTTGGCATTATTACGCAACCTGTTCTCAGAGAAACATCCCCTTGGGTGGGAACTAGTGGAGAAGGGGGTGGGGGGTTTGGAGCGTCGAGTGACATACCAAATGAAGGATATCACGCAATGCTCCTCTAGAGGATGCTTCTAGATTTTTGGTGAACGCGTTGCGTAATAACCCAAGAATCGGCTGCGAGGAAGATTAGTTAGGGAGCACTTTCTGTAGAGATCTATACACTCAGCCCTGTTCAGCGGGGGTTCAGTTTTCCTGCCATAAACTCATTCGAAGAGACTTCTTAAGTTCTTCCTCTCTTTCCCATCCTGACACATGCGTATGTTGTAACTTAAAATCGTTATGAAGACGGAGCAGAAAATCAAGAGGCTAAGAAATATGACAAAGAGGAGGAAAAAGAACCTGTATGGGGAAAAAAAAACCCAACGAACAACGAATTTAAGCCACCGTATTTATTTTATTTTAAAGATGCCAGTCCTGCATGTTATAGTAAAGTAACATCTAGTAAACATAAGCATGCGTAGCATGCCCGAGTTATTTTTTTTGGTTGAGCGAGTTAAGATGGAACACTTTGTGTAACTTTCAAACGGACGAAAATATCGCATTACTTTACCTTGAGAGAATAAAAAAAAACCAAATTTATCTGAACTCACACAGGTATTTTGTGGTCTGTTGTCTTAATACTTCTGAGCAAAAATCAAACGCATCGGTGCCTCGCTTAATGGTCTTTCCCTCGCAGCTGTTGTTTGGTCTCCTCACACAATGCCATTTGTTATAAACCCAGACTTTTACTCAACAAAACGAGCACTGTGATTGGTTAATTTTTGGTCACGTGCCCTAATCAAATTCAAATGTGTCGTGATTGGGATACAATTGCGCAGATGTTGCCCGCGCGCCGAATACAACAGTATGTTTTCGCCATATGATTGTTTAAGGAAAATTTTAAATACATAACAAAGCACTTAATGTATGGTCGCGTGGGAAACAGTTTTGTTTTCTCAAGAGTCCAGATGTATCCCGAGACGAAGTGTATTAAGTGTCTAATATTCCCCGTTGAAGAGAGAGCGCGTGGAGTGTTGAGACCAAATAACGGTTGCGAAAGGGACTACGCTTACTCCTGTTCCTCTAACAGAGAGCATATCAAAATTATTTGTCAACAATAAGTTGCTTTAAAAGTATAATTCCAAGTAATTTTACCACGAAAAGCAACTAAAACTCTGTTGTATCTCTAATAGACCCCCAACCAAAGATATATTGCGATCTCAAGTGAAGATACATTGCACACGAGAAAGGATAATATTTCAAAGAGTGCTCCTTGATTGGTTATTGCCCATCTGGACTTTGCCCTCTGTGTGTGATGTGAATGCTGTGATATGATTGGTGCAAGATACATACCCTAATGCGGCAATCTGATTGGTGCGAGATACATACCCAAATGCGGCGATCTGATCGGTGCGGGCAACATACCACTCTACACGCTAACATAGAGTTACTTTTTTTAATAGAAAAAAACTAACTCAAAGAGGCACTCTGAGCTCGTTTATCTTTGGACGGATTTTCAAAGTATCATCTAACTTCAAAGCTCTCAGTCTGTGACCTGTAGTTATTCGTTGGTTGCAAAAGAGCTATTTGCAGGTCGTGAAAGTGGCAAACTCTCTTTTGAATCGTTCCATAGGTAAGCTAGAAACATTCTCACGTACAAGTATTCGTATCTCCTCTTTGAATTGATCACAAAAGTTGGAGAGTTAACGAAATTCCAAAGATGCACGAAAACAGCGATTTCGTAGACCCTCGTAGACTTGTTATACCCACATGGTCGAGACAATTCCGGCAAAGATCCGTTTTATCACCACTTATTCGCTGCAAAACCAATAGTTTGCATAAACATTTAAGAAAGAGATAAAATGTACGATGACCCATTTTTGCAGCACAAATTGTTGCTAACAACCACTTTGGCTTGTTTAAATGTCAAGCGTTCTGCGCCATAACAAAACCCTTGGGGTTAATTCCAGTTTTTTGGATAATCATGTGCTCTGGGCAGTCTATTCGACGGTAGTTCCATTTCTGGAAATTCCAATTAGTTCTGCAGCTAAGGAGTAAACAATTAATGTAGAGAAGAATTGTCTTTTAAACATCCATGGGCTCTATTTCTGCATCCCTTGACTTGGAGTGGCTCAACTCTCGACGAACTTCAGGGGTAATCTACGAAAGAGAAAGAATCTCAATGAGTTGAAAGCGATCAAACACAGGTCTTTCAATACATGTATGAGCATCGTTACTTCAGGAACATTACATTACTCTTTGCAGTGCTTCAAGCTTAAGGTTTTCCAAAGTTGCTATTCGCTGGGGAATTCGAAAATGATTGCAAAAATAAAATTTTAGAGGACAGTGCCGGCAATCGTATGTCATAAAACGAGGAGAAAGATGCAACAACGGGGAACCGATGATATTCCATGCAAATGTATATCCTTTTTTAAGCGCAGATTATGAAAATTACTGAAAAAATTAAAAAGTTAACAAACCAGTTGTTTGCCGAACACAGATTTGGCGACTATCCCTAAAAATTTAGCTACCAACCGACCGAGGGCAGACCACGTTTAGTAAAAAATCAGGGATCAATATCAGTATCTGGGCAACTGCCCACCTACCCCTCCCCTAACCCAACATTGACTGTTGTTGGGTTAGGGGAGGGGTAGGTGGGCAGTTGCCCAGATACTGATACTGATCCAAAACCAGGTCTAGTTCTGGCTAAAACTAAAAGGCCGAAAACAATCGGAGAAGGACAAAGAACAAAAAACACACTCGGTTTACCTGATCATGGACCTGCGCTCTACATAATTCCATCAAAGCGTCTTTCTGTTCACTGGATACATCCTCTTTATACCTGCAACATATGCAACACCTTTTATTAATCTGTGGTGCGAGCGATAAATCCGTTTTAATCTTCTCTGTCCCAAACCATCCGCGCTCTTCTTTGATACAGTCTTACATGTATGGTGATTTCTTCCCGGTCCACTAAAGCAAACCGTAGAGTATTTATTGAATTGAAAGCCGTCTCCGGATGGACACCGCAGATGGAAGCAGAATCACCCGTAGATACCGTTCTTGAATAAAAACTGCACTCAATTTGAACAATGCGGAGTTAAGAAAAGAATTATTAGAAACCAAATTTACTTCCAACCCTTAATCGGTAATCTAAACAATAATTACAATTTTACGTGTACAAATCACAAACCAGGCCATCGAGAATCTATCTTAGCAAAAGAGCAAGCCACGAGAGCTAAACAAAAATTATAGTACTTGCAAACGATTGATTGTAGCTGGCCAAATGATTTACCGTTACTGATGGATCTAACTGGTCTCAGTATCAAGAAATATGATGTGTAAGGCTTAAATATTTCAAAACGCCGCGGCTTTTAATTGAGTATATACGGTATAGTAAGATTCAACGTCACGTAAAAAAAAGTCTTAAAAATAAATCCTTCTGAACCTCTTCAACGTGCGCCTAAGCTCCTCTACCCTCCCCCCTCACAAGTTAAGAAAATCCACTGCGAGGACAGTTAGCAGTTAACGGAGTTCCACTGTTCCTAAAGGAGGTCTCCTATTGGTCGTCACCATTACGATCGACGACAAAGTAAAACATCAAGAGTAACACTAACGCTTTAAATAAAACGTTCACAATCAGTTAAAAGCTTAACATAACGAAGAAAATTTTAATAATACACCAAAGTTACCTCTGAACAAATGTCAATAAACTTTGATGCCATAGGACTGGAAGAATACGCTTATCAGATAAGAACCTGGGTTGAAATGAAAATGCAATAAATTTAACTCCCTCTTATCAATGACGCAAAGCTAAGCAAGAGCTTAACAAGGTGAATGGGCTTTCCCTAAATGTATTTATTCCCCACGAGTATGAAAACGGTCGAATCAAACCATCCTGCTCTCCTTCCGCTGTCGTAGGATCCCTACGCTACACACCCTTTCTGCTGCCTCGTTTGAAGCCCTAGGGGTGAATCTCGGAGACATTTTGAAATTGTTATATTTTAAATTCTATATATGCCTCAAAGTTAAGCTACAGTAATCGTTTTGGGTGGAATAGGCTCTGCTAACGACCCACTAATATAAGACCTTATTACGTTAATTTAAGTCTCCGACCGCACTACTCACCGTAAAAAGTGATAAACGACAGCATCAATCACTCTGTAGGGTAACGCGTATTTCTTGTCAAAAAAGTGTCGCAAAAAAATACTGTTTGCACCTAGCGAAAAATATAATCAAGCAAATCAGACCATGGATAACGTATCATTAAAACAGATGCACGTATAAAAATGTACAGTTCACTTCAACTTCGAATAGACTTCCGCCTTTCCGATCCCTGAGAGAGGGAATTTGGAGGAAGAGCGTGGGCTCATTTCTTGAGAAGCGGCTGATCAAGCCTAACTTTAGACTGTCTTGAAACATGTGTGCGGGTGAACAAATTGTAAGGCTACACTCATTTAACCTTATTTATTATGAGAAATAAAAACAAACAGGAAGAAGAAAAGTTACCTGAATAATCCATTTCAGCAATTTTCAACATAGCAGCACTGGAGTGTAAAACTGGTATACTAGTCTTGGAGATCAAACTTCCTATGATGATTGCCTCTCGCAAGGTACATGTTCGTGACTAAAAAGCAACAAAAAATATTTCAAAACGTCACCGTAGTTTGTTGCATTTCCCTCCTCCTCAGACTATCTGATACATATCACTCAGAAGAACAATCTTGCTAAATTATTCTATCCAGTATCCTTCGCAGTAAACTTTTGGTCTTGTGTACTCTGCACCACTTGCGCCACTCTATTGCGTTTTTGAGGCAAGCACGACCCGGGAAAGCGCGAGGAATACGCGAGGAATACGCGAAGAATACGCGAGGAATACGCGAAGAATACGCGAGAAATACGCGAAGAATACGCGAGAGGTAAGATTTCTCCTCATGTTTTTTTTTTTTTGTTTTTTTTTTTTGTGCGGCTAGACATGACAACTGCTGCGGAGGAGACTGTTATCAAGCTGTATACTGAATTAATTCAAGCCACTTAAATTTAAAATAATCAGCGAATTGTCATGAGTTCACCAGCAGCACAACCCTAGGCACATAATTCCTACAATCTGATGTACTTGATACCCAAGCCTCTGATGTGAAAAGTAACAATTGCAGAATAATGAAGTGTGTCTCTTTGTCTTTTGTGGGAATAATTTTTGTAGTTTGAGATGACTGAAATTTCTTCTGGGAACTAGTTTTTACGACTGCTAAGAATACAAAGTGACACTTTGTTTGCTTGCAAAATATTTCCTTCTCCATTTGCCTGAGAGCTCAATAGATTGAGGGATTACTGTTGTTGTTGTTTTTTTTCCAAGAGACATAATTTTGTGCAGATTAAAGGCTACAAACAAAATTCACAAAATTTACACTCATTTCACCTCACACAGGGGTAATAAAATTCCTTTGAAGAAAGCTGCAGGTTTGAATAATGCCTTCTTTAAAGCCTGGAAAAGACAGAGAGAAGGTTAATTGACATTGTATCAATGGTTAACTGATTAAAATATTCATATCAGATGTTCTTACCATGTACAAATGGTAGTTGAGTCGTTTGTACTCTGTAATGTCATCTCTCACTCTTGGTAATAACACTAAGTTGAAGAATCTAGCAGTAGAATGGACAAAATACATGTTCACTGTGATTCAAAACGATTTTTCTAATATAAATTGGCAACTTTAATTGTCGAAAATCAATTTACAAAAAACAAATTTTACTCCTAAATGATTAAAAAACAACAAGAAATCACCTCTTCCCTCAACTCCACCCAAAATCCCCCAATAAACAGAACACATATACGCATTCTAAAAGCTTGTGTAAAACATCATTCCTTTAACACAATACTCTCTCAAACTTTTCAATTAGTTGTTGAGGCCCAAATGTGAAAAACTTGCATGTGCTTCATAACATTAAGCAGCACAAAAAAAACTTTAAATTAAATCATTGTTAGTATCTTCATGGCATTAAAACAAACCTCTGAGCCATCTTAACATTGAGATTTGACACAAATGTCCTTGTTGCTTGAAACATGGCTGCTGCAGTCCACCTCTCTGGTTCTGTTATATACAGCACCTGAACAGTTAACAGTATATGTACCTTAAAGTATCCTCAATTCTTTCAAGGTAGGGGTTTCACTAGAGAGAGGGGTAAGGCACCTGGTCAAATGAATGGCAGAGAAGAGGGCTAGGACTATGCTCTGAACATTAACCCTTTCACACCCAAGATCTCATTACTAATTCTCCTAAATGACCGCCACAATTCTTACGATTTTAGTTCTGAGAATTTGTTATTGGATCAACTAATAATCCCCTAATTTATATTTCTCTTTATTCTCATCACTTTTCTGCGTGATATTGTATAGAAATTGTGAGGAGAATTCTATCTTGGTCACTCATGGTAGTTAAAGGGTCAAATCCCTGTTGAGGCATTGAAAAATGAAATAATGTACTGGATCCTTGTTTTAAACTTACCTCCTCCCAATTTGAGAGAGATGGAATAACTTTAAAAGCCTTTGGCAACTTCCCAGATCGGTATTTAGCCAAGATTTGTCCAACACTATAAACACATCAAACATTAATTTACTTTTAATTTGAAGTAATTCAGACTCTCCTTGTTTTTATAATAATCTTATTACTTTTGATTCTGAAGGAGGATTGACAACATTTAGATTTGGAAAATTTAGCTTCATAATATCAACCAAATCTTCTACGAATTTGTATATTGAGATTTTCTCAAATGTCCAGGTTTTGGTTTTTTAAGTATCATTTCACATTAATAACACAATGACCTCAGATTCTCCACCTAGACAAAAAAAAAACCTTGAACAACTGTTCAACTAAGTTAAAAAGAAAATTAGTAGTGGCATATATTTGTGTCAAGTGAAGATGGATCCTTCTTAAATTTCCACATAAAAGCACAGCTACATGCTCCTTAGTTACATACCCTTTGAAAACTTCAACAAGCCGCTCATCCATCTGTGGAGCTGTAGATCTTTCTGTGACAAAAATGAATAAAAAATAAAATCCAATTTTCAAGTAAGTTAAACCCATTATTTGATCCAATGAGCCTCTCAATATCTGGAGTGATAAAAATGAATTTCTCCATCCATATATTTTCAGGTAGAAAGGTGATAAGAAGTGAGAAAATATCAGCAAGGGGATATAATTTAATTTCGCATTAAATCCCAAGTTATAAAATTTAAAGAAATATATGGCAGCCAGTGCAAAGAATTAATATCTAATCCTTCCTACATCTTGGGGAGTAATTATAATAATAAATAAAAAAACCCATGAGATGAGTCTTTCCTAGTAAATACTGTAGAAGATCTTCATCTCAAACCTGACATTTGACTTTCTATTTCTGTCTTCTTGTCTCGAATTTTTTCCATGATCACATCAGCCAGAGTTCTCCTAGCTGGTGTATCTTTTGACATAAATACTTCAAATGCTTGTTCATCTTCTTCATCAACTTCCTGTAAAGCACAGAGAAGCAAATCTCAGCTACTCAACAAGGATCACAGCAGAGCATTATACTTTACACACCTATCAGTTCAAAGCTCCAACATGAACTACTGTAACAAGCCAACTGGGAGCTAATCATTTTGTTGGTTGTTGGGTGTTTAAGCTTCAAATTGATCAACCTATTAGGAGGTGATGTATATCTATTCAACCTGATCATCTAGAGAAGACTAGTGGCATACAGTTGAAACATCAAGATCTACAGAAGTGACTGCTACATAAATGCAAATTATTGATCACCATAATCATAGAATCAAAAAGGGATAACAATAACTCACAATGTTTTCATAGAACTGTTCACTAGCAACTGATGCTGCATCATCTTCATCTGATTCCAACTCGTCTGCATCCAAATTTTGTAACTCAGGTGGACCTAGACGTGTTTGTGCTGTCTTTAATGATTTGTTTGAGCCAGAAGCCACACCAAACTCTGCTTCCAATTCATCTTGTTGCTTTCTTGCCTGTTCTAGAATTTTTCTTGATAGCTTTTCTTCAACAAACTGTTGACATACAAAAGACTATGGTTCATACATTAAAGACACATTTCAAATTAAATATTGTATAAAAAATCAATGTCAAAATCAATGTCAAAATCAATAACATCACAAAACATAAGGAAGTAGACTGTTAAAGGCTCGCAGTCACTAAAGATAAGTTTAAATGTGAGCACACGAAAAATGGTACTTTTACAAAAAGCCGAAGCACGAAGAAAAATACAACACAGCTGTTTCTAAAACAAGCCCAAATCCCGTGTCTGCTTGCTTGCTAGTTTTGCTCACTCTTTCACTTGAGTCCACCAACATGCTCAAGGAGCCTTGCACGGGCTGACGATAGACAAATTCAAACCAAAAACGTCTCGGTAATGCTCATATCAACTGCGGATATGGGTATAATTAAAAGAAAAAACCTCAGGCCTATCCTAAGAAAAAGTGAGAATACCACGATTGTTGATACAAATTCATTCTCGCTGATACGTAAATATATACAGTATAGCACACGACAAACACGCAAGCCTTACTTTGTGTAAACAATTTTATGACCTTCTGGAAATGCTACTTACAAGTGCAGTCAAAAATCTTTCCACCCTTACGCTAAATAGTCAAAGTTAATAGTGCTTTCACTGAAAAGAGAACCGAATTTCACAATCAATTCAAAAATATCTTATCTTACCGTGTCTTCCGATTCTCCCTGTCTATCCTTTCGTTGTTTCGTTCTTCCTGAAGGTCTAACACTTTTTGATTCAAGGATATCTTCTGTCAAGCCGGTCGAACGTTTTTTACCCTTCTTGTCTTTCCCCATAATGAAAACGTAGAAATTAACTTCGAATTCCGTTTGGGGTTCAAGAATTGCCACATAATTCGGCTGCCATGTTGGTATAGCTCCCACGTGGGTGAACTGAAAACAATCCAGCGGTCTACTGCATTGTCATTTCCAGAGGTCCGCAATGCATACAAAAGTAAACATGTTCATTTACGACGTACTCTTTATCTCAAGATGCACATGCTTTAATTTTGGGACTGTTCTTCCTTCAAACACGCGAAGCCAAATAGGAGATAGAGATTAGTTTTGTCACTCTGCCGAGATGGCAACTTTACATTTCTTCAAGTTCTCACAACCACCAAAATCCTTTTACATTTTTACTCGGGCTTTCCAAGGGAAACGCCGGAGTTCAAATTCCGGCTTGGTTTTTTTTTTCCGTTCGGTCGCAAATCGCAGTCATCATCACGCATGCGTAACTTTTTGAGTCTGACGGATGCGCGACGTTTTGCCTAATGAGCACACAGGATGGAGTAATGGCCGACGAAGGGAAGCTTTCGCGGTGTAAAATCAGCACAGACACTGTGTATAGGACGCTCAAAACACATACAAAATATGCTGATATCGTTTGCAGTAGACCACTCTAAAAGATATCAAGCATTTTCGGAACGGGTCGGTCCGTGAACTTTATGAGGTATCTATTTATGAGCGAACATTTATGAGTGGACCTTTCATCGAGAAACATGCTATATCAACTGAGCTATCTAATGTTAATCGAGCGAAGCATAGACGCAAATCTCATCGTGTATGTAGACATTATCGTGAACCAAGCAGAATACCAATACGAAGTTTGAAAAGGTTAAGGAACAAGAGAAGAAAGGTTAGAAAAATTTGTCTATGCAATTTGCCTCCCATGTATCCCCATGTTATCTACATTATCCTGTTATGTTAACGCTAAAAAACTATTAAATAAAAAGACATTTAAGTTTAACAGTCGTGAAAGAATTCGTCAATGTATATGAAAGGTAAAGTATCGTGCCAGTCGATATTTAAAATTGTTGTCTTGTAACAAACTGATGTGTTCTTGCAAGAATGAAGCTCGTGTAGCAAATTATTGCAATTTTAAATTAAGTAGAGACATAGAAAAAAAATCCTGGTCCTCCAACATATGTTGACCCTGACAAAACAATAGTAGCTTTCTATAGTCGAGGTAACGAGTCAGTTTTTGGACAGAATGCAGGAAAACAATGTGTTGCAATGAGTTTGTGTTCTTTGATTTACAATGACACACAAGGGATCAGCTCTGCAAATGATCTTATACAAATAATGAATATTGGAAATCAGCTTTATTCAACTTTGTCGTGATTAGCCAGACAAGCATATTTAATGCAGTCAGAATTACCAATAGCATTAAATGTGTTTGATACTGATTGTCAAATGGAATACTGTGAGAGCTACTCTGGTACTGTTCACCAAGAAATTGCTATAGAGGGGTATCAGTACTGTACATCTTTACCAAGAGCCTTTGAGTCACACATATTTGAAAGCTACACCAATTTCATATTTACAGTAGGGTGTATTACTGCAATAGTAATATGGGGTTCAAAATATTTGATTCTCATGTAAGAGATTTGTATGGTAGGGGCAGCCTCGAGGTACATGTGTTCTTCTTGAAGTACTGTCTCTTGATATTTTAGTACATTATTATCAAAATATACATAACAATGATATATTTGAAGTGAGAGGAGTACAAATTGAGAATATTCAAAATAGGATAGTTTCTCAAAACAGGCTGAATGAAACCATAAACTTTAATCTAAGTTGTGCTGTAGCTCTATACTCTCTTTGCTACTCTATAATGAAATCATGTAATTACTGGAATTACAACTCATCCTTACCCATCATTGTTAACAAAGGCAAAAAGATATGTCGTAAATCAAGATGGAATGCAACAAGTAATCACCAGCTAATCTTCCAAGAACTGTAGATGTTTGTGAAACTGAAGTAAATTTGGATAGTTTGTTTGAGTGAAGGACTATTAACTGATTCACTTCAAAGCAAGCCAATTCTTGAGAATGAAATAATACATAATAGTGAATGTACAGGGTTTTTGATATCATTTTGTTCATACTGCATCAGTTGTACCTTTAAACCCACAAAAAGATCAAAATATATGTATCCCCCCTGTTTATAATGAAAGACACATGTCCCCTATTCAGTACACTAAAAACATAAATGGAATGGCTTCACTTGTTGATGCCATTAGAAAAATACTAAAGAAATATAATACTCTAGGGCAATACAGAATACTGTTTGCTACATGTTCATGTAAAGTAGTTGATAGAGAGGAAAGAAAAAAATTGATGATTAAACATAGGAAAAAACAATAATATAAAGCAATGGAGCCATATTCTTGAAGAAAAAACAATTAAGGGATATGAAAAATAAACAGGAAATACAGAATAAACTGTCCCAAAAATACAAAACAATGGATACTGGGTAATCAGTATCTTCAGGATGCACTAGCCATGACTGAATGCCTTGAATATCACCCTCTGTTTGTGAAGCAGTTCTGAATCTATTTAATAACTCCGTGAATGGTTGGTCACCCTTTTGTCTCACATTTTTGTCAACTCTATCATCTTGAAAAATATGCATCTAGTTGGTAGTAGTTCCCACTTAAGCAAAGTTGGGTCCATCCTTATTTCTGCTGATGATATCCCTCTTGATAATGTAAATTCTTACACGTACTTAGCTATTGTGATTAATAACCGGTTTTCCTGGACTGACCACTTCAATTATATTCATATATATTATTCGTGGTAAGATCAGTAAAAAGTTCAAGGCATATTAAATCTTGCCTCCCCCTCAATACTAGAATAATGTTTTTATTAGTTTCATTTTACCTCTTTTTGACTATGGGGATATCATGTGGGGAGATCGCGGAAATGCCTCCTTAATGTCTGAGCTACAAGTGTTACAGAATAAGGCTGCTCACCTCATTTTAGATCTTCCTGAACATTTTTCTGCAGCTAAGGCACTAGAGAGACTTGGCTGGAAGCCATTATTGCGATTTAGAAAGGAACATCATGCTATTTTTATGTATAAATTGATTAACAACCATTTCTGTCACTATATCCCTGTCACATTCAATGATGATTTTCATAGTTACTACACAAGATTGAGTATGACATTCATAAATCCAGTGCCACAAGATGGGGTCATTGGTCATCAGTAAATTTTAGCGCTGATATATGGAACGGTTAGACACCTCATTAAGGAATGCAGAGTCACTGCCTGCTTTTAAACATGGCCTGTCCAAAGTTGTCTTTGACTCCTAACAACATTCTTTGCTTTTTACCCTTTGTATATTCTTTTTATCTTTTACATTCTTGTATTTTTAACTAGTTATTTTTGATGATAGTATATACTCTCTAATCTTTTACATTTTTGTATGTTGAACTAGTTCTTAATCTAAACTTAGTATTCTTTTGAGGACCCTTCTGTAAACCACTTTGTGATGTTGGCATCCTCATTAAAGATTACTATTATCATTTATAATTTAAGCATATTTTTCATTACTCATGTTTTTGTCTCAATGTACAATTTACCTTTCTTTCTACCTAATTAAGACTAACATGAATTACTTAATCTCAATATGAAAAGAAAAGCGAAATAAATTAAGGTAGCTGTATCAAGATAATGTCATTTTAATATATGACCCATCTAACAAATGATGGTGGCACAACAATAATAGCACAAAAAGACTTTCACTATGTAGTATTCATATGAAATTGAACAATTAAATACAAAAACTAAATGTTGCAGACACATAATTAGTAAAATCATAGTTATGTTAAATATTATTTTTTAAATCCTTCCCAACCCATTAATAATTATGGTTATCACCTCTCTTCACTCAGGTAGAGAGAGGTGACAACTGCATGCACATGTCTGCAGCTTAACTTGCAGAATTAGGGCTTAATACAGCAACCAAGAAAGCACTTGTTGTCCATCAATCTGAATATCATCAGTTATCTAATTTAACAAAAAACAGTGCTCCAAGTTGCTACCATTTTAGTTGTCATGGTGAGCATAAAAACTTTGGAAACTATATATTTTTTCAGAAAAAGTCTCCTGTTAGGTGACTTACACAAAGCATTCCTCAAATAGGCAGCAAATAATTCCTTATTCAGTGTTATGGTGCTAAGTTGAATTGATATAATCCCTTGGTCTTCTTCTGCAACTTATGGTTTATTTTGGCAACCATGTTATAATCTAATGTCTGCATATAAGCTCAGACCTCTGTAATGTCTTTAAGATACGTACAACTTTCTCACGTACAAAAGAAGTACCTGAGGGCCACAAGTTTATCAGTATTTTATACTGTCAAGTGCCACCCTCAAAAAATAAAGTTGATCATTATTATTATTATTATCATTATTCTTTTCTTCTCTATATATAAAGGATGATGAGAACTGAGCCTTTATAATTACTTTTAATACAACACACTCTTCTCTTTATGTTTCATAAGGGAAAACACAACAATTTGGAAAGGGAATTTAGCAGTGTCTTAGAATTACCTTAGGGTTCATTTCCATGCATACCTTGAGAACTCTATTCAAGCTTTACTTGGCATGGGAAACAACCTTGACAAGTTAAGCTCATTTCTCTATAAATTTTAAAGACTTCTTGGAACTTATTATATTACATAAGAAAAGGCCCTAAAATTTATTGATAATTACTATGTATTGGTTGGTTAACCAAGGTTAAGGTTTGTACCACGATTTACCAAATTTAACGAATAGAAAAATTACACAAATGCTGAAGGGATACCTTGATGAACTCTGAATTAGTTTGATCATACATACTAACTAAGGACTCCAATGACTTGAGGCTGAAGACCTTAGTCAACCCCAGTAAACATTCTCTGTACTCTTCAGAGAGGGTGATGAACAAAACACTGACCCTCAGTTAGACTACCCAAATGGACTGTCCTTAAATGGACCCACTCTTTTAGTCTCTTTGTAGTTCTGCTTGCCACAACCAATACCATGAAATTTAGGTGATTGTTTAAACCAGTATTTAAGTCCATCCAACATAAAAGAACTTGAAGTCATGCTTTTCCCCTG